AGTATTGCAGTCCTGATTCGCCTATTAAAGCTCGCCTAAATCAAATAATGAAAGGCGCTGAACAAGCTTTATATAATGCAGCAATATTAAAGCATTAACTTAAGCAACATCAGGCCGAAAATAAAAGGCAGATTAAAAAGTGAAAGTGCTTTACCAAACAGATTACTTTTGAAGGAGGCACATCAGTATCTGAAGCCTGAATTCTCATAGAGCGCCGAAATCAGGTAGATGAAGCTATACAGGCAGATAGGGCTCTGCCTACTGAATCGGCTCCTAGGCGCGCCCCAACTAAATGTTCTGGCTGTGGTGTACGGGGCCATAAAATCACACACTGCCCAAATCGATAGAACTACTCATTTCTATATAGAAGTCTGAATTCATGGTGTTTTGACTATTTTAATTTTCAATATGGCGGTTGGTGCGCAGCCCGTTTGCGTGCGCAGCTCGTTTACCGATTACGTTATATATAATAGTTGCTTATATAAGTGGATGTCCCTTGGTGCTTTTCCTTTCCTGGCTCTAGTGCCTAGTTCCTTGACTGTCGTGTCACTGGTTCTGCCGCCTGATTCCGCGTCCGATAGGTGCACTAGACAAGGGTCTGTAACAAATACTTATTTATATATTTAATTTAGTTCTTTATAATTAATCTTAATTATTACTTAAGATATATCTTTAATATTAAGTTAGTAATTAACTTATTTATATTTTCTTAACTACCGAGTGTTGCGTTCCGTTCGCTGTCGCTCCCGTTCCTTTCTGCCTACCTTGCTGTACCGCCCCTTTCACCGCTTTGTATGTAGAACTTAGCAGCATCCTGCTCCTGCAGCTTAAAGAAATCAATCATTCCACACCATAATCAGAAGTACCCAACACTGAGTATATATATTTAATAGGCCTGGCCTTTTAGACTTAAGTTATTTACAAAATATTATTATATATTATCAGATCTTAAATTAGGTCATACTGTCAGATCCTGGATAGGATCATATTCAGAATCACATCAGATTCACTGCTCAGGTATAGTCATCTTGCAATGCAAGACAGCTAACACCCATAGTACTCCTGCCTGAATACCCAGGTGTAACAATGTAGTCCTATCACTTTCTGCCTTGTGTGTCCGCCCTCCTGATAAGGCACGCTAGACAAGGGTCTGTAACACTGGCCTTTTGAACTTGAGCTATCTATAGACTAGCATTGCATATTATTCAGACCTTGGATTAGGTCACCCTATTGGCTTTGTCATTTATCAGAATCATATCAGATTCATCGTTCAGGTTTGGCTCTCGCTACGCAAGTACAGCTAACTACTCACAGAGCTCTTGCCCGAATACCCAGGCGTAACAACTAGTCGGCCGTTCTTGGCTGCTGTCATCCCATGATTGTTCTGCCCTGCGTGTCCGCCTTCGATAAGGTGCACTAGACAAGGGTCTGTAACAATTAGTCATTTCTTGTATATATATTGTCTGGAAGGCGCTCCACGTTGATATAGTGATAGAATCCATTGTACAAGTGACTCCTTTTCATTTTAGGTTATCTTATAACTACTGGCACGTGTTTCTGAGCAATATATTTTTCTATATAGCTGATCTTGCAAGGTAGTGCGAGGAACACTATAAACACGTGCCGCTTCCCTCTTGCTTAGTTAAATTTCCTGAGTTTTGACGCGCTTTTCGAGACATGGTAGATGGTTGAATTGAGTGAGGTTTCTGACTGGAGTCAAAACGCATGGAGTGGCCGACTTGCTTACGGGATACGTTATTTTTTTTCAATTAAAAAATATTGTAATTATCATTACGCCGTTCCATATAACTGCGTACCTAGTCCTACTGCGGTCCTTTACTGCCGTACGTTAGACATTCTCTACCACCAAAAACCGCACAAGACTTTAATATGCTCTGATATATTTACAAAGTAAGCTTCAGAAGCTACGCACTAGACACCTGTCAATCGTCTAGCTAGTCCAGAAAGGTCGCTGTTAGGTGTCAAACTTACACGCTTTCAGAACGATGGGCATACCACGTCTCAGGCGACACCTATACCCGTTCGCCGAGACCGTTCTACTGGAAAGCAGATTGCATAAGCGTCAAGGGGAAGCTGATTGTGTCCACTCGGTTGTAATCGATGGACCTAGTCTTGTGTACCATGTGTTTTGGCGGTTGCTATCTTGGTCAGATTCGAGACTTGGATTTCCCAATGCGTTACCGACGTGCAATGAAGTAAGTTGCGGGGTTATGACATATCTCTTACTATTAACCACGCTCGGTGTTAAGATGTATTTTACAAGCACGTCCTCGACTCACTGGAGCATGTTGCTAATATTCATCAGAGAGAGAATATGCTTCGATGGCGCTTTGCCATCTAGGAAGCGGGAAACACGGCTTTCTCGATTGGAAAAGTCGAGGAAAAAACTTGAACTACTTCGCTCCAAAACGCAGAGTGGTCTTCAAAGACTTAGTGGCCCTAGCGATAGATGTGCGATCATACTCGGAAATGTCTTACGTAGCCGGCCTTTACCGGCGACATATAACGATCTCCCCGACAACCCCTTTATCGTCCCCACTGTGTTCGAGGATCTCAAATACCGATGGAACAGAGAGAATATCTTGACCGCGGCGAGCGATATCTTATGCGTACATTCGGTTGAACTTGAAGGTTTTCCGTGGGCGGGTATCACCGAAATGGTACCTGGGGAAGCAGATGCCTACTGTGCATCCACTGCAAAACACACAAGTTGCTCCATCCTGACGAATGATACAGACCTTCTGCTCTATGATCTAGGCCCACAAGGCTCTGTTATTTTCCTAGATTCCATCGAGATTGTTGGTGGGAATCCTCATACACCAGAAGAATGGCAAATAAAGGCTATGAGGTTAAGCCCAGGGCTGGTTGCTCAGCGTTTGGGAATTCCAAACATCTTGCGCTTTGCCTTTGAAATAAAATCTCACCCAGATGCAGGAATAGCAGAGCTCGTAAAACGAGCCAATAGTTCTTACGAGGACCGTGCACATGCATTAGGCTATCAAGATTTTGTCCAGGAATATCAAGATGACTTGGATTCGTTAAAAGCTGGAAACCTGCAATTTCTCCCGCACTTTGATGCGAGGGTTTCCGAGCTGTTCTGGCAGTATGAATTGCGACAAACTCATATATCCTTGGAAACTCCCCACGTGTATCTTGCAATTTTGAACGAAGACCATGCGAGGCGCTGTGCATGGGTCCAGGGTCGTTTATATAGGAACCTAGCATATTCAGTTCTGAACGCCTCGCGCCCGGCCTCTGAAAGGGTTGACTCTATCAACGAATTCGTCCGACGAGGCGGCAGAATTGCCGTGGATAAAATAGACCTAGGCAATGAAAACTGGATCATGAGCGAGGTAGGTGTACTTTTGGCCCGACTTAAATCAATACAACATGAGATTGGAGTCAATACAACCTCACCCGCGTATTGGATTATGTTTGCGCTCTGTGAACTTGATGGTAGTGCCTCGAACTGCGTATTTTCCGACTCTGCGCGATTGAGCCGCTTTCTTACTCTGGGACATATGGATGAGAGGTTTGACTGGCGAGATATTCACCTCACTGCACAGATCCAGGCAGTACTATATTCGTTAAGGATACTCGGACAGTTACTCAGACTCTCAATGGTTGCACATGGTAGCATGATGGAGTTGAGATCCATGCTTAGCGATCTCCCTTCACTCCATGTTATCATGGGGCCGACAGCTAGCTTGATGGAAAAGACTCTTAATGGGGGAGCCTCTGTCAATGAATTCGTACACCAAAGTATTCAGCTGCTAGGCAAACGATCCTGCAGTGAAAGTGCTGACCACATGGAGCCAACACCACCTTTGCCTCCATTGGCTCCACAGGGTTATGATTCACGAGTAGGCAATGGCAAGCCCTTATGCGGGAAGACTGATAACATGTACGACATATTGCCAATGGAGTAAAGTTACCGGCGGATGTCTCAGTATAAAATCACAGAGACTTACGACCATATTGAAGATAACAGCGCGGCGGAAATATAGAATTCTACAAGCCTAAAGCATTAACTGTACAATACACATACCCTGGCTCGTGCCTTTTCAAATATATTAACGCGATGATCTTAAAAATCCCACGACACCACGACAATACCCGACTAATTCAGCCAAGCGCTGCTTTTCTCGTTGTTGCGCTAGGCTCCAAGCGACTAATGCCTTTCTCAGCTGTTCCATTTCATTAGACTCGGAACACTTCACCACAACATCGGCATGGGTTCTCAAGAACACTGCCATCCAGGCGTTGACGAGCTCGAAGTCCTTCTTTGAGAGAAGTCGATTGGTCAGAGCGATGACAAAGTCTGACAGCTCGGAGTGGCACTCGTGTACTCGAGGATCTAATGACCTGATCTCCAGGTCGGCTTTTGCCGGAGACATAGATTTAAAATGTTCAACGAAGGGCTCAAAGTTCCCTGTATCGCGACCGTACCGCAGAAGGGTAGTGAACCGAGAGCCTCCGATACTAGAATTCATGGAATGCTGCATTTTGGCGATTCGTGACCGTTCGGCGATTGTACTGTCAGCCATGAGGTTGACATCGCCATCTCCATCAGGATGATCTTTCTCAGAAGCCGTTGGCAGGAAAAATGGTGCCTTCTCGGGAGCTTTCGGGGGCTCTTTTGGTTTGTTGCGCTCCTATAACGGTCAGACACAGCTCCTAAGAGGAAGATAACTTCGAGGAAGGCAATTTTACCTTGATCAGCTCCAAGTGAAGCATGGTCTGCCACTTGCTTTTGGGAACGACGCTGAGTGTGACCATGTCTTGACTGAGCTGTTCTGTGGACAACACAGGTCCTTCGGCATCACTTGGCTGATAGCTTTCCGAAAATGCAGCTTCGATGGCCTCTACCCCAGTCTCACCGGAAATAGTAGGAACACCGACATCCGCGATTTCTGTTTCATCCAGATTCCGGCTCGATATAGGTACAAATAAACTTCTGTTAGACCAAAGACTAACACCTAGTCCATCAGCGTGGGCGGTGGCTAAAAATTCCCCTGTTGAAGACATAGCTAACGCAGTGCATGTACTGGGCACACGGAAGAGGTCAATTAGATGCCCTGTCGGCAAGTCCCAAATGCGGATAACAGAGTCCATGGAAGCGGCAATGATCCATCTCCCGTCAGAGGAAAATGCAAAGTCATTCACTTGACCTATGCATCCCCAGAACTCACGAACAACCTTTCTCGTCTCTATATCGACAACACGGATTGAAAGGTCGTCGCAGCTGAATGCAACTAGCTCGCTCGTGCTGCTGTACCGAAGTCCAGTGATAGATGTCATCGGATGCCAATCGAGCTCATCGACGAGTGATCCCGAGATAAAGTCCCAAAACTATATATTGTTGTGACTCCAGGTTAGCCCAGTGATTTTCGACACAATCGGATGGCGAAGACCTCACCTTAACTTTCCCATCGAGTCCGCAACTGACAATAGTTTGGTTCAATCCGTCAATAGCTACCCCAGTAACTGCTTTGCTATGCTTCAGGCTGTTCCTATTTGGGGAGGCGAAGGAACTAGCACTGGACTTGATATTATTCTTAAGGCCGCGGATAGGAAAACTTTGTCGGTATAAACCGGACTGCATGTTGAACATATCGATGCTACCTCCGGCCGACCCAACCAATGCAAAAGTCCCGCATTGTGAGATGGCGACGCTCTGATAACGCAGTTCCCCAGTTAGATTGCAAACCCCTGCACTGTATGGTATTTCCACTCACCTTGACTTCCGTTTTATCACCCGTTTCAAATGCCCAACGCCCAGCCTTCTTCTTCCCCCAAAACCAAGTCCGAGCAAATTTGTCCCCACGATGACCTGTCAAGACACTCTCCCAGCCTGTTTTGTTTGAAGCATCCGTACTTGTTTTGGGATTTGCCCAGATTGGGCCAGATGTTGTGACACCCATTCCCCCATCGCGATTGAGGGAACATGCAATGCAGGTGACCTCCGGTGCCTTGAGCTCTCGCGCCCCGTTGACTGTGCTTAGCCCAACAATCTTCTTCGCCTTGTGTTCTACAGCTCCCTGGGAGATCTCGGTGTTTTGGCTATCCTTCCGTACACTGAAACCCCAAAGACTGCAATCCTTGCTTGCACTCAGTAACCACTTACCGCCAAATTCCGAACCGTCTGAGGCGGAAGGCAAGAACTCGAGGGTAGTAACTGTAGCAGAGTGACCGCTCCTCGAGTGTAGTGGCCTGGGGATAGGCGAAAATGGTAACTCATCAAAGATCCATGTCCTGAGGGCGTTGTCCTTTCCAGATGAGACCAACACTGGCTGCCCATCTAGGAATTCAACTTGGTTTACCCCCAATCCAGTTCCTCCGTCAGTAATTCGATGCGCGCCGCGAAGCGTTCCCATAATCCTACCACCACCGTTCAAATCCCACATTGTAATGTCTCCGCTGTCAATGCAGGCAGTTGCCATGACACCTGAGCTTCGACCATCTTCACCAGCACCTAGGCCATCTGTCCGGAAAGATATCGAGGTTACCCGTGGCCCATCTGACGAATCTGTGCGCAGGGACAATGCGACCTGGTCCGTCTCGACATTGCGAATAGATAGTGCGCCGCTCTTATAGGCGACCGCAATGAGGGATAGCACAGGAGTCGGTTGGAGTACAGTTACAGCACCAGCTTTTGCAGATGATGGCAACATAGTGTAAATTAACTTTCCCGTTTTCACGTTCCAGATCTCAATACCTCCGTCATATCGACCGGCAAAGATCTTGTTGAGATATGTTGGCATAGTGCATACTTGACCCGTGTATATTTGTGTCTCGGCTGAGCCCTGGCTGCGTCGAGGTACTAATGAGGTGTAAAATTCATATGATGTATTTTTCCACACCTGTATGCGTTTGGCGCTGCAACCCACAATCCAAGAACCAAAGACAAGAAGTTGTATGATGGGCTCCGCAAAATCTTTACTGGTTTCGAGAGAGGCGACTTTCTTGCCACGCTTGAGAACCCATATACCTCCAGGAGATCCAGGACGGAGGTGTCCCCAAGCCACGAAAACCTTGTCCTTCCATGCGAAGGTAGCTGTAATTGCATCTGGTGTTTGAGGCCGACTGATAAATACAAGATTTAGTCCTCGCCGTAAATCGTAAGTCTGCACTGAACGTCCGACTGAGGTCGAGATCTGATAAGTTGATTTGCCTAGACGAACGGACGTGAAGGGAACCGTTGTAGGAGACACTAGCCCTAAAGTCTTACAAGAAGGAGGTTAGCTTGAAAAACAAAGCAGGCTTATATGCACAAGAGTGATGGCTTTTGGGTATTCTCAATATCGTCCCACGTACTCGAAACGGAGCGAAAACTTTGGATCCAGCGGCTTGTAGCCCTGTCTGACCACCTTTATCTGTGGCCCTTTTCTGTCTCTTAGCCAACGGTATGTCAAACGTATCCTCGGCGAGGGATGGCATTGTGTAAGAAACAGTAGGCAGCTCAGTAGACAGAGGTCAAAGTGGTGGCGCAGGCGTTTTACCAAAAGGCTAGACAATTTTCTTTTTTTTTTCTATTTTTCTTGCCGGAAAAACAGTTGTCTCCGCGTTGCCGCCATTACCATGTAGGCGCAGTTTTATACCGCTTACTTAATTAGATCAATGCTAAATTAACTTAATCGGTAAGCGGCCCGCCATTGTAAGCAGTCCTCCATCTCCTGTTTTCCATATAAAATGACACTTTTTATGATTCTAGTATTTCAATAACCAGAGATAGTGGAGACCGAAATCTTAATATATGAATTAATATACTACTATAGATACATATACTAAGTGGAGGAATCTCTAAACTAGACAGTATATTGTATACTAGAGCTTTTATCTATATTTTCTTACAGTTTAGTATTGTATGCTTTAAGAAAAATTATTAAAAAATCTTTAAAAAATAAATAATGTCCTTGTTTAGTAGTATATTGACTATATACTATATCTTTCATCTTAAAAATCTCTGGTGGTTGAGAAATTAGAATCATAAAAAGTGCCATTTTATATGGAAAACAGGAGATGGCGGGCCGCTTACCGATTACGTTAATTGGCTTAACTAGTTACTTAAGAGTAGTGATTGTCCAGGGGACTCCTACATAGTAGGGAAACTAATAAAAAAGCAGTATATCTCCTGGAATATACCTAAGAGTTTGGAGGCAGAGGTCTGCCACTAATTTACTTAGTAAGAAATTCAATACATTGAATATTTTGTGTGATTGTCTCTAAATGTGGAAACTGTCAATGCTATAGTACGGAGTAACATTTTATGATGGTTGGAATAGATCTAGTTTTAGTGGCTGTTAGAGCTTACCTTCAACGCCCAAGGTAACTACTCCGTAGGTAAGAAGAGACCTACTAATGTTGCTGTACTTCTGAGATGGACTACTCCATTTGAAGAATAGACTACGTAAGGGAGGTAGCATGGAGTACATACCCACAAGATCTAAAACTATCATTGCACTAAGTACTGTTAAAACTAGAGCTCACATTTTGTTGCTGAAGGTTTTCTAGTTCATAATAAACGACAAAATCGATGCGTAGTACTCCTAGTTACTAGGTGGACGCTGGATACCGATAGTACTATATTATGGGACCTACATAATAAAGGATATTGTATCTGAATCTAGGTTGCAGAAAAAATAATAAATATAATAGAACTACTTGGTATAGCTAAAGAGTATTAAAATATTTCATTAGTATTAATATATAGATAGTTTTAGCCTAGAGCCAGGGGCCCTAAGCACTAAATATATCAGTCTAGGGATGCTCGGTTGAAAGCAATCAAGCATAATGAGTGGTCTTTAAGTGATTTACAGATTTAGCTGGCGGGATCGCGATTCCGCGAACGTGGTGCAGGGTAGGGGTCACTAACTTTGTGGAAAGTCCCCTTCAAAAGAGATCTTAGTGCGGTAGTGACGTACTCCGTACTCCCCTTCCCTCTCCCATATGTTCTTTTTCGGCTGGTTAATTCAAGATAGACATAGCATGCTGTACTTCAACCTAAACAAACGTATAGCATAGTTACGCCAAATCTAGTTGTTTTCTTGTAAACTGGACCCATGTTTTATTTCACCCCTTTTTTTAGAGGAAGCTTTGCTATAACCTGGTACGGGTCAGAAGCAAGCCACTACAAAGATCGCTCGCTCCCCCGCCACCGCCCCCTTCTTGCAATAACCAGTTCCCATTAATTCCCGAGATTGTGTACTGTACAAAAAATTTCTACCACCTTATCGCGACCATTGAATTTGTCGCCAGAATCATAAGCCATTGAGACTATCGTTTGCTATCTTCAGGTTGCTTTCTATTGTTTGCTTTTCGAATGGATCGAGATTGTGACCGTAGTAGCGGTCGTTCTGTCGGTGTTGACTCTTCTACGAGCAGTGTAGAAAGCATTCCGAGACTAGCTGCTTCACCACATGCTGGCCATGATCAGGCGGATAAGTCATCAGCCTCTCTGCTCTATGACAGCACAACATCCACTGCATTGAGAGGAAATCTACATGGCTTGCAGTCCCACCAAGCCAAGGCGTACAAAGTTGACTGTACGTCTGATAATCAAACTACGGGTCGAAGTAATCATACTTCTACCCGCTCTTCTAGCAGAGCACCAAGAAGATTAAGTGGAAGCACAGCTGCAAGCTCCATTAGTGAGGCTGAGCCTATAACCCATAGTCTAGGAAAAATCGGTGTTTGTGCTCTAGATGTCAAAGCTCGCAGCAAGCCCAGTCAAAACATTCTGACACGTCTTCAATCTAAGGGCGGCTTTGAGGTGATTGTCTTTGGCGACAAGGTGATCCTCGATGAAGCCGTAGAGAACTGGCCTGTGTGTGACTACCTCATTGCTTTTTTTTCAGACGGATTTCCATTGGACAAGGCCATAGCATATGCGAGGCTCCGGAAACCATTTTGTGTCAACGACTTGCCGATGCAAAAAGTGCTATGGGATCGACGGCTTTGTTTGAGGATTTTAGACAACATGAGTGTTCCTACGCCGAAGCGGTTGGAAATCAATCGAGACGGTGGCCCAACATTAGAGTCTCCTGAACTTGCCCAGCATGTTTACCAACTGACTGGAGTCAGGCTTGAAGGTCCCGAAGATGGTACTGGAGGAGGGCTTTCAAGAACGAAGAACGTATCAATGTCTGACGACGGGGATTCTTTGATTGTCGATGGGCAGGTCTTTAGAAAACCATTCGTTGAAAAACCAGTAAATGGGGAGGATCATAACATTCATATATATTTCCCCAACGATCAGCAATACGGCGGTGGGGGCCGGAGACTCTTCCGAAAGGTTGGAAATAAGAGCTCGGAGTACGATCCAGGCTTGCTTGTTCCTAGGTCTGTGACGGAAAATAACTCCAGTTATATTTACGAACAGTTTGTGAGGGTGGATAATTCTGAGGACGTCAAGGCCTATACTGTCGGCCCGGATTTTTGTCACGCGGAAACACGGAAGTCACCTGTGGTTGACGGACTTGTCCGCCGCAACACCCACGGAAAGGAGCTTAGATATATTACGCAATTGAGCCGGGATGAGGCAGCAATTGCTTCCAAAATATCAAATGGGTTCGGTCAGCGCATTTGTGGTTTTGACATGCTTCGTGTTGGTGACAGAAGCTACGTGATCGATGTTAATGGCTGGAGCTTCGTCAAGGATAACAATGACTACTATGACAGATGTGCTAGTATCCTGAGAGACATTTTTTTGACTGAGAAACGCAGACGTGAAGGGACTCTAGAACCTGAAATCTGTCCTCCAGATTTGAACCATTCCTGGAGACACTCTGTATCTCACAGACACACATTGAAGACTCTGTTAAAATCTCCAAGCGCGTCCAAACTCCATGGAAGCCCCTCGGGCAACAAAACCCCCGATAATGCTCCCTCGGATATTCCAGTTTCAGGTCTGCCTGTCCCTTCCGCTTCTGAGAGTACAGACAATGGGAATAACCAGAAAAACTCGAACTTGCAAGAAAGATCGTCACTCTCAGGAGGTTTAGTTCCCCAAGCTGCAAATGCATCTGTTATCCCATCGGACGCAATCGACGATACTCCTCCTCCACCCCCGGCTTCTAAACACTCGTGGAAGCTGAAGGGTATGGTAGCAGTCATCCGGCATGCAGATCGCACACCAAAGCAGAAATTCAAGTTCACTTTCCATAGCCAACCTTTCATTGATCTTCTAAAGGGACACCAGGAAGAAGTGGTGATCAAAGGAGAGGCTGCGCTAGCCAGCGTATCCGACGCAGTTAAAGTGGCAATGGAGCGGGGGCTTGAAGACATCGACAAACTCAAACTGCTTCGTACATCTCTTGAGAAGAAGGGTTGCTGGCCTGGAACGAAGGTGCAGATAAAGCCAATGTTTCGTAAGCGGAATCCAGAGGAATCTCGCGGGCAGGAGGCCTCCACGATGCTGCCGCCCGCCGAGGGCACTCAGGATACTTCTGGATCCCCTGGCCTCGGCGAAGCACCTGGAAGAAACGAGGATTTGAGTAGGACTCAGACACGGAGCGATTCTATATCCGGGGCCACATTCTCGAGGTTTTCTGCTGCAGAGAATGATCTTATCTTAGATAAGCTCCAACTTGTAATCAAATGGGGGGGGGAACCAACCCATGCAGCTCGCTACCAATCCCAGGACCTCGGTCTAAATATGCGCGATGACTTGAAATTGATGAACAAGGAGGCTTTGAATAATGTTCGAATATTCACGAGCTCTGAGCGAAGAGTGAGTACTAGTGGTAAGTCTACGCCTTAGTCTATGCCGTAGATAGCTAGCTAAGTGGATTATTCTACAGCGCAAATCTGGGCCTCCGCTTTTCTTGATCAAAAGGAGCTTCCAGATGATTGCATACAAGTTCGGAAAGACCTTTTAGACGACTCCAATGCCGCGAAAGATCTTATGGACAAAGTAAAAAAGAAGTTGAAGTTGCTTTTGCGAGAAGGGTCTGCACCGTCGCAGTTCACATGGCCCAAAGATAACATACCGGAACCTTCAGTGGTCCTTGGCACGGTTGTTGAACTTATGAAATTCCATCGGGATGTTATGAGACACAATTTTCGGAGACTTGAAAGTTCCCCAAGCCGTTCATCCGAGCTGTACCCTACCAATGATAGTTCTTCCAATCCCCATGCAGATGCTTCTCCATTGGCTACTATTCAGGGACGATGGTGTACTGGTGAGGATCCGATGCTTTTTAAGGAGAGGTGGGAGAAACTGTTTGCCGAGTTTTGTGATACGGAAAAAGTTGACCCCAGCAAGCTCTCTGAACTGTATGACAGTATGAAGTTTGACGCTCTCCACAACCGGCAATTTTTAGAATGGGTGTTTATGCCTCCAGACAGTGACGACGATGCGGAAGAAGGAGAATACTCCCATCGGAAAAGTATAACGCCGAAGGCTGCTGCTGGTGACTCTGAATCATGCAACGAAGGTACGGGTTTTGAAAGGAATGAGGAGCACATGGACAGTTCAATATTTGCGCATCGGTTCGGTTTGAAGCGACGGATGCATGCATTCGAATCAATGCCGCATTTTAGAGCCCTAGATGACACTTATGATCATTATTTCAAATTATACCCCGGCTCAAGCTCTAAGAAAGCCAAGTTGGATGGAAGACTCTCGAAGTTGAGAGAGTTGTACAAGTTGGCAAAGGTTCTTTTTGACTACGTCACTCCCCAGGAGTATGGGATCACTGATACAGAAAAGCTGGAGATCGGCTTATTGACATCTTTGCCACTGCTTCAAGAAATTGTTAGGGACCTAGAAGAGGTTCAAGCCTCGCCAGATGCCAAGTCTTTTTTCTATTTCACAAAGGAGTCTCATATATACACCCTTCTGAATTGCATCTTGGAAGGTGGAATCCAAACAAAAATCGCTCGGCGAGCTATCCCCGAGTTAGACTATCTGTCTCAGATCTGCTTTGAGCTGTATGAAGCTAAGGATTCCGAGTCATCGACAAATTCTTACTCGATTCGCATCTCAATCAGTCCTGGGTGTCATGCTTTTGATCCTCTTGACGTGCAGCTCGATTCGAGACATGCAATTGGCTGCGCCCCGAGGCGAAGCCTAACCGCTCATCAAGATTGGAAGAACGTCATTGAGACGCTCAAAGCGAAATTCGACACGTAAGTCATTTATAGTCGGTTGTGCGCATTGCGTTGGTTAGGCCCGATTGATACTGACAAAACTTGTTATTAAGGGTCAAGCTCCCGAAAACCTTCATTGCAGTAAATCTCAGCGATAAACATGTATCCAGTCCATGAAGGCTTTGTATTCCAAGCACTCAGTTGTGTGAATCACATAATGCCTTCTCACTTTCGTTCCCGAGTATCAATAAGTAGAATATCCCGATATCTTTGCATACTAGTCTAAAAAACGAAGACAAAACAGACTCTTGAAAAGGGCAAGTTGGTTGGTTGGTGGTGAAGTTCGTTCATTACTACGGCCAGTGGGCCACAGCCAAATACAAGGAACGCTTTATTACTAGTAATCCTTCGGTTGTTCACTCTGATTAAAAATACATTTACCCCACTAGGTAATCCGAAATGGGTCCTAGATAGGTAGCTGATCTATTAAGGCTTTCCCCTCACTTTCTCACACACTCATTGTTTACTGTTCCCATTCGTGCTTTTTACATCCTAGTCATTTCAGCACCTGAGTTCTATCGAACTAGAAAGCGACAGACGCAAGAGCAGATATATCTATAGATAGAGATAGAATTTCCCAACTAAGTACACAAATGACATTGGCCCAAACACCCATGGCACAATCATCAGATCCAGGCTGTTTCAGCGCTGATCTATTCGAAAACTTTATCCGGTGTCATAACGAGGAGAAGGAAATAGCAATTGCAATTGATGACATAGTCTGCGTTGTTTCCGAAACCATGGCTCTGTGGGATGGCTATAAGTTGTTGTTTCTCCAGAAAACATTTGGAGATGTCAGCACGGAGGGTTGCACATCTTTAGAAAGTATTCGGCTCAATTCCTTGCCAACCACATTGAGTTCTCGATACCTGTGCACGGAACTCCCTCATCACCTACACTCTCACCAAAGTGAGGTTCTTATCGTCGTATCCACAGCTTCGGGAACTGGGACAGCCAAGACTTTCTACGAGAATATCCTACAACCTTTCCTATCGCATCTTGGGTTATGTGATTGCGAAGTGCATGAGACACGGTCCTCCCTGACTATCATCGAACTATGCAAGTCGCAGATTATACCCCGCGCCGAGGCAGGCACCCATCAAACCATCATCCTCATCTCAGGAGATGGAGGATTAGTTGATATCATTGACACCCTTTACAGTGCCCCGCGGCACTCGATCACTCGACCCAATATTGTGCTGATACCAGCAGGAACTGGAAATGCCATGGCTAGCTCTTTGGGACTCACGTCACATCCAACAGCCGGGTTAAAAGAGCTGCTACAAGGCAAGCCGCGGCCTTTACCTACCTTCGTCGCCAAGTTCTCTCCAGGTGCGCACTATGTCACCGAAGAGGGTCGTGCTCGGGTCCCTACGGGTGCCAGCCCCACAACCAGATATGAAGCTTTGAGGATACATGGTGCGGTTGTTGCAAGCTGGGGCATACACGCCGCATTAGTTGCCGATAGTGACACTTTGGAGTATCGCAGATTCGGTGCAAACAGGTTCAAAATGGCTGCGCAGGAACTTCTCTTCCCTCCGAGCGGTGCCGAGAGTCATAGATATGCCGGTACAATTAGTCTTACCAGGCGGGATTGTCAATCTAACGGCGAGTATGTAGAGACCATGGAGTCTAAAGAACACATGTATGTACTGGCAACGATGGTTCAAAGTCTTGAAAGAGGGTTTGTGATCTCACCTGAGTCTGTTCCACTGGACGGTTGCCTGAGAGTGGTCCACTTCGGCCCAGTACCTTCAGAGAAAGCTATGCAATTAATGGCCTCGGCATACCAGGGTGGTCAACATGTACGTGAAGAAGGTGTCTTCTACTCGGAGATCGAGGGGCTAAAGATTAACTTTGAAGAGGCGGATGAGAGATGGAGACGAGTGTGCATCGATGGAAGAGTCGTCGTCGTCGAGACTGATGGTTGGATGGAGGTACACAAGGAGCCTGAATGTCTATTGAATATCGTGACGTCCATCGGGTCTCAACACTGTTGACAGAAAGTATTGTCATCCATGTTTTGTCGAGTAATGTATATTGTGCTGCTGTCGGGCCTACGGCGGACCACCTTTTCATGCCGTCCACTTTCCTGCCTTTTCCTCATGATACAACTAACGCTTGAAGTATACAATTTGGTTCCACGTGAAGCGAAAGTTACCTTAAATAGATAGATATGGTGCAGGTTACGGGCATATACAGTAAGTGTAGAACTTCTACAGAGTACATGGAGGGAATAAATCGCCGAATCCCTGCATTGCCATATATACACTAGTAAAGTGCTATTTTACTAACCCCTCCCAAGTCGTTCTGATCATTTTAGGCATCTGTCTACTTCAATCTGCATGGCCAGAGAGCTCGCCACTAAGGTATAACCTGGCGAATAGGTAAACTTAATATTAACTGAAAATCATCATATATATATAGTATACAATTATATCTTCACATATAGTAGAGTTACTAATAAATACAGAGATGTATACTCTCATAGTGTGGTTGCAGATGAGCTGGACTCGTTTGTAGGGTGGCGCGACCCGAAAACGCTTATTAAGCAAATTTAGGTCATGTGATTGTTACTTGTTTTCCACAATACCAAAATTTTCAATTCACGCGACCACTTTCAATCGTCTTACACACCACTATCGTCTCCACCCTCACCACCAATCTGTTACGCCTGGGTATTCGGGCTGAAGCTCTGAGACCAGTTAGCTGCTCTTGCATAGCGAGGGTCAAAACTGAATGTCAGAATCCACTAGGATTCAGTACTAGATGTTGTGATGCCATAATACTATAGTGGTGACCTTAATCCAAGGTCCTATCGAGGTCCGATAACCAATTCGTGAATAGCTTTGTCCAGAAAGCTAGGCCTATCAAGTATGTATACTCGATAGAAAAGTCCGAACTAGTTGAATGCTGGTCTTGATACTAAAGGTATATCCTAAGTAACAATTGCGATTGATCACGAAGGTCTAGCCGAGTACATAAATGAGTGTCCTCATATATCCTATCCCATTGTAGCCTTGATATGTCCTGTCTTGTGGGTGCTACGATCTCGTTATGTCGCTGATACGTCTGGTCATATTATTGCTATAATGCACGTGACTTCGGTAGCTAGCCGCTTCGGCCTGCATAGGTAATTTATATCATAACCTACTTAGTTATCCTATCGATTCAGCCTCTGCCTTCGATAAGGTGCGCTAGACAAGGGTCTGTAACAGCGGACTATATTTAAGCCAATAATACGATATAAAATATAGTCGATACCGCGCTAGAATGATCATGACCTGATGGACAAGGGATATGAACTTCCTAAAACCATCCGATTTCTTTTCATCTTAGGATCTCTTCCTAGAATATATAATACTCACTAAATTTGAGTTACAGGCTATTATAATCGCTAGCTATGTAATATTAGATAGTAATTCCAAGGTTAAATTAATCTTATCAACTCTGGATTCGGGGTTCACCGTACCGGTATGTACCGGAATTATCGGCTCAAATAGGAAAATTAGTGGACCCTGCTAAGTGGCAGTGTCAGGGAAGGTAGTTACAAGCCTGTATACGGGTTACTGACTATCTAAACCATGAATTCGGCGACGTACTGTATGTACTCCGTATGTGCTGTATTACTACCTAGTACTCCTTATTTTTACCGGAAGTTCCTTCGGCCATGATTGGCTTCGATCGGCCCGTCCTTGTTAGGTAGTCCATAGTACTACTAGATGCAACGCGGTCAATGGTCAATTTACTAGGTACTCTACTCCGTACTCTGTATTCAACTAACCACTATTACGTATATACTGCTTAGGGAGGTTGTACTAACCGACATAGATCCAGTCTCTAGTATCACTTCATTATCAACGGTTGTTATTTTGCTAAAGCCCCAACCCACAGTACACTGCCTGTGCTCCTGATTGAAGGTGAGAAGGCTAGGCCTCTCTGTATGTATGCAGAATCTGTCCGACCGAGTGCTGTTCTGACCAGTCCTATAATGGGAACAATTGCATACTGGTATCGATGCTTATCAGCCCGCGAACATATTCCGCTTCACAGATACTAGATCGAGGACAACTCTCCCTCAATAGTGAGGATCATCCGAGGTTTCATTCACTCCTTGGGTGGAGTGGCAGCTCTGCGGATGGTAGGCGAGCCGCCGAAATGCTATTGATTCATCAGACGGGCAGTGTCCGTGTGGGTGAAGTGGTCAGGTCTGTTGCCATCGATATGGTATCTATGCTCAAGCCCTTGGTGTTCTCAACACTGACCTTAACCTGTTTGTAATAGGTACACGGTAACTTACTCACCTGCAGCCGACGCCGCCAGTCCCATTCCAGCAGAGTTATATGTGAAAGTCAAAAATACGTCTGCAATTCCCCTCCGCGCTGCCTACCTCCATGGCCCGTATACACTCTACACGTCCTGCTATCCATCCAAGTTTGACCCAAACATTAAACTTGACCAGCAAGTCACAGAAGGCATCCCCCAATTTGAGCCATACCTCAAAGCTGGGGGCAGTTGGAGTGCAGTTATCACCGTGCCCCGGCGTCTTCGTCAAAACACGGAGGTCGCTTCTGCTGCGCCCAGAAGCCATCAGAGAGTAACATGGGTCATTGAGATATTATCTCAAGTGGTATTTTCGAGTACTGCATCCGTAAACTTTGAGCTTCTGGTGGGCCGTGACCAAAAATCGGTGGAGCTATACTCTACCGGCGGAGCGTCAACCTCTGGGCTTCCTCAGGCAGCTCAACTAAGCGACCACTGGTCGCCAAATTCAAAAGGCAAACAAGTGGTTGCTACAAAAGGGGTATATTCTAGCGCTATAACATTACTCATAGACGACACCGTGAGTCTTTGGAATACGCCCGCGTTTTCTTCCTTTGACAAAGGATGCGAGAAAAGAGAAGATAACGAGCCAAATGAAGAAGCGAGAACCAACGCCGAGCCGTCGGCAGGACCTCGCGAATTACCAGATCACTCGCAGAGCACCCGACGCAAGAAGAAGGTCCACCTCGTTGTGCTGACCCATGGCCTACATAGCAACCTTGGAGCAGACATGCTTTATCTCAAGGAGAGCATTGATAGCGCGGCCAGAAAGGCTAAGGAACAAGCTGACATTGCTCGTCAGAAATGTGGGACTGAGCAAGCTGGCGGCAATGACTATGACGATGAAGAGCACGTCATTGTCAGAGGATTCCCTGGTAATGCGGTTCGTACTGAACGTGGGATCCAGTATCTTGGCAAGCGTCTCGCGAAATATGTCTTGTCAATGACATATGCAGAACAGCCCTACAATCCTTATCCCAATACAAAAGGGAAGACATTACCGAAACCTCTGGCTGTCTGGAAGAGTGCAGCGGGGGAATCTTCTAAAAATCATATAGCTCATGACGTTCACTCAAGGCGAGCCGAAGGTGGGGATGCCTATCAGATCACCAGCATCAGCTTTATCGGTCATTCTCTCGGCGGGCTCATTCAGACATATGCTATTGCATATATTCAAAAACATTCACCTGAATTCTTTGATACTGTCAGGCCTGTCAATTTCATCGCATTGGCGACTCCTTTTCTCGGTCTCAGCAATGAGAACCCTATGTACGTCCGCTTTGCCTTAGACTTGGGTCTTGTCGGACGAACAGGCCAGGACCTAGGGCTTAGCTGGACAGCACCCCGGGTAAGAAGCGGCTGGGAGGCTATAATTGGTGGGAAAGGCAATTCTGCAAAATCACAAGGGTATCCAGATGCTGGATCAAAACCTTTACTAAGAATCCTTCCTTGTGGGCCTGCGCATGAAGTCCTTGCTAAGTTCCAACACCGCACTGTCTACTCCAATGTGGTCAACGACGGAATTGTACCTCTAAGAACCTCCTGTCTCCTTTTCCTTGACTGGAGAGGGCTAGAGCGAGTCGAAAAGGCGCGGAGAGAGAATGGGATAGTCGGTACAATGGCTGAATGGGGTTGGGCCGAATTAACAGGTGCAAATTCAAAGTCGCCACGGACCGCTCGCTCTGGTACGGAGTTGGAGTGGGAAACCGCCGGAGAGGAAAGCAATGAGGCCCGCAGCGATATATTGATTACAGAGATGTCGTCGCATCGGGCTATTACACCTAGTGCTCCAACCTCAGCAATTAGCCACAAGCCATCGGAGCAAGCCCAACATTTCGTTTCTTCTCCTAACACAACGATAGATGCAGCACCGGGTGACAATCAGTCTCTAAGTTACGGCCCTTTGAGCAGTTTTCTTTCTATGTTTCGGCCTAAAGAAGCTGCTAAGGCGTCCCTGGGGCATAAGCAAACTAAGATGCTCAAACGTAGCCAGACACTTGGTACATCTAGCGGAGCCACAGAAGGGCCGTTGTCTTTATGTTCACCTACTGAAGAATCATTTGCCGATAGCCAGCTGTCCGACGAACAGGGACTTTACGCGCCACCAAAGACCACCCTATTTGAGTCTGCGAGCGATCTTCTCATGCCGCCCATTCCTCCCATTGAATTTATAATTGACCCTACTTCAAGACCTCGAACCATTTTCCATGACCGAATTTATAACCCTGAGGATATACCGCCTCCATTGACCCCTAAGAGACGAACCTTGACTTTTGGCCCTTCTCAAAGTAAGGTCTCAAAGGCAGGGTCGTTATTGTCGGAAGAATCCTCACACCGTGGCTTTAATGAGAGCGAGAGTGGGCTGAGGGTCGAAGAAAAAATCGCGAGGGCTTATCACCGCAACTTGACGTGGCGCAAAGTGCTCGTTCGCCTTGAACCAGATGCACACAATAATATCATCGTTCGGCGTATGTTCACGAATGCATATGGCTGGCCCGTGGTGAAGCATCTTGTTGATACCCACTTTGGGTATACGTCTGCAGCTCAGTCTAAGGATGATTCCGTGAAAGGGGTAGAAAGGGCAAAGCCACCCACCGTCCCAACAAGTAGCCTAGGCGAAGAAGTGCAAGGGCAGAATGAACCACCTATGAAAAATTTCACAAACGGACAAGAACCCAGCAAGAGTCCAATCGCTGAGGTTGGGTCCACCGATTAAGACAGTCATCTCATCCAAATTCGAGAAAGCTGTATGAGTTTTTGAGCAAATATAGATGTTTTATACCGTGGATTATCGTTTCCCCCCCCCCCCCCCCACCCCCCTCTCCCAACCTGGTTCCCCTTTATGCTGTTGGTTATTTGTACATACATTAACACCTTGGGACCTTTCTCCTCCCTTGTATATGCGTCAAAGAATCATAATAACTATTAGTTCCTCAGACCGCAGTCCGATCTCCCCTCTTCTCACTTTTAGGATCGGGAGAGCCTGATCCTTGGCCAGCCCATCGGTTGAGTCAGCTTATCGAATATGTCAATACTCAAGCTGTCCCTGGATATTCCCCCAGAATTCCTCAACAAGTTCTTTTTGACCAATCTGGTGTGGAGATGCTCTAACAGCAAGGTAGGTCCTTCCGTCAAGGATGGCCTGCCAGCCGCCGGGATTCCCATCAACCATGATACCACCAGCCTCAGTGAGAATGACCCAGCCAGCACAGACATCCCACGCCCAACAACCACCTTCCCAGTACAAATCAAGAGTGCCGGCGGCCACAGCACAAAGGTTGAGTGCTGCGGAGCCCATGCTACGCATCGAGCGAACCATTGCACCACCGTCTTCCTTAGCTTGACCAAGCTTCTCAAAGGTCCGTACCTTCGTTTCCCAGTTCTTCCCTTTTCTATCAGATCCCCATTCAACAGCGATGAGGGAATCTTGCAAGCCCTGCAACGGCTCTAGATCTGCTCCCTTGAGTGGAAGTTGGACATTGCGATTAAGAAAAGCCCCTTGGCCACGAATCGCAGAGTAAAGGGTGTTATCGAACGGATTGTATACGATACCCACCACGGGGATCCGATCAATGGCGAACCCGAGGGAAATACAGGCATGAGGGAAGCCATGCACGAAATTAATTGTCCCATCGATCGGGTCAATCACAAATGTTGGAGCGGCGGTCAAGGGACGAGCTGGGTCATACGTCTCTTCCCCGTGGAACCTAGCGATGAAGTAAGGCGCAGACCACAACCAAACGGTAACACTGTACTACGACACTTTACCATGCCATTTAGGTGTTAGTGGGGCACACATACTGGTAATCTGGGTATTTTTCCTTCAGGGATGCTGATATCATCTCTTCGACAGCACGGTCATATTCGGTGACAAGGTCCGCACCTAGGGTTGTGAGTGAAGCTGCTTTACTCGTTGGATATTTGACTCCCTGGTTCGGCGCGTACTGTTCTTCTTCGATCCAGTGCCATCTGCAGTTGGAAGAGCACCCATAATAATCTTCCCAGCCTTATATGCAATCTCAATAAGGGAATCATGGATATGAATCAGGTTGGGCAAGCCATCGCCGCCCATGTGTGTTTCTGTTGCCATGTTTCAAATACAAAGTTGTCTTTGTTGGTAAGGAGTATGTATGCAATTGTAAATTATAGAGAGGATGTATCCATGTACTGGAACAAATTATTAATACTGTGTGCGCACTTCCTTTTGCCTGCCTAGATTCTGCTTGTTCTGGTGGGGTACAGATAAAAAGGAGTAAGAGGTGGTGGTAGTTAAAAAGGCGGGAGGAAGAGGGGCTCTAACTGTATTATATATATATATGGTTACTCGGAATACAGATGAACATGGATTCATACTGGACTTATAACATCTGGACTAATGCATTTGTAACTCTTTTTGAGTTATGTAGTATCGACCCAATCTTTCCAGACTAAAGAAGGGGAAACAATATATATATAAGATTAAAAAGGGGAAAACATAAAGAGACAGAAAGAAACCCCCGCTTGTGACGTCGTGAGGGGTAATAAAAGAGCCAAAAAAAATAAAAATTGAAAAAAAGAGACGAAACCCCACTATGCTTTTAACTAAGACGTTAAAAAATTATTGATTGGTACTTTCCGAGCTCTGCTTACTCCTGTTAGCACTTCTAACCTATCTTCTATTTTCATACAAGAAACAATTCCTCCCCAGTAACCAATCCTTTGGAGTTTCTTTGTTAAACCCAACCCCCGCCTTTTTTTTGGGTGATATATATATACAGTGACACAAATATACACGCAATTATCACCCCATTAGCCATATACCAGGTACCCCTCAACATGCCCACAGAATTAGAGGAGGTATATTTCCATACACCATACAGAAATGTCAAGCTCGACTCACCTGACAACATCCATTCTATATTTTAGCTTGTCGAATTCCTTCACCATGGAAATACTCAAATAAGACAAATCGGTAACAGGGAACCCTCTACACACAATCCCCCAATTGATCTTCACATCTGGATCACCTGTGGATGTTCTATAATAACTCTCCCCTAGCCTGTGAAAACCTCGTTGGATTCTCAACTGCGCAGCCGAACCTGTTTAAACGGCATCAGCTCCTGCCAGTGCGAGATTTGAAACTCCTGGTGCGAGACTATACGGTTAGTGCCCTCTCGGTCAAACCCTGTCCAACAATCCGGTTGCTTACTGAATAGCCAATTGCAAAAAATGCCCTGACAATGCTCATAAATCTCTCGGCTGACGAGGAGGTGTTGGCTAATCTCGCGGATGACGATACATTTCTTGAAACCCTCCTTACGAAGGTGACTGTGAGTGTTCTGGACTCAACTACGAGACGGTACATGTATTAATACACGCGGCCACAGAACCCCAAGGAGCCGAATGCGGATGATGTGTCGATGCTTTTCGCCAATTTAGCGAAATCAGACAAAATGCAAAGACTGCTCACCTTGAAACGAAGGGCTCCGGAGCCGGTATCTACTTCTCCCAATGCGATGGATCAGTTAATGGATTGCTTTGTGAAAGGTGCCGAGGGCGCCCTAAATAAACACGCCAATTATGACTACCTGTCTTACCTGTTTGCCGACATGTCGAAGTCTGAGCAGGGTCGTGCGTATTTTACCTCGCGTCAGGAGTATGATGACGTTGTTCCCGTAACAAAACTTACAGTTTTCACCGAGCATAAAAGTTCAATTCGCAGAAAGGGAATTGCGTCAACAATAAAAAATGTCGCATTTGACATCCCATTCCACCCTACCCTTTTCTCTGAAGATGAAGCCAACCTCCTCCCTTACATCCTGCTGCCCATAGCAGGCCCGGAGGAATTTAGCGAAGAGGAGACATTGACGATGTTGCCAGACCTCCAGCTGCTACCTCCCGACAAAAAGAGGGACAGTGACAATAGCATCATCGTAACACATCTTGAAACGTTACTGTTGCTAGCAACGACACGGGAAGGACGAGACAGAATGAGGGAGGTACAGGTCTATCCCGTAATCCGAGAGTGTCATCTCCACGTTGATGACGAGGATGTCCGAGAAGCTTGCGACAGGCTGGTTCAGGTCTTGATGCGAGATGAAGGAGAGGAAAATGGTCCACAGTCTCGAGTTAAGCAGCGAGAACACGATGATGACCAGCAGGTGGTAGAGCTGTTTTGAGATGGTAGGTAGCCGCAAGGGGGGTTTTTCCCCCATTCACCCCCTCCCACCCCCAAAAAGGCGAATTTTCATTACGAATTAGTTGATAGAAGTGAAGAGATTTTCCTTGATACCACTAGCATATACGAGCTAAATTGCATATATCGGTAATTAAAACCCTCTCGGAAGAGAAGAAAGGACCAAAGGGTTGGAGAAATGAATGGTATATTGTTCAAGAAAAACCTAGAGTAGGCAGTTAACAGAGGCTCTTTCCACCGAAAGGAAGCGTAGCAAACAATTCAACGTCGTTTCTATTAGTTTTGCCATTTTTGATATGCATCTGAGCAGTTGCGTGGCATTTAAATCATGGAACTGCCTTGAACCGAGAGTCACACCGCAGTAAACGTCAGAATATTGGCCTTCTGATATATTCAACACTGGAACCAGAGCCAGAGTAGCGTGTTGAAAATTCTTGTGTTCCGTGGGCTGTTTCTCGGACATATCGGATGTTGTGTGGCGGATGAGTCTGTTGCAAGTACGAGATTCTTTCGGTAGACTCACCACCAGTACTGGGCGCTTGATCATCATCGAATTCGGGAGGCTTGAGAAATCTATAGGAACGTAGCTGGTTTGCATAAATTCTACTTTAGCAAGTAAGTCGGGACCCACGTGGCCATTGTCTGTACGCCATTCCCAGCCTACTCTTGGGATTTCCTGAACCCTACGTATGATAATCCGAGCACGGGAGAACTCTGCAGTGATGGCTTTTAGGCCCTGATCCGTGACCTTTCTACCCACGTTATGGTTGTGTTCGAAGGGATCCTCAATTGCTACTAGGAACCTAAGCCGATGCCCGTGTTCATCTGTTCTGGAAGTGTTCCAATCCTTGTCCAGTTTTGCAACGATACCACCCTGTGTGCGAATGGAGACAACATTCTGAACCCAATTGAAACAGCCAGGGGGCATCATTTGGTAGCGGCTTCCATAATATGCGAAAAAGCCACGAAGCAGCTTGCCGATAGACTGTCGATTACCATATTTTATATTATACGAGGCTCTCCTCTCAAGTCCAGCCTCATTGTTGATAAAAAGTATGTTGTATTCACTAAAACTTGCGATTTTTGAGTGTCCAGGGCATGGTTGACTCGAAAGCTGAAGATTTGGAACCAAAGGTGGATCAATGACGTTCGTCAAATAGTGAATGACCATGAGGATGTAGCCATACGAACATAGTGTTCCACGATAGGGATTGCTGGTATTTCGAGCCTTAGCCCACATCTTTACGAAAACACCAATGAGGCGGACCCTTTCATCACAGAGGGCATAGCAGCGAAGTAATTTAGTATTGTATAGCGCCAAGCGCCCCGAAAAGTTGATATCACAATGAATGCCCAATGAAGCTGGGAACTCCAGGTTTGGGGCGTGTTTTCGAGAACGGACATTAGATGAACAAGAGCCCTGAACATGACTGTTGCCCAGAAATTGAGGTTTCCTGGGATTTGTGGTCATCCCATCTCTTGCTTTTCGTCCTGAGTGCATTTAGAAGCTTCTCGGAAGGTTTCTCGCACAATTTTATAGTGGGAATTCTGGTCCTCTGAATCATCCGAGCGCCGAAGCCGGCGTCAAGGAATGCCTTATTCAAGATCCGAGGACACTCTGCTTCTAATTCCTTTTGTAACAGTTCTCCATGTGTGGTCATCACCAGACCAAGATCTGCTCCGGGCAATGCGAATCCATGCCGTAGACTGCCGAAGCATTTCAGGTCAATAGCTTTACCTTCGATTGCGTAGTTATGCTGTTTGGCATATCATTCGAGAGCTTCACGCGCGAGCTTCGCTAATACAGTCCGGAGGTTTTCCTTGCTGCGAAGTTCACCTGCGAATGAACCGAGCGAGGGCACTCAGGCAGCCAGGGAGTCTAGATAGTTTATTTGAAGCTGAACTCGCCTGCAAGGATCGGATTGTTGGTCACCGAGCCGGTTTCAGGGAGCATGTGAATATGAGTATCCAATCAGGTTACGCGTGGTATCTGTACATCTCACCTCCAAATATAGTTGGATGCTGACTGAATGTGTGTTGGCCTTGCCATTGTGCGTTGACCCATCCATATGGCTGTTAGGGAACTCCTCGCGAGGATGCGTCAAAGGTATTCTGGCGGAACTTGATCTGGAGAGTTGCTCAAAATGCCTAGAAAGCGGATCGCTATACCTGACCCGAGTATCATGGGAGTGTGTACAGTGTTTAGCAACTGCAGGCCGCTGTTGCGATGACTGATATGCGTTGAGATGGCTTAGCATACCATGCACATCAAATGGCAGACCATCGATCCTTGGAGTATATGCCCAACAATAAAGGCCTCATGTGCAGGACTTTGATTATTATGAGCCATAAGGGGCATGGTAGGATTTTTAGGATGTTGGTAGGTCTTATGAGCCATGATTGATTGACATTTGCCGAAGGCCAGTACGCTGGATAGTAGGGAGGGAGAAGAGGGTACTGGGCAACTGTGTGATAAAACTGCGGGTATAGGCCATCTCTTTTGCACCGAAAAGTAAGGTCAATTAAAAGGAGTAGAATATTTATGGGAAGGTGGTGGTGAAAAGACAATGATAGTAGTAGGAAGGAGCATGATGTGAAGGGTGAACAGGGAAAGAAGGCTCTTTTCCTGATCTATGCTTGTTCTGGACGTTCATGAAACTAAAGTGAATGTAGTGTGTGACGGAAGCTGAAATGTAAGTTTTATACCTAGATAGTATGTACTGGCTTGCACTTGCATTTATACGGCAGTGAAGTGAAATACAGTATAGTATATCTATAGGTATGCATACTTTCTGGTGTAGGCCAATCGAAGGTGAGAGATGCTTACTTAAGCCGGCCGTCCATTAAATCATCCGGGAAACTCCACTGCTCCTCATACATGCATTGATCAGCATTTGCCATCCTAGTTCTTTTTCCTTCAGCTAATCGGCAGGCCTATCTATCTCCTTTATCTGTTTTATTTGCACCGCTGAAGCAGGTTTAAGTCCTAGGTAAATGTCCCTTATAGGGAGCTTTATGCGTCTCAGAGCATAACATGGCGACACCTACGAATGACTCGAACGGGCGGACTCCGACAGGTTCAAATGGACCACCACTTATGAGAATTCGCCGCCCCAAAGCAGCAGATCCTTTAGTAAGACCGAAAAGAAGACCTGCTGTCAAGCCAGCTGTTCCTGTGTCGGGAAATGGACCAGCCTCGAAAGCGGTTGCTTCGCGGCCAGTCACCTCTGACCCATTATCTGCACCTCACACCGAAAGAGGGAAGCCGGCGTCTGACTTTTCTGCAAATGGGTTTAGCGGGCCCTTGTTATCGGAGACATATATGGACTATCCCCTAGTGACGACAAAGCGCGCATTGCGGGAGGGCCTGAAACATCACATCGCTAGATTCGCATCAAAGAAGACCATCGACCCCCGTGATGAATCTCAGTTCACCAGACCTGTCAGGCTTCAACGTCGCGATCCTCGGGCCCGACCACATGAAATGTCCTCTGAAAAGGGCCAGGGTATGCAAAAAACCGCATCCGAGTCTAGTCATCAGATGGATGAGGTTGAACGTGAGGAATTAGAGGCGAGAAAAGCGGCGCGTGAGAAGGAACGTGCAGAAAATATGGCCCAGATAGCTCCCTCTATTGGGTCCGCCCCGAAGAGAGCGAACGTGCCCAAGCAAAAGACCCAGCAGGTGTCCAAAACAGATATGACGCCTGAGGAAATGGCGAAGACGCGAATAAAGTACGAAGAAGCTTTGCCGTGGCATCTAGAGGATTTTGACAACAAAAACATCTGGGTTGGGAATTATGAAGCTGCTTTGTCCGAAACACACGCGGTATTCGTTCTTGAAACTACGGGGAAAATGAGGATGATCCCTGTAGAGAAGTGGTATAGATTCAGCGCCAAAAACCAGTTCAAAGCTTTGACTATTGAAGAGGCGGAGAAATTCATGGCAAAGAAAGTTAAAGATCCGCGGTGGTTTATGGAAAAGCAGCAAGAATTAGCCCAACGAAAGGAATTGGAGCAGTTTGCTAAACAACGGAAGGTTTATGCTGGTAAACAAGGAACTCCGTCTGGAGTTGAGGGGCTGGAAGCCGATGAAATGGACTTCGAAGAAGATCGATTTGCCGACGATGAAGAGCACGATGAACTTTTCAACGAAGACGAGGAAGCAAAAGCAGCCGAGAAGAGAATAAAGCAAGATCAATTGAAAGCCAACGTCTTCGATTTGAAACGCGAGAGGGACTATGAGGAAGAGGAATTGAGAGAAAAGAAGGAAAAAGAGGCTCGCCGGGTGCTCGGTAAAAAGGTCCGAAAAGCACTGCAGAAGCGAGAGAAGAACTATGACTATAGCAGTGGTTCTGACGTTAACCCTTATTCAGACGATGAGGTAAGTTAAGACCTAATTACTGTACGCCGGTGCCAAGTTTATTGACGCTGTATTTCTAGAGCTCTGATGATAGCGAAGCTGAAAGGTTGAAGGAAGAAGAACGGAAAGCCGAAGAGGAAAAGAATAAGAAAGACACAACGACATCATCTAAGGGCAACAATACGCCTTCTGGCCGGCCAAAGCACACTGATCCCCTTAAAAAAGGCACGGCAACCGGCCCACGGAAACGGCTGGGGTCTCCTAATGTATCGGATGCGAGTGGGACAGATACTTCTCGCAAAAAGGGCAAAAGCAAGCACCCATCGACTCAGCCCACACCTCAGCCGAGCTCGCGCAATATGTCTCCAGCAGCAGCATTGCCAATGCCAGTAAGTTGAGCAGTCATTCTAAGTCTAGTTCGAATGCTTACCCCCTCGCAGCTTGGCAAGAAACGTGTTCGAAATGTACCTCCTGGTGGTGCAGGTTCCTGTAGCGATGCCGATGGCGGCGCAGGTTCCGGCGGAGAGATGAGCGAAGGTGGTAAGACTAAAAAGCTCAAGCTTAATCCCCCTTCAGCGGCCTCTCAAAGTGGGACTCCGCAGGGATCTAGGGCAGGAAGCCCTACGCCCCTGGCTGGGAGAAGCTTCTCGGGAAGTCGTGCCAGCAGCCCCGAGTCATTCAGAGGTAAGTCTAGTCGATCCCAACTAGACTTCGTCCTACTCGTATAGGATGGTTCTAATTGGACCACATATATAGGGCAAACTCGTGTTTCCACCCCTGGACCTACTGGAAGTCAAAGCTTTCCTACGCCCGCGGAGATCCATGCGGCTATCCCTTCGTCGGGCATACTTAGTAGTGACTTGCTCAGAATATTCCGCCCTCGTATTGGTGAGTCCAAGGAGAATCATCGGAGATTTATCGCGATTGTCAAAGATGTTGGAGTTTATGGGAAAGAAGATCGGTTATTGAGACCCGGTACGCTGAAAGAGAACTGATTGGTGGGATAGTTTGGGAACGTTTGAGTATAGGCTTGTCTCTATTTCTAATACAGAGCAGCTTGCTGAAAGTGAACCATTACGCTACTGTAAGCACAGCGTTTGGTCATATGTTCATGGTAATAGAATATTTATTGAGGCCTTGCTATGAATAGATTGAACAGGACTTCGGCAGAACAGTAGAATTGGAGATAGACATCTAAACACCCAACGCTAAGCAGAAATATCTTTAGAAGAGAGAAAGGGAAAGGCGAAACAAAAGAAAAACACAGCAACATTATGAAGCTGTGCTGGAAAGCTCATGCGGAGGGGTCTCTTGGCTAATTTCTCAAGCAGTTGTGGTACCGCCAGTGCGTGAAGCACCCTCGCCTTCTTCATACTTCTCCCAGTTCGCCAAAATGTTAGCAATACGTGGCGAATTCGTGAGCCTATAGACATCCTCGAAGTACTCCTTAGTCAACTCAAAGGGGCGGGCGGTGACGTTTGGAATGTACTTTCCAATCAGCTTGCTGGGATCGATGGTGTTCTTATTAATCTTCTTAAGCAAGAAGGACCTGAATGGCTTGACTCCAGAACGGAGGAAAGTGCTGTGGAAAGGAACATCAATTCCTTTAAGAGGGATGGTAGCGAAGCCACGCTCAAGGGCAATAGGTCTAGGCTTGGACTCAGTCTGCTTAACACACTCGTGGATGATCTTAACCAGGTGAGCCTTGACATCTTCCAGAGACATGTTCTGCATCAGAGCGGGGATATCAATGTTTTGAGCCTTCAAGTAGTTCAGTAGATTTGTGAGACAGTCAAGTGCACGAAGCTATAAGAAAAGTTAGGAAAAAATAGTCCAAATTTGCGAACGCGCAAGCAAAAACTTACATCTCCAGCAGCAACGTATTGCATGTTTGCAACATTGTAGTTGACAATTTCCAGCAGCCAGCCTGTCTGCTCTGAAATATTCTCTACCACATACTGCAGAGCTTGTTCATTGAAGGTCTTGGAAATGCGGCTCGGGTTAACAGCACACATAGAATAGTTGGAGCGACCTTGTTCATCTCTTTCAACAGCAACCTGCATAGTCAAGCCACGATAGAACACCACAGAAACTAAGCTTTCAATGGGCATGACATCGGCGAGGGCGGCAAGAGCCGAATATTCACCAAGTGAATGACCAGCGAAACTACTATCTCTCTGGACGAGACCTTTAGAGCGCATGTCTTCAAAACTTGCCTTCTCCATTAATGTTAAAGCGGGCTGCGTAAATTGGGTCGCAGAGAGAAGTCCGGATGGTGAACGGTAGGTATAAGACGTTGTATTTTCGTCAATTTCCTTGAAGATCTTCTCTGACTTGATGCTTCCATCGGCATTGACAGACTCGAAGGTCATCGACATGTAGTTTTGGCGAATAGCTTTACCGCGCGGACCACCAAAATAGACTGTGAGTTCCTTGGGGTTATTCTTCACGATATCAATAATGGAAAGGCCATAGTTCTCCATGAAGTGACGGTCAGCCCGATCCCACACCTCCCTAGCAACAGGGCTACTGCTGTATAGTTCCATTCCCATTCCCTGCTCCTGCGAACCCTGTCCGGTGAAAACGTACGAGGTAACAGGTTGTTCGACCTCTGCTTCACCAAGAAGGACCTTGTCTTCTGTTTCCTTGTTGCTAGCTTCTACCTTAATGATCTTGCGGCCGGCAATCATACCAACATGTTGCAACTTGACGGTGATCATATCATTGGGGAGAACCATGCCAACTAGAGATACATGGAAGCCCCTGACACGACCAATGTTATTCTCAGCTGCCCAGGTTTCCACATAGCTACGAACAGCGGCACTCGTATACATGCCATGAGTGATAGTGCCCGGCAGGTTTGCATAGCTGGAGAAGACTCGTGAGACATGAATCGGGTTGTAATCGCCCGAAACGCGAGCATAGGTCTCATTAGACGCTGGAGCACGCAGCTCCAGTGGCGTCTTACCGCTGAGAGGAATAGGGTTTTCGAAGTACACAGGCTGCTCGATGGACGTTCCATTTCGCTCAAGGTAGTCGACGACCGGGTTTCCATGGGAAGCTCCGGCTTCGTAGTCTACAGATGCAACCTGGATAATCTCCTTCGTAGGAAGCTCAAGAAGAACTTGACCAACAGTTTGAACATGGCTGAAGACGGACTTGTTCTTGAAGCGAATCAGACTTTGAAGTCGGAAGGTCAAAGTCTGACCGAGGAGCTCAACATCAGGCTCATCAATACGGAACCATTCTTTCGACCGGAGTATCGCAACATCCCTGCTAGACGTAAGGTGAACTTGCATTGGAACCTCGTCTTTACGCTGGAAAGTGTTTTCGAAGTCTACATATGCTCCTCGGTATAGGAACTGACTGGTGACGTGCATGATAGGGGCTCCATCTCTCTTGATGGTACCGCAGACCTCGACCATTTTACCAGAATCTTGGTTTATGACAGCGTTGATCTGAGCGGTGGTATCCAGCACATCGCCAACCTTGAGAGGCTGAGCCCCCGGGACCATCTTGAAACCATTAGACAGGTGGACCAATTTCAATAAATCTCCATCGATCGTACGAGGGAAGATAGGCTTGGTAATAGCTTTCCAGCCAGCAACAATTGCGAAATCCATGGGAGCAAAAACCTCCTTTCCAGGACGATCCACGAAGGCTTCACCAGTGTTGCCAACAGCATGCACGAAATCCGCGACAGCCTGGGACGTAATCGTCTCGCGGCCACCGCTGAATGTCGCTGTTGTGGGAGCATCGAACGGGACCTCTCTGTTCCCGAACCAGAGACGGTAGTAAAACTCCTTGATACGGTCATTGCGTCCTTCCATGATCTCTCTAATGGGGGCATAACCCGATTCAGGGTGATACGTGAACAAGAATGTCAAAGGAACAACACCACCTTCCGCAGTTCTGCCCTCAAAAAGGGTAAGGCTGATCTGGTTCTCATTCATCTTCACCTCGACTGTCTTGACGAGCTTGCCAGACTGGTAAGGCTCTCTCACACTGATGGCCGTCTTGGACGGGTCATTTGGGTAGGCGATCTCCACATACATTCCTGAGGTCGGCGCAACGACACGTTTCAACGGGTTAGTCTGGAACCGATGGCCCTGCACGAAGATATCGGCGAGGAAGATTGCGTGCCTCCAAGAATAGGATGTGCCTGCAAGGAGACGTAGCCAGCGATCAAGTTCGGGTAGATCGGAGGATGGGGATGACGACAATCGATAACTAATTTTGTTTGTATCTTCGGAGATCGTAAGGCCATCAATCTCCGGTTCATCCTCTGATTCATCAAGTCGACCTCCTAGATATTCAATAACAGGGACCTTCGCCTCGTCTCCATTGTACACGTCCTTGAGCAAACTCTTGATATGTCCCTGGTGGATACTATTCAAGATATCTTGGACTGGCTCATCAATTACATTTGAGAATTTAGCAGCCATCGGGCCTTGCAGGATACAGGTCCTTCCCACGTCTTGATCCACAACAGCCTCCAAATCTTCACTCTGCCAGAGAGAATCTTTCTTGAACCAATACTCAAAGTTTTCGTCCAAGGCAGGGACGAAAGGCACAGGCTTTTGCCCACGCCGCTGACAGAGCAAAAGGAAGTGCTGAACATCTTGGGCGTTGATCAGCTGGGTTGCAGCCTCAGGGTACGCTAACAAGATGTTATCAATAGCAGGGTAGGGAGTGTTGAGCTCTGAATAGTTTTGCAGTAAAGCTGGCTGGCCCTCGGCGGTAGTAAAACGTTCTTCAACGCGACGAATGAAATCTGCTGTCAATTTCTTGAGGGAGTCATCGATCCACCGAGATTCATGCTTGACATACATGAGGTCCACCATACGGTGAACTACTTCTGCGTACGTCATATCTTCGAGGTCCACTGTTTCACCGGCAGAATTGCGACCGAACCAGACCTTTTGAAAATCATCGTTAAGCTTCTTGATTATATAATTGCGTTGCTTCTTCAGTTCGGGTACGCGTTTCGCCTTGTCGAGCTTAAAGATCTTTTGGTCCATCTCGTGCCAGAACAGAACACCTCTGGTGGCAAGCTTGTGAATTGGCTCACCCATTTCAGAGAGAACTGTCACTACACCACCTGCAGAGCCCTTATATGTCTTCTCCCAGTCTTGGTCATCAAGACCAGGAGCATCTGCGATGGCCTTTTTCGCGTTCTTTGATGTATGAGCTTCCTTGGCAATCATCATGCGACTACCGAACAAACAGCCGTCAAAAGGCATGGGGGGATAGCCGAAACGAGACGACCAGGTTCCGGATAGATAAGGATACGTATCTTCGGAGCCACCGAAGCCACTGCCTGCCACGAGGACGATGTTCTCGTAACGCCTTATACGGCTATACATCTGTAGCACAGGCTGATGGAAATCCTCAAAGGAGTGATGTCCACCACCGCGGCCGCCAGTCCACTGAAGAATGACGGGGAATTTAGGATTGGCCTTGGCAATGTTGATCACCTGCTGAATAGCATCCACTGAGCCCGGCTTGAAAGCAATGTGCTTAATTCCGAGAGTTTCAATGTACTCATTGGCTACCTCGATCGATGGAACACCAGCGCCGATTGTTAAACCTTCCACAGGCACACCATCAGCCCTCAGTTTACCGATCAAGGGTATTTGCCACGCCATGGCACGAGGATTGACGTAGATTAAGTTGATGGTGATACCACGGCCCGGAGGAATAGCCTTCTCGATCTTGGAAACCGCCGCGGTCATCGTTTTGGCATTGTAGTAGCCACCACCAGCAAGTTCAATGTGGTAACCGGCATTCATGGTTGCGGCTACGAAATCCCAAGGGACGGTGGTGGGAGTCATGCCCGCAACCATAATAGGGGGGATGCCCAAAAGTCGGCTCATCTTTGTATCGACGAATGTTTGGCCTGCTGCATTCTTCACGAGTCGGGGACCGTACTCCTTGACCCAGTCGATGGCGTACTTGACAGCATGCTCATCACGATCAAATAGTTCTGGTTTATAGCCAATCTCGGCGTTGGTACCATCCATAGCCCCGGCAAGCACCACCCGCACACCTGTACCATCCTTGTTGCGGTTCGTAAGCACACCAAGACCAGAGATACCGCCGGGGCCGAAATCGACGATGTGAGTAGCCCCGGGGAAAACCGTCGCTTGTTCCCAGTTCACCGTGTCGTGGGTAATCATGCGCACCAGCGCAGGAACGATGTTTGTATCGCCAGATTCCCTCAAGTCTTCTCCGGTCTGAGTGCCATACACCGGGATAGCCAAAGACTTGGCTGAGATTTCCAGGTCCTCCAGGTCTTCCAAGATGCGGTCATACGCCGAATACAAGTATTGGCTGTGGAATGGAGCAGTAATGGGAAGAAACCGGTTCACGAAGCGAACCTTACGCTGCGTGAAGGGTACGCGATTCTGGTCCAAGCCTGTAGGCGCTTTGACCTTGCGCAGGCGCAGATTAAGGCCGTAGAGCGAAAGTGGGGGACCGGTGACAACAAAATTGCGCGCACTGTTAACAAGAGAGATGGAGATGTGACGGTCCTCTGGAAGATGTTGGTTGGTCATGTCTATGTGCTCCTGAACAGCAGACCTTGGAAGATCCCGGATAGACAACATAGGAGTTGGAGTGCCTTCTCCGTTCTCGATCGAATCCTGCAACACTGAGGGAGCGATAGATGTGCGAGGGTAGGCCTGTTGGCTACGAAGACCGATCCAAAAGAGCATGGTCAGAGCATCCTTAGCAGCTTTCTCAAAGCTTTCCCACGTTGTCGCAGAGGCAATTGCTGCAGCGGTCACCACGCCTTGTGAGTGACCCGTAGTTCCACTGAACCTCGATAAGATCTCACCAGGTTCACGGCCGAGGGCTTTGCAGGTCACAACGAAGTGTGCTAGTTGAACTAAACCAATCAATGGCAAACTCACCGGCGCCGACACAAGATAGTCTGTGTCAGGCTGAGAGTCCGGATCCTGGAGCCATTGAATGATATCCATCCCCTTCGGATACAATTTGCTCGCCTCCGGTTCACGGGAGAGCGACTGCAGCAACTGCGCCGAGGAGGAGATCAACTCATCGACAAAGGATGGATAGGTGGCGTAAATCTCTCTCAGCTCATCGAAATACTCTTCAATGTTGCCTTGCCCCCCAAAAACGGTATAGATGCTCGCCTTCTCATCGGAAGCAGCACGGAATAGCGCAGAATCATACGGCTTAGTGGGCCGTCCAGCAGCTGCCCTGCCAGCATAGTACGCCTTCACAGCCGAAACCTTTTTGGCGGTTATTCCTGGAAGAGCAGATGCAACAGCATGGACATCGTTACCGCGCATGAAGGCACGCTCGAATTCATTCAGACCGAGCTTCAAAACTTCTAGGTTGGTCCCATGTGTATCATCCTCGCCTTCTTCTACCTCGGTAGCGACATAGCCAATATAACGAGCCACAAGTTCCGCTACGGAGGAAGGCTCATCGTCCTGGGCAAGTTCATCTGTCGGTTCTGGTAATGAAGCTGTGAAGGCATCTTTCAATTGCGAAGCTTGGAAGTGAAGGGAGGTCGGCACAAGGAAAGAAAACTCCAGTGACCCATGTGACAGGATTAGAGGTCGCAGGGACTGGGAGGAGCGCGGGGTATTAATGCCCGTCTGAGGGCCTGTAGATGTTCCATACATCTTGTGATTTCGTATCAAGATGTATGCCCTTTTGTGGCGAAGATCGAGGAGACAGGGGGATGATTAACAGTCCCGGGAGATTCTGTACCACACTAATGAGTAACCTAGCGTTAAAAAGGCGCAAGGCCCTATAAAAGCAAATTGAAGAGATTGCAGCCTCGAAAAAGGCCAATGTGCAAGTTTGCGTACCTATGGTAAGTGGTTTCGAATTTGAATTAAAGTCATCAGCTGGTCCACCACCCAGACTATTAGATAAATATGGGGGAGAAGAGTATCAAGAGAATTTTAAGAATTTGAGCCTAGGTATGGCGATGGCTAGCAAAAAGAAAAGAGAAAGACGAAGGAGAAGGAATAAATGATTACAACATAAAAATGGTGTAGAGAATAGAAGTTGAGGAGGACAAGTGGGAGACACTGGAGGGGGGAGGTGGATTTCTTTAACGTCTGTAAGAAGAAAAGGACAATGGATAGCAATAATTATAATAATGAAATAATATACTAGCCAATTGATGATGGGGTTTAAGGAAAAAGAAAATTGGTTTACCCTCAGTTACCAGTAGCTACTACTACACATCGAATCATACTAATCAAGTGGCCCAGGGAAAAAAAAAAAAAAAAAAAAGATACAACCACACACACACGCACTCACTTTTTGCGTTGAACCGGCCGGACGGAGGTAAAAACCCGCAGTTTTGGGGCTGGTTGAATGAGAACTGTCCTAATCGGGTATGGCGGGTAGGGGGACCTCCCCAAAGTTCCAAAACGGTTGGGTTGGAACCGGTGGAACGTGACAATACAATACCTGACATTCCATTCCATTTCTGCGAGGTGATCCTCACCCCGGAAGGATTGTTAGTGCTAAGCATACCTAGCTTAGTCTTTAGGTGTCGAAGATAGTCGAGGTACTACTCCGTACTAATAGTATGTACATGTTTTCTAAGATGTTACCGGCAAGCCGATGAGCAAGGTAGGATCAACAGATCCTTCCCACTATGACAGTTTTTGGCGAACAATATTCAAGTGAATGTATTCTTCAGGCATAGATAAATAGCATTATTCTTGATTCTACTTATGTACATATATATTTATATTCTATGGACCTATTGGAAGTAGCAACCCCGGTTGCATTTGTATGATCTATAATTAATTGAATAGTAAGTAGCATAACACTTTCCACTCTACTCTGGATACTAACACATAAAGAAGTCCATCTTGGGTTTCTACTCGCCATATTCTAATAAATCAGATCAGATCGCCCTATCTTATCTACCTACACACTCTGTATAAATCTAATATTGTTGAGTACAAGTAATATCTAGAACAATTTTAGATAGTTTCCTGTCACTCTCACTCTTGTGTGTATGTGTGTGTGCTTTCTTTATCTTATGTTTCATTTTTCATTTTTTAATTTTTAATTTTTAATTTTGCCCTCTCCCACTGTCATAGTTATGGGCCCATGAAGTGGTTCCCTCTGGTCTATCTATTCCTCCAATATAGAGTATGATGATACTATCAACCCCAATGAGAAAATGAGACTACCTCTGGTACTCGTACCCTCGTACCACCTCATCAATGCCACTACTGCCCCTAGTATATAGGTAGTAGGCACTAGGGGGCGATCCACTGGTCAAAGATACATACGTACATACCCAGTGACATATTAGTGTATTCTCAATTATGAAAATTACCACAGAAGCTCCCCGTCAACCCAACCGCCATCTGGACATCCAAGAAATGCCTTACCAGGGTTTTAGTGAATGAATCATCTTTTAATTTTATACTAATCATTGTCTTAATAATTATTCTTCTGGCCGTGTATGGTCGCATACAACCAACCACAAGTAATTGGGACAGGTACTAGTTAGAGTAGTACGGATACTGCTGGCTGTCTTCCGCCCCAACAACACTCACCAAAAGCTCACCAGCAATAATTCGATTCCCATCCGTCCACAACTTCACCTTCTCTTGCCTTCCTTATTATCCTTTTTCCTTTCTTTGGTTCATTCTGTTTTTACCACATTGGCACTTTCTCCCCACCGCCTGTGGTCCCAAACTGGGGTGAGTTCCTCTGATACTAGACCCCGAGTTTTTTTCTTCCTTTTCTTTCTCTGGTCTTTTACACAAGTAGTATGTACGGTACCTAGCAAGTCACTCATTTCCATCAAAGAGCTTTCTCCTTTGATCTCCATTTCCTTGCTCAAACTTGTTATTCACTTGGCAAGAGACAAGCACATAACCGTCATGCTTTTTCAATGAATCTCGAGGTCAATTCCCGCTGACAGTTTTTGTGTGTTCACTAGGTTTTAACTTAGTATTATTTCTTTAATTACCCTTCCTCCTCACAACACTATTTTCCTCTTCGTTGCAAATTTATTTTTAACGGCTGCTGCATTTCCAACCCAACTGTCCACAGGAAGTGACGATTGGGAATAGTCCATTCGCCGTGTTGACAATAGAGATAGAACCGCCATCCTCCTACCGTTCATATACCATACATTCTTCAAGATGCGGCCTGAAGTCGAACAGGAACTCGCCCACACCTTACTGGTAGAACTACTGGCGTACCAGTTTGCATCTCCAGTGAGGTGGATTGAGACCCAAGATGTTATCCTGGCGGAGAAACGGACAGAACGGATTGTTGAGATTGGCCCTGCAGATACCCTTGGTGGGATGGCGCGACGAACGCTCGCATCAAAGTATGAAGCATATGACGCTGCCACGTCCGTTCAACGCCAAATACTTTGTTATAACAAGGATGCAAAGGAAATTTATTATGATGTAGACCCCGTGGAGGAGGAGCCTGAGGCGCCCCCTGCAGCCAGCACCCCTGCTGCAGCTGTTCCTATGGCTGGTACTGCGGCTCCTGCTGCAGCAGCCCCTCCGCCTCCTAGTGCTGGGCCCGCCGCCGCAGTCGAAGATGCGCCGGTAACAGCAGTGGATGTGCTCAGAACGCTCGTCGCACAGAAATTGAAGAAGGCCCTGTCTGACGTGCCTTTAAGCAAAGCCATTAAAGACTTGGTTGGTGGTACGTATTTTTGGGGGGGGGGGATACCCTGGTGAACTCTTAGGAAATATCCAGCTAACGTTACTTATTCGATAGGTAAATCCACGCTGCAAAATGAAATTCTCGGAGACCTGGGCAAGGAGTTCGGATCCACACCTGAGAAGCCAGAGGACACCCCTCTTGATGAGCTGGGTGCTTCTATGCAGGCAACATTCAATGGACAGCTGGGCAAGCAGTCATCCTCTCTCATTGCTCGCCTGGTCTCATCTAAAATGCCCGGAGGTTTTAATATCACAGCTGTTCGTAAATATCTTGAAACACGATGGGGCTTGGGATCTGGCAGGCAGGATGGTGTTCTCCTTTTGGCTCTTACAATGGAGCCTGCTTCTCGTATTGGATCGGAGGCTGATGCAAAGGCATACCTTGATGATGTGACCGACAAATATGCTGCCAGTGCAGGAATCAGCCTCTCTGCGCCGGCGGCTGGTGGAGACGGCGGTGCTGGATCCGGAGGCATGCTTATGGATCCAGCAGCAATTGATGCCTTGACCAAAGATCAACGGGCCCTATTCAAGCAACAACTCGAGATCATTGCACGGTACTTGAAGATGGACTTGCGCGCCGGCCAAAAAGCATTCATCACCTCCCAAGAGACCCAAAGAGCTTTGCAGGCCCAAATCGATCTTTGGCAAGCGGAACACGGCGATTTCTACGCCTCCGGCATTGAGCCCGCCTTTGACCCCCTCAAGGCTCGTGTATATGATTCTTCCTGGAATTGGGCTCGCCAGGACGCTTTGAGCATGTACTATGATATCATCTTTGGCAGACTCAGGGCCGTTGATCGTGAAATAGTGAGCCAGTGTATCCGTATCATGAATCGTTCGAACCCCCTCCTCCTTGATTTTATGCAGTATCATATCGACAATTGTCCGACCGATCGTGGCGAGACTTATCTGTTAGCCAAAGAACTCGGCCAGCAGCTCATTGAAAATTGCAAGGAAGTTCTTGGAGTTGCCCCAGTTTACAAAGATGTGGCGATCCCAACCGGCCCTCAGACAACAGTTGACGCTCGAGGAAATATTGAATATAAGGAGGCTCCCCGGGCCAGCGCTCGCAAGTTGGAGCACTACGTGAAGCAAATGGCGGAAGGTGGTCCTATTTCCGAATATAGCAATCGGGCTAAGGTGCAGAATGATCTTCGCAGTGTTTACAAACTCATCCGCCGACAACATCGCCTGTCCAAGTCTTCACAGCTACAATTTAACGCGCTCTACAAGGAAGTAATCCGTGCTCTCAGCATGAACGAAAACCAGATTATGCCCCAGGAAAATGGCAACGGCAAGAGATCGAACCGGTCCGGACACAAGCACAGTGGCAGCCCTCGCGCAGGCAAGGTTGAAACTATTCCTTTCCTGCATCTCAAGAAGAAGAATGAGCATGGATGGGAGTATAATAAGAAGCTCACCGGTACGTATTTAGATGTGTTGGAGTCCGCCGCACGGTCCGGTCTTACCTTCCAGGGTAAGAACGTCCTTATGACTGGTGCTGGTGCTGGTTCGATTGGTGCCGAAGTCCTGCAAGGCCTTATTAGTGGTGGTGCCAAGGTCGTCGTGACTACAAGCCGCTACTCACGTGAGGTCACCGAGTACTACCAAGCAATGTATGCTCGCTATGGTGCCCGTGGCTCGCAACTTGTGGTGGTTCCTTTCAACCAAGGTAGCAAACAAGATGTGGAAGCCCTCGTGAACTACATCTACGATACAAAGAAGGGGCTCGGTTGGGACTTGGACTATGTCGTTCCATTCGCTGCCATCCCGGAGAACGGCCGCGAGATTGATTCCATCGATTCCAAGTCAGAGCTTGCTCACCGCATCATGTTGACCAATCTCTTGCGGCTCCTGGGCTCTATCAAATCGCAAAAGCAAAGCAATGGGTTTGAAACGCGGCCAGCCCAAGTTATCCTTCCTCTATCTCCAAACCACGGCACATTCGGCAACGACGGGTTGTACTCTGAGTCCAAGCTCGCCTTAGAGACACTCTTCAACCGTTGGTATTCTGAGAGTTGGAGCAACTACCTTACAATCTGTGGTGCTGTTATTGGTTGGACCCGCGGTACAGGTTTGATGAGTGGCAACAACATGGTTGCCGAGGGTGTCGAGAAACTTGGTGTCCGCACCTTTTCTCAGCAGGAAATGGCCTTCAACTTGCTTGGTCTCATGGCTCCTGCGATTGTCAATCTGTGTCAGCTTGACCCTGTTTGGGCTGATTTGAATGGTGGACTCCAATTCATTCCTGACCTAAAAAGCCTTATGACGAAGCTCCGCACCGACATCATGGAGACAAGCGACGTTCGACAAGCTGTGATTAAGGAAACCGCCATTGAAAACAAGGTTGTCAACGGAGAGGATAGCGAAGCACTCTACAAGCGTGTTGTTGCTGAGCCTCGGGCCAATATTAAGTTCCAGTTTCCCAAACTCCCCTGCTGGGATGAGGAAGTGCAATCCCTTAATGAGAACCTTAAAGGTATGGTCAACTTGGACAAGGTAGTTGTTGTTACTGGTTTCGCAGAAGTTGGGCCTTGGGGTAACTCGCGAACCCGCTGGGAAATGGAAGCTCATGGGAAGTTTTCCCTTGAGGGCTGTGTGGAAATGGCATGGATAATGGGGCTTATCAAGCATCATAACGGCCCACTGAAAGGCAAGTCCTACTCGGGCTGGGTTGATGCAAAGACTGGGGAGCCCGTGGATGACAAAGATGTCAAGGCGAAGTATGAGAAATACATCCTTGAGCATTCCGGTATCCGTCTCATCGAGCCCGAACTTTTCAAGGGCTATGACCCGAAGAAGAAACAGCTGCTTCAGGAGATTGTAATCCAGGAGGACTTAGACCCATTTGAAGCCTCGAAAGAAACCGCGGAGGAATTCAAGAGGGAGCATGGTGACAAGGTTGAGATCTTTGAACTTCCTGAATCGGGAGAGTACACTGTGCGTCTCAAGAAGGGTGCCAATCTCTTGATCCCTAAGGCTCTCCAATTCGACCGCCTTGTTGCCGGCCAGGTGCCAACTGGCTGGGATGCCAAGCGGTATGGTATTCCCGATGACATCATTGAGCAGGTTGATCCGGTGACGCTGTTCGTTCTTGTCTGTACTGCTGAAGCGATGCTCTCGGCTGGTATCACCGATCCTTACGAGTTCTACAAGTACGTCCATCTATCTGAGGTTGGTAACTGCATCGGTTCTGGAATTGGAGGAACCCATGCCTTGCGAGGGATGTACAAGGATCGCTACTTGGATAAGCCCCTCCAGAAGGATATCTTGCAAGAGTCGTTCATAAATACAATGAGTGCATGGGTTAACATGTTACTGCTATCCTCCACTGGCCCCATCAAGACACCCGTTGGTGCTTGTGCAACGGCCGTTGAGTCCGTTGACATTGGATACGAAACTATTGTTGAAGGCAAAGCCCGCGTCTGTTTTGTTGGTGGATTTGACGACTTCCAAGAAGAGGGCTCATACGAGTTCGCCAACATGAAAGCTACCAGTAACGCGGAAGATGAGTTCGCACACGGCCGTACACCTCAGGAGATGTCACGACCTACCACGACTACCCGTGCTGGCTTCATGGAATCGCAAGGCTGCGGTATGCAACTTATCATGAGCGCCCAGCTCGCGCTGGATATGGGAGTTCCAATCCACGGTGTGATTGCGTTGACAACCACGGCTACCGACAAGATAGGACGTTCAGTCCCCGCGCCGGGTCAGGGTGTCCTTACTACTGCGAGGGAGAACCCCGGCAGGTTCCCGTCGCCCTTGTTGGACATCAAGTACCGTCGCCGGCAATTGGATCTGCGTAAGAAACAGATCAAGGAATGGCAGGAGTCTGAGTTGCTGTATCTCCAGGAAGAAGTAGAAGCCATCAAAGCCCAAGGCTCTGATTCGTTCAACATGTCTGTATACATGCAGGAACGAGCTCAGCACATCGAACGCGAGGCTGTCCGCCAGGAGAAGGACGCGCAGTTCAGTCTCGGAAACAATTTCTGGAAGCAAGACTCCCGCATTGCTCCTCTGCGCGGCGCTCTTGCCACCTGGGGTCTCACTGTTGATGACATTGGGGTTGCCTCTTTCCATGGTACCTCTACCGTTGCAAACGATAAAAATGAATCCGATGTCATTTGTCAGCAAATGAAGCATCTGGGTCGTAAGAAGGGCAACGCGGTCCTAGGTATTTTCCAGAAATACCTAACCGGACACCCTAAGGGTGCTGCCGGTGCTTGGATGTTCAACGGTTGTCTGCAGGTTTTGGATAGTGGTCTGGTTCCTGGTAACCGCAACGCTGATAATGTGGACAAGGTACTGGAAAAGTTCGACTATATTGTCTACCCCAGCCGTAGCATCCAGACGGATGGTGTCAAGGCATTCTCGGTCACCTCGTTCGGTTTCGGTCAGAAGGGCGCGCAAGTGATCGGTATCCACCCTAAGTATCTTTATGCCGCCCTTGACCGCGCACAGTTCGAGACCTACAAGTCCAAGGTTGAGGCCAGACAAAAGAAGGCGTATCGGTTCTTCCACAATGGCTTGATCAACAATAGCATCTTTGTTGCTAAGAACAAGGCACCGTACGAAGATGACCTTCAGAGCAAGGTCTTCCTCAACCCCGATTATCGGGTTACCATTGACAAGAAGACTTCTGAACTTAAGTTCCCTGCAGCACCCCCAAAGGTCGTTGATAAAGGTGTCGAAAGCACTAAGCAGATGGTTGAGTCGCTGGCGAAGGCTCACACTGTTGAGAACTCAAAGGTGGGGGTGGATGTGGAAAATCTTGAATCGGTTAATATCGAGAATGAGACTTTCATCGAACGAAACTTTACAGCTGAAGAGCAGCAATACTGCCGCAAAGCCGCCTCTCCTCAAGCATCATTTGCAGGACGATGGAGTGCAAAGGAGGCTGTTTTCAAATCCCTTGGTGTCTGTAGTAAAGGTGCCGGTGCTCCGTTAAAGGACATTGAGATCACTAATGATGCGACCGGGGCTCCTGTCGTTAACGTGAGTTTACTATTGCTTTGCTTCTTTACCCTGTCTAATCACTGCGAACTAACACCTTTTATAGCTTCACGGTGCTGCAGCCGAGGCGGCGAAACAGGCTGGCGTAAAACAAGTCAGTGTCAGCATCAGCCACAGTGATTCTCAGGCAGTAGCTGTAGCAGTTTCTACATTCTAATGGCTTGATGGGCAGTAGGGTTTAGATAATACGTATTTAAGTATAGATAATTTGATATTTTCTCGCTAGCCTTCATGACACCTACATTGATTTCATTTCCTGGTTTCGTCTAGTGTGGATCAGTCATTGTATCGTTCACGATTCTCTCGACACTGTATTCAGTTTTAATGCATAAGTGTAGGCTGAATAGGGTAAGTCTCTCTACTGCCTTGATCCTATTCATCTCTCCACTTTCCTCCTGACTTCAAAATTCAAACATGTTGCTCTTCGTTGTAGACCCTACCTCTATACACATGCATTATTATACCAAAGATCCAAGGGCTAGCTTTAGCCCAGGATGTGTTTCAAATGTTCCTCGGTGGGTTGATTCCGTCCAAGATATGAAGCAACTTCCAATTAGACGAATTTGGTACGCGCGGCGAGGAGATTCAGATAGACCCGTAGATCCTCGCCCCTATCCACGCCCCGACGCTCGACTCAGTGGACCCCAATTAGCCCGAGGGTTGAGTTGATACCTGACAAGTCGTTTGTTGGCCACCTCTCTACCTAGAGATTCATCGAAAACCACATTCAGTGTGCTAGGGTGACATTTCGAGGTAGATGTCCCAAGGGCTGGGTTTGAGTTCTGCGAGTTCGCTTGAACATTTGATTCGCTTTGGCCCAAGGCCTGCCGGAAGCCGGAACGGTACAGCGCGGCTTCGACTTTTGTCACTACGTCGGAGATATCCTTGCCATTCTCAGCAGCAGACAAGATCTCTTTCTTCAGCGAATCTAACTGTCGGTCACCTTCCTCCAGCTGCTGAAGATTTTCCCGGCTTTTCGCCATAATAGCAGCGCCGGCAGTACCAGGCTTAAGAGCTTTCTCTTTGATTGGGGACTTCTGCCTCACCCACTCCCTCATGATCTCCCAGATTACATCCCAAGGTGCATCGGTGCGGATAGTATTGGGCTTGGTGTGACTACGAGTGCACTTATAACCCAAGTGCCGCACGGCTCCGCGGAAAGCGTCAGCGGAAATAGTGGATGTATGAAGGACTTTCGAGAGAGCGCTCAAGCTAAAATAGAATGGATATGGTTCTCTAAGAGCCGGATCAATCCGCGGAATGATAGCAGAATCTCCACTTGGCGCAACAGCTTTGGTCCCGGGCAAGGTAGATTCAGGGCTGCCACTCCGTGAAGAATCCGAGAGGCTCAAATCCTCCTCAAGCGCTGTGGTCAGCATGCCTTCGAGCCTGTCCACCGTTTGGTATATGCTCCTATCTGTCGTAGGAAGCATATCAAGGATCTTTTGTATAAAGTGAGGATTATGAAGTGGACCCGCCCACATGGGGCCGCCTAGATGAGTCTTCATCCCACAATGCGCACAGGTCGTGTTTGCCACTGGTCCCTGGGCAAATCCGTAATGGTAGAAAGGATTTCCTTTTTTATCTAGCCTTGATTTTGTCTGTGTCAGAGGCTGTGTTGACCAAGCTCCACAGCCCGAATCACAGTTGTAGACAATCATTGTATTGCCTGAAACAAACTTAACTTCAGCTGGTGATCGGTGAACACGGACAAAGACTCGGCCGTAAAAATCGATTGACAAAGATAAGAGTGGCTCGATAGCCAGCCCGTATTTTGCAGCTGACGCTGCGAGGGAATGAAGGATTAGACGTAGTCCACCTTCGTGGCAGTGTGTACCTTTCATAGACACACCGCCATACAATGCAAATGATTTCTCGGGGTATCCGTTCGATGCCCAAACACCGGCATCGGTACAGGTCACACACAGCAAACCCCCGTCCTTCACGGCCTGTACAGCGGAGTCCATGAACGGTGCAGCCGTCCCGTAGGGATCCAAATCAATGACGTCAAACTTCCCAGTGTGTTGTCCACTACTCTGGGTACTAGCTGGGTGAAGAGTACTGTACATATAAGTTCGCGCGTCGCCGGTGTTAGGTTGAATGAGCTTTTCGAGTCCGTTGTATTCAATGTTCAACTTCATCGATTGGATAGCGGAGGGCGATAGATCATTTGCAACAACACAAGTGACAAACGGAATCTCTGATGCATAGCGTAATGCACGCAAACCAGTGGCAGACAGAGCGTCAAGAATTGTAAATGAAGGCGTAGTGTTTTGTTCCGGCAGCGATCCTGAGACCGGCTGATCACCATTTCGTGCTTGGCAGTCGGGATTGCTTCCCTTACCATTTGGTTCTTCTTCTTCGTCGCCATCCTCTCTCTTTCGTTTTTTGCCCTTTGCCTTTTCAGCTACCGCGCCCCTTTTCTGTTTCTTTTGGGCTCTCTGCTTCTTCAAAGCCAATACGTGTTCCCCATATGCTTTGATGGCGAGCACACTCAGATCTCGATTGAACTGTTGGATAGGATTGTAGAATACCGACTGGGCCTCATCCTTCGCCTTAAGGTCTCTTCGTGTTCCTTTGGCGGCTGCAGCCTGGGAAGGTGGGTTCAAAATGAACGCATTCCCTTCCTTCACCGCATGGTATTCCTTACCCTCATACTGAACGAGTTGATCAGAGACACCATGCGCTGGTATTGTCTCCATGATTGAAGACCGTGCAAAACAATACTGTACAGAGGATAAACCGCCGGAAGAAGGCTGAGGGTTCTTACACCGAGAAAAGGTCAGAACATCAGTGCGTATCGAGTGAAAAGCCGACCGAAGTGTTGAGATATGATGAGTGTCCAAGAGAATAAAGCTCATCGACTGGGATTTAGGAGACCCAGCTCGTGTAAGGTAATGAAGATGTATATATGTTGTAATTGGTGGCTGAGGTGTAATAAAAGGTCCGGTTCAAGTCCCCGCCGAGGAAAAAGAGAAAAAAAGGAAAAAAAAAAAGTGAAGCCAGAGTATAATTTATGCACGGACCACACTTTGTTAAATTCTATATATATGTACATACATATATAGAGTACGTCTCACCTCTCTGTAAAGAGAACAACCTTCAAATCATTTTATTATTATATAGAGATTTACTTCTCTTCCATTACTTTTTGTTGGAACACTATTACCTTATTAACTGTTATACTAGGCTGGCTCATCACTGTTGTACATATATGAGCATTGATCACATACAGCTTAGACATTTGTCTCTGAACTACCCGTTCATTTCATAACCAGGAACCAAGGACAGGTACCTGTTTGTAGATCTCATTCCAACCATTGGCTTCCCAACCCGAGCTCTGGCCTCCACGGGCAATGACTCCCAAAGCGCCCGCAAGCCAGACAGCGGCTCCTACGGCTGCAACACCATTGACTACCCACCACCTTTTCTTCTCCCTCTTGATCCGCTCTTCGCCTCTTATGTACCCCAGGTAACCTTCAATGTGATCTTTCTTATTGCCTCGCTCCCTCCGAGCCGTGGTAACTCTCCAACCCATCCAAGCAGCCCATCCTCCAATGACATGCCACGTCCCGACAGCGACAAAGAAAACATAATATATATTCCAAAATACAGGGCTGCGCGCAATCCCATGAGCCACATAACCCAGACCGACTCCTGAGCTCCCTCCATCAACAATCAACGGCGTCGCACGGTTGACAAGGACATGAGTACCAAGAAGCGGAACAAGAGAATATCCTAGGCGCGCTTGCCAGCTCATTCGCGGCCAGAAAGTCAATGAGGATCTCTGAGACCTAGTCTCCGCCCCGTATAGTCGTGCCCGACGAGTAGAACGGATACTCCGGAGAACAATGCCAGATGCGATATGGACAAGGAGGGGGACAGTTAGGATTACATGCTCCAGCCCCGGAGACTGGTAGATAGGTCTTGTGAGAAGCAGATACGTTTCACTGTCTGGAACTGATCGAGTCGCTAGAGGGAAAAGAGAGGTGTTGGCGAAATGCAGCGCAAAAAACAAAGTTGGGGGGTATGTCGAGTATTTCTGAAGTGCGGAGACTGCGACTGTAAGCTCGAATGAAATGGAAAAGCAAATAGTTCATCCACACATACGCCACGAATCCCAGTTCTGCCCACGAAGACCTAATTTGTGCGTGGACAGCCCGCCCTCTGATCCAGTCCAACGTTTGGAAGGCAGGTCTTGAGCTTTAGGAATGTACTCGCCAGCTTCAAGGTCGGGGAACTCGTCCTGTACTGGTGAAGGTTCCAACTCCTGCAAAACCAGCGAGTGCGTATCGATATCATTTGGCTTTGGCGAGATGCTTCCCTTGGAGGCCATGATTGAGACCTCTTTGTTTTGGTTTTGGTTTTTTTGTTATCTACTTTTCGCAAGGTTCAAGGCGGCTCAGTAATTTTTCATTCAATCATCACCGTAGAGGCATCATGGCTGTCTGGCAATCAATAAGAGGATAATTATATGGCGTCCTTTGACGATTTATGAAACCTTTACAAAAAATGCAGCAGTCGTGATTGGTCGGGGTAAAGGTATTTTTTAATCTAATCTTAACCGCAATCCTGACTAAACCACATAAATCCATAACAGTAACTATTGCCATCCTCGTTCAGAGACTGTTCGCATCTCCACGTATCAAATTTGTTTCATTAGTTTCTATTCTTTGGAAACCCTCTGATCACGTGCTCGCAAAGGATGGCACCTGTATGTTTATATTGTCGTAAAAGATATAAAGGATGGCGATAGGCTTACACAAAAAACAGCGCGGCTTTACCAATCCCGCGCCCAAAGTGCGACCCAACCCCATAGACCAAGAGAATTAGTCCCTTTTAGCTAATCCATGCCAGACTGAATCTGCGCGCTCCGCGTTAAGTTCTTTTACCTGTACACTTTGCAACAAATCTTACTCTCGGCATCCGGAGTACGAAGCGCATATCTCTTCCTACGACCATCAGCATCGCAAACGCCTTCAGGATCTCAAACAACTCTCTCGGGATCCAAATGCCGCGGAGAAGGCTAGGAGAGCGGAGAGGAGAGCGGACGCAGAGGCCGGGCTAAGAGTTATTGACAAAGATAATACCGCTGTGGGGGCTGGCTCTGGCGGTGGGGGAGGTTTCAAGAAGGGGGGGTTCAAGAGCTCCTTTACGACAGTCAAAGGCCCTGTAACTCCAGCAGCACCGACGAAGAAAAATGTACTCGGGGATGATGATGAGGAGGAAGAAGAAGGCGATGACATACCCGAAGCAATCGAGAAGAGCCACCGTGCTCACACTCGTGGCTCGAGCACCCAGTATGATTTTGAAGAAAGTGATACAGATGGGGAATATGCGGGTGATACAGTGGGCGGCGGCTACTATGATCCCCTCAAGCCTACGGGCTGCTTCTCTGGCTGTGTAGGCACCAAAAAGATACTAGCGGAGGCTAGTGTGGTCTAGAGGGAGGGTATATTCCTCCAACGAAGATTATGAAAGGAGGGCTGACGGTCTTGTTAGGGACGCGAATTCTTTCTATTTGCAAAAATATTTTTTCGAAGGCAAGTCTTGAACCATTGAATAATCATCCATGTGTTTGTAAGCACAACTTTGCCGCTTTATATATATACCCTCTGATACATCTATAGGCGGCAATATAGATATTCTGATGAGCCGTCAAATTATTGCCCTTCTTATAGCGCGTTTAGACATTCTTGATAGGAACGGAAGTAAACCTAAGAGTCCTCACAATACTCTAAACCGAGGCAGAGAAAGTATGTTCCAAGGTATAGACGTGTTGGGTAGTAGATTCTGGAAATGTAAATGAGGTTGATTCTTTCTTATAGTCGTACAGATTCCCAACACGAGGATTTAGCGCAAGGCCCCCCGAAAACAAAAGAGATGTATGCAACGGTAAAACAGTACTGGACACAGGGTTCTATTACTCGGTTTTCTTTATCTCCACTTCTCACCTTTGAGCCAGCTTACAAGCGCAGAAGCTTGGTGGCTTGGCCAAGAATGGTATCCACCTGGGGGAAGCTCATCTGCTCAAGGCCAGCGGCGTAAGGAGTAGGCACCTCAGCACCGGTGACCCGAACGGCAGGGGCCGTGAGGTAGTCGAAACCATACTCCATGGCCAAGGCCAGGATTTCCGAGGAGACGCCGAACATAGGGAACCCAGACTCGACGCACATGATACGGCCAGTCTTCTTGAGCGATTGGACGATTGTCTCGACGTCAAGGGGCTTAACGGAACGGAGGTTGATCACCTCAGCTTCAACACCATATTTCTGCTTCAGCTCAGCGGCAGCGTTCAGGGAAAGCCCAACGCAACGAGAGAGAGAAACGATAGTCAGATCCTTTCCGGGGCGTTCAATCTTAGCCTTGCCAATGGGCAGGACAAAGTCGTCCTTCTGAGCGGCCTCGCTCATAGGGAAAGCCTGACCGTACAAAAGCCTATACATTGTCAGTACCAAATAACTTGCCTCATATTGCACTTGCTGGAATCACGCATACTCATTCTCCAGAACGACGACCGGGTTGGGGTCACGGATAGCAGCCTTCAACAAACCCTTGGCGTCCTCAGAGCTCCACGGCGAAACAACCTTCAGTCCGGGAATGCTACCATACCAAGCCGAGTAGTCCTGTGAGTGTTGAGCGGCAACACCGGCGGCGAATCCATTCGGGCCACGGAAAGTGATGTTGCAAGGCTGGATACCTCCAGACATGTAGTGGGTCTTAGCGGCAGAGTTGATGATTTGATCGATAGCCTGCATGGCGAAGTTGAAGGTCATGAACTCGCACTATATATTCAAGCTTCATATCAGCCTCCTGAATGCATCTAGGATTCAACCGTTAAGTATCTAGTCGACATAAACTTACAATGGGGTGCAGTCCAGCAAGAGCGGCGCCAACCGCCAGACCGCAAAAGCCCGCTTCTGTGATAGGCGTATCAATGACTCTCTTGGGGCCGAAGCGATCCAAAAGACCTCTCGTCACTTTGTATCTGTAAGACGCAAATGTCAGCGTTATCACTCGAATTAAATCGTGCTCCTCCAAAGGGCAAGCCATACGCTCCGTTATACTGTGCGACCTCCTCTCCTAGGATAAACGTTTTCGGGTTGGTCTCCAGCTCCTCGGCGAGAGCTTCGTTCAATGCATCACGAACAGTGACTTCCTTAACACCACCTTCCGTAGCATAGCCCCGGAAGCGCAGGATCGAGGGAGCGCATGCTGGTTGGGGGAACGCAGGACGCAGAGGCGCAGAGAGACGCGATGAAAGCAGACGAGCTGCAGGGCGGAAAAGTCGGGGAGCAGCCATGGCCGGGCTGAAGGACATCTAAATCGAGCAGACGAGAGGGTGTTCACAAGGACTCCGCAAGATATAAAGGAGAGAAGATGCCGGAGCGAAGGGTTTCGCAATACCGTTGTTTCAGGACTTGGTCGTCAATCAATGGGGATTTTAGTTTTTGGTGAGCATTTCAAGCAGACTGTTGGGCTGGGGATGACTAAGCCCGGGCGGTCCTCACCGGCGGCTCATTCCGTTGGTAATGTACTAACTAGGACCCAGAGGAAGATGATAACGCTAAACTCCGTACTCCGTTCCTATACTCCTCTCTCTGTTTCATCAATCAATCAAGGAAGGATGATCTGCGATCGATTCTATTCGCATGTGCTTCCCTTTTTCGTGGCCCTCGTCTCCCCCATCCTTGCTCATCAACCTTCCGTTCCGGAGCCCATTGCGTCTCCTTTGCGTGACTTGAAATGGGGACAGCTTAATTTCCTTCACACTACAGATACTCATGGCTGGCTGGCCGGTCATCTCCAGGAGTATGCCCCAATGCATTGGTCATGGATGACAAAAAAAGATACACTTTCGAGGCCATGTAATACTGATTGAACGCGCTATAGACCCTCCTATGCCGCAGACTGGGGGGACTATGTCTCCTTCGCTACCAGAATGCGAGAGAAGGCCGAGGCACAAGGGCAAGATTTACTGATCATAGACACTGGTGACAGGGTGGAAGGCAATGGCCTTTATGACTCGTCAGAGCCTAAAGGCGTCTATATTTCGGAGATTCTGCGACAACAGCCTATCGACCTGTTGTCGGCTGGTAATCATGAACTGTATAAACAGAACACCTCTGAGGCCGAACTTCTTACTACGGTCCCTAATTTTCGCGGAAACTACCTAGCTTCGAATATTGATATTATACATCCTGTAACCAAAGAGACTGTGCCGTTGGCTCCTCGGTTCAAGAAGTTCACGACCCAGCAACAAGGTATCCGTATCATTGCTTTCGGCTTTCTTTTCGATTTTACAAAGAACTACAACAACACCATGGTAAAACCGGTGGAAGAGACTATCAAAGAGGATTGGTTCCAGGAAGCTATCAGGGATAAGGAAGTTGATCTCTTTTTGGTGATCGGGCACGTCCCCGTTCATTCCAAGGAGTACGACGCTGTCTTTAAAGAGATTAGGACGGCCCGTTGGGATACCCCTATTCAATTCTTTGGTGGCCACTATCATATCCGCGATTTTGCCCGATATGACTCTAAGGCGTTTGGGTTGGCAAGTGGTCGATTCATGGAAACGATCGGTTTCATGTCAATCGATGGCCTGTCCACTACCGAACGGCAGGTGAAACCTACTTTGACAACCCCAACCTTTAGCCGAAGATATATTGATAATAACCTTTATTCCTTTTATCACCATACCGGCCTAAACGAGGAAACGTTTCCAACGGAGCATGGTCGGAATGTATCTTGGCTTATTCAGAAATCCAGGAGCACTCTTCAGCTCGATAAGGTACATGGCTGTGCGCCTCGGGATCTTTGGATGTCACGCGTCAAATATCCAAGTCAGGATAGTATTTACACTTGGCTCGAACGGCAGGTGCTGCCCAACTCGTTACGAGATGATTCTCGCGCTGGCAAGCCGGCTCTTGCTATCGTCAACACGGGCGCCATTCGTTTTGACATATTCAGGGGGCCTTTCACGCAGGATTCGACATTTATAGTGTCCCCGTTTACTAGCGGTTTCCGTTATGTTAGGAATATCCCTTACGAAATAGCGATTCTGATAGTCGAGGTCTTAAACAAACAACCGCAGATTCTGACTGACGATCGATCCAGCATCATCGCCCAGGGACTCGCGCCCCCAGAACAATCAGCCTATCTCCATGATAGAGTCCCTGATGACAGCTTCGGCTTGGAAACCACTAATTACCTTACAGATCAAGCGTCACTGCTGAGCAGCGATCATTCCAAACCGAAGCTTATCCCTGGGTACACTACAACCGACGACCAGGGCTCGGATGGCGATGACACGATTCATTTGCCCATCTCGTTCTACCGTGTCCCAAATTGTATCCATGCTCTGATCCCCACCAATGCGTCCTCGGTGCCAAAGACAGTGGATCTCGTATACATTGATTTCATAGAACCATATCTGGCTCTCGCAGCCAAATTCGCGGGGCTAGGTGTAGACTTCACGCGGGATAGTAATGTGTATATGCCGGCTACGACGTTGACGAATCTTATCTTGGATTGGGTGAAGGACAACTGGTCTTGTAAGGAAGTATGAAGCATTAAGGGGAAAGTGCCTTTTCGGCCACCGCTATGTATTATTTCTGTTCCAAGCGTTCTACGCAACTGCGGTTAGATATAAGAAGAACGCGCATGAGATTCATTTGATACATAACTACCAGCGTCGCGGCAAGTGCTTCAGTCCCCACCCTCGTACTTGAATAGGCCCTTTCCACTGCGGTAACCACTCAAAGTTTCCTGCACACCAGCGGTGAGCGCAGTGCTGTCTGTGTCCCAGGCCCACTTGATTTCCTCTACGGGGATGTCCTTGAATTTTCCTGCCCGGGTTAACTGTAGCACATCGTTGATGGTGTTCTCTTTGAGTTGAGGATGCTTATCCCCCCATTTGCTAACCCAAAATCCATCGAAGGCAAGATTCTTGAAGATAAGTAGCCCGGAAGGTAGGGAAACCGGCTGCTTCGACATTGCCCCGTATGTGACTAAGTGAGAACCTGGGCTCAGAGCCTTTGCCAGTGCGGTGGCATTCTTACCACCTACGCAATTCAGGGCAAGTCGAATTGGCTCCCTCCCGTTGCGGGTGAGCCCGCTCAACATGTTCTTGAAGTCTCCTGAAAGCAATTCTGTTTCCGTCACCACTGCCGTCGCGCCTAGCTCATGGAGCTCAGACTTCAGAGCCTCCGTTTCCTCGGGGGTCTTCCTCTCGCGGACAACATTGATCGTCTTAATGCCCCATTCCCGCGCGAGCTGAATAACAGCGCGACCAACACCACTGTTGGCTCCGTTCTGAATCAACCATTCTTCTCCACTCCGCATCCAATCCCATTCGCAGAAGTCCTTGATCATGCGGTAGGCTGTGACTGGATTGACGCTGACTGTGCTAATCTGAAGTGGCGACAGCCCGTCTGTGTCCTCAATCTTAATCAGCTGCGACTCTTCCATCTGAGCGTGTGTGCGCCAGGTTCCCTGTCCCGTCTGCTTCATGACGACCCAGTCACCCTTGCTAAGTGTTTTGACACCGGAGCCCGTCGCAATGACCTCAAAGGCGCCCTCGTTTCCGCCCACAGCGCATGGATCCTGGGTGCCAAGGGCCGTCTGAAAAGGCGGTTTGCTCGGATACACGCCCTGAATTTGGTTCACATCGGCTGGGTTCAGAGGTGCTGCAAGAAGGCGTAGAGTAACCTGCGACCCGTGTGGAGGAGAGATAGAATGTTTGTGGAGCCTATAGGTGGATTGGTTAGGAAGCTAGTAGTTCTTATATCCCTGTTGGCTTTCTTGCGGAACTTCCGAGAGCACATACCGTAGAACATCTTTGGGTTCGCCATATCGCGAGTACACTAATGCTTTAGCTTGTGTGTAGCCATAGACTGAAATGTATCTTCTACCCGTAGTCAATGCGCCCGGCAGCGTTCCTCGTGTAATAGCAGGAGCTGAGGCAGCCCTAAAAGCTTTCCAGAAAAGGGACGCATTGCTGCGATAGGTGGATTGCACTACACCACGCGAGAACATGATGACAGCTTGATATGGTCGGCGAATCTCTAGAAGAAGTAAAAAAAAAAAAAAAAAGAAAGGCTGGGGTCAGGAATGGAGAGAAGCAATGAGAGAATTAAAATCTAATAATAAATGACGTCGTTGCGCCTTCGGGCCGATGGACACTAAACGCGAACTGGTTCTTGAACGTATTCCCGTATGACCTCTTCTACACTCGAACCTCGGCTTTTTGGTTCCCACACCTCCCAAAAGTTTTACCCTAAATGTCCCTTTTGCGGGAAGCTGAGAGATGCATCGCCAATCAGAATTTCTATGTTACCCTCAATGCTTTTATAACTGCCCTGTCGCCTTCGGGACACTGGCGGGAACGGGTACAAGATGCAGATCGCCGGATTGAGCAAAGCAAGTTGGATCATTCCATATCATTTTAGTGTTGTCGGCACTGACGGTTGTTTTTTTCCCCTCCCGCTTAGGAAAGCCTAGATCGAAAGTGGACGGCCGATTGATTGCCATCAAAGATAATATATGTACTCGTGACCTTCCGACAACATGCGCGTCCGGAATGCTCCAGAATTTCACCAGTCCGTTCAACTCGACCGTCGTTGAGCAATTGGAAGATGCGGGCGCTGTCGTGGCTGGAAAGACAAATCTCGATGAATTTGGCATGGGTTCCCATTCGATCCATTCGCGATTTGGACCGGTGAAAAGTTTACGCCAGGACGACGATACCGAACCCCTGTCAGCCGGTGGTAGTTCTGGAGGGAGTGCAGTTGCAGTCGCCACAGGCCAATGTTATGCGTATGCTTTCTTCTCGCTATCTTCCCCAAAACATGTTTATGTTTACTGAATGATTCACCCGGCAGAGCGTTGGGTACAGACACTGGCGGGTCTGTTCGCCTTCCGGCCGCATACACTGGGATAGTTGGGTTCAAGCCATCTTACGGATTGATCTCGCGATGGGGTGTGGTCGCATATGCTAACTCATTGGACACGGTTGGGATCCTGGGGAGAAACACGACCAGCGTTCGCGATGTCTTCGGTGCGTTCCATAGCGTTTCCCATGCCACGTCTCATTCCGCTTGGGTGACTAATGCGCGTTTAGATATTGTGAATCAACATGATCCACGCGATCCAACTAGTCTCTCTCCATTTTCTCGGTCTCGGATACTTTCATATCTTCACTCCCCCCCTTGCGCATCTCGACTAAACTCCGCCCCCCTCAGAATCGGAGTTCCCATAGAATATAACATATCCGAACTTCACCCTTCCGTCCGGCGCGCTTGGTCACGTTCCCTAGCTTATATGCAGCAACAAGGTCACAGTATCTATGCAGTCTCCCTACCGACGACAAAACTGGCCTTGTCAGCATATTATGTGCTTGCGCCTGCCGAGGCTTCCTCAAATTTGGCCAAGTACGATGGTGTCAGGTACGGATCTCGTTTCGATGGTCCGGATAGTCATGGACAGCCGGATGGGTATCTGTACGCCAATACGAGAGGACGTGGATTTGGCTCTGAAGTCAAGAGGCGGATCGTCCTGGGTGCGTTCAGCTTGAGTGCTGACGCTATGGATAATTATTTCATTCAAGCTCAGCGTGTTCGACGACTCGTGCAGCATGACTTCAATTCCGTATTTCAAACGAAGCAGCCGTTGGCGTATCCTCGGTTGAACATGGAAAGTCCGCGCAAACATACTGGCGTAGACATTCTCATTTGCCCGACTGCTCCATCAGCTCCGCCGCGCATATCGGAGCTGACAAATTCGGACACTGCAGCCTCGCCCTTAGAAGCGTATATGAATGATGTCTTTACCGTTCCTGCCAGTCTGGCTGGTCTTCCAGCCATGTCTGTTCCAGTCACCGTCCGTGGTGATCGCAACCAGGGCTCCAATGACACGGAGTTAGCAGGCATTCAAATAGTCGGTCAATACGGGGATGACGAACTGGTAATGAAGGTGGGAGAATTACTCGAGGGTAAAATGTTCTAGGCTTTTTTCGTCAGCTGCATATATCTGGAAAGGGTAATGCGGCCGTATCTTTATTTTTACGTCGGGTGTCCTTAGATATCGTGTCTTGGTTATCAGTGCCTGTAGATGAAGGGCAGCAGAAACATGAAAGCCGCATTTTGAAATCGGTGCCTCGTTCATGGTATCGCAATCTAACCAACGCATTCCGAATAATATACATGGTCCAAAATCCTGTAAACATGAAAAGAACAATAGAAGGCGAGTGCTGCAAACTGCACATCGTACGTTAACCACTCCCATGTAGATGGACGGAGGCCAATGCTTCATTCACGACATCTCAACATCACGTTGCACTATGGTGTTTTCAACATCAGCAGCGGGTTCCTCTGTATTCGGTGTGCCTACTATACCGATACTGGCCGTATCTTCAAAGGTACTCTGTCCAGGACCTACATCAGGGGAACCTTCGTTGCCGACACTATTCTCTATGGTTGAAGGGCCTGTTCCAGGACCAGCAGAAACGGCAGATTCGTAGGCAGCGCCAACACCCCCCTTTAGAACCTCCGGGCCTCCAACCACACCAGTACCAGAGCCGTCCATTTGAGCATTGCCAACAACATCACCGTCCACCCCACCCCACACAAGCATAGCCTCGACTTCATCGACAATGTCAGCCACGACATCTTCGACTATCTGTTCGTCGAAGCGTTCTCCAATCCCTCGGATCAGCTCGCCGCTCTCTGCTTGAGGAGGACCAACCCACCACGGGCCTTCAAAGCGGCACTCAACCGCACCACCGCCGTAGCAGCTGACAGCGGGGTAATATCCGATCATTCCATCATCCGCGTTTTCTCGCTCACCAAGACCTAAATTATTGGTCCCATTGGCGAGCCGACTGGCGGGTGGTAGGAAAGCATACAGCTCTTTGAATGGGGTGCCCATTTCCACACCGTTTTTGTATATTGTGATACTTGAGCCCGGCAGCGTACGCAAAGATGCATCCTCGGTGTTCATCGGCGAAGGTGGTCCGAATGTAGGCGTTTCTTTAAGATTGAAAGCATAATCACGTAACTGTTTTGTGGGGAATACATTCGACTGCTGCCAACAGAAGTCAGACTTGTAGTGAAAAGGAATCCGGTCGCGGATAACGTTCGTTGCCGCTGGTGGTTCTGAACTGGGGGTTAAAGCGTTTCCATCGATGGAAGGATCGTATGTGCCTTCGACGACTTTCTTGTGGAGCGAAAGTGGCGGAAGAGTGATAAGCATGCCAATGACATCTCCTTCGCGGATTGATTCGCCTTTGGGGAAAAAATACTCGCAGCGCATTCGGTTGACCACCTCGCCATTCACATCACGGATCCCATAGCCATAGCAGTCCACCCCCACATTAACGTCCAGATCCGCCTCCCTTCGCGCGAATCCAAGACGGACATGGCCTTTTGACGGCAAGCGAGAGCTTCCGTTAGTAGGTGCTGTCTGCGCATCACTCATTACGCCGCTAATGATGCGTGCCTCGTAGTAAAATGTTCCTTCGCGCGCGCAGACGTTAGCGCGCGCAGTGTGCCATGGTCCGTTGGTAGTAACAGCAAGCGCGTCTTCATTGAAGAGGATCGCCGCTGGCGAATCCTCAAAGCTGAAGCGAGCCTTGTAAGGACGAACATCGGTCTGGCGGTATTTAATATGTGGAAAGCCTGGATCGGCTATGGCATAGCTATAGCGAAACCCATTTTTATTTGTAAGCTTATCAACAACTTCGTAGAAGCTCCAACTCTGGCCAATTACCTCCGATGTTTTCTGGCTCACAAGGTTCAGCTGCCGACGTTGCGGGGGTAATAAATCTGATGGCCTTGGCTCAGCAAGCAGCAGAGGTCTAAGAATATTGAGATCTGAACTGGGCAGAGCGATATTCTGAACGACAGCTGCTCTCCTTTTAGTAGGTACGGCTTCTTGATCTAATCCCTTGGCTTCGCGCTTTTTACGACTGTCGCGTTTATTGCGCTTCGACCTTGGACCGTCGGCTTGTACTGATGCATTACTAGCGGGAGCAGGCGATGATCTCAAGTTCGTATCTAATAAAGGTCCGTTGAAGAATGGTGTACCACTGGGAGGGAGAATCGGTGAATTTATATTCGACGAGGGCGCGGAGGACCCAGCCGGCTGCGTGGATGCCATAGCTGAATGGCGTGATTTCGTAACAGAACTGGCGAAACAGTCAAACCAGGTATGAAGAAATGCTTCAACGGCCCTAGCTCCTACTGTGGAAAAACATTGATTTGTTGCTTTTCTATGGCCGTGTTGCAGAGGTCAAGTGTGAGGGGAGGCGAGACAGGTTTCAATCAATCGCAATGGAAGAAAGCTTGGCTTGGAAAATAGCACCTAGGAGGCAGGTGATTCCTATTCTTTCAATATAAGAAAAGCACCAACCTTAAAAGATGCTGGCAACAAAGAGCGGGGAGTGGCAAGTTTTGAGGAAACCGCGCGTCTGCGATAAACCAAAAGCCGGGTCAGATGCATGGACAGTACATTCGAGAGGCTGTTCAGGTAAGAAGTCGAAGTTGGATAGTTTATTGGCAGATCCGAGTGCTGTTTCAATTCATCAGTATGCGATTCCCAGCCATAACACTGAATAAATTAAGCGCAAAGCTTTGTCTTACTATTGTAGTAGTGTATCTTTGGGGCAAGTCCACTTACCTAGTTGACCTACGGAAAGCTCTTTGTTGATAGGAATTTTGTGTTCTTGGAAACAAAATTGTACTGGGCCTTCAAGTATCAAGGGGACTGGGTATAGTATGATAAATACAGCCAACGAGCTGTTAATTGGGCCATGAGAAGTGAAACTCAAAAGAGCGGAAACAGTCCTACCGATATCTCTGCGTTTGAGGGCGGTCAGCGCAGTATCTTGGGCAGAAAAGTAATGTTGGTGGATTCTATTTGATAAGGGGCAATGGGCGGTAAGAAGCATCTACCACTCATTATGCCGGAACCAAAAGCGGTGAGTGTGACACTCCACTTCGTGCGGAAGAAAAAATGCTTTGCAGAAAAGTCGAGATCACATGATCAGGAAATTCACACACATTCTTAGGTCCCATGCAGAAGCTCGATTCTACGACCATCCAGACGCTCTATATTATTTTAGTATGATATAGCAGAATTTGGCACCAAGTCCTATCAGTGCCATATTTGGAAGCCATTCACGATGCCCAAAGCTACATCATCACGCTCGGCCGCTGCTGGCCGCAGACACAATCCTCTGGCTGAGGACATTATGACCATGGGCCATTTACGGGCCCAGTCTGGAAAAAAGATTAAACACAATTCCCGATCCGATGAAGATCAAGAGGATGGCGAACGTTTCATTGATGCGAAAATGTCTCGCAAGATTTTGCAGATTGGGCAGGAACTGGCCGACGAGGATGCCGCTGAGCAACGGACGGCAATAAGAACTATAGGAGCGAAAGATCATACAGCTTTTGATTTTGAATCTCGCTTTGAGGATGACGAAGCTTTATCAGATGATGAAAGGTTCCAGGATGACCAATGGGGCGATGAGGAAGAAATCGAAGAAGTGGTCTGTCTATTACACATTCCCTATGATTCCATTCTATGATTATTAACGTTTCAAATAGGAGGTCGACCCAAATGATCTTGACATGTTTCACAAATTCATTCCTGGTGGTGACGAAGATCCTATATTTAATCCTAGTGAACAGGGCATAGGTGGTCAGAGCACGAACCTCGCCGATCTCATTCTTGAGAAGATTGCCGAACATGAGGCAAAGCAAAACGGAGACAGCGGCCCCTTGGTTCAGGGCGGGGGACTACCGGAAGATGCAGTCCAGATACCAGCTAAGGCGGTCGAAGTATATGAGAAGTGAGTATCATTATCATGTACCCAGTGACTTTCAACATATTGATTGGAATCTAGAGTCGGTATGATCCTTTCTCGCTATAAATCCGGACCACTTCCAAAGCCGTTTAAAATCCTCCCCTCTGTTCCCAACTGGCCAACTCTCCTTTCCATTACTCGACCGGAGTCATGGACCGCCAACGCTATTTACGCCGGAACTAGGATCTTCATCTCATCAAAACCAGCAGTCGCCCAAGAGTTTATCTCGACAGTACTCCTCGATCGGGTTCGAGAAGAAATTCATGAGACCAAAAAGTTGAATGTGCATACGTATAACTCATTGCGGAAGGCGCTATACAAACCTGCCTGCTTCTTCAAGGGGCTACTGTTCCCCCTTGTTTCCAGTGGGACTTGCACGTTGCGGGAAGCTCACATTGTCTCCTCGGTTATTGCCCGTGTATCCATTCCTGTATTACATTCCGCGGCCGCCTTATTGCGTATGTGTGACCTTGCTGCAGAGCAGTCTTTGAGGTCGTTGGAGAGTACCGGGGCGGTAAATATGTTTATTAGGGTGTTTTTGGAAAAGAAATACGCGCTTCCTTACAAGGTTATCGATGCGCTTGTCTTTCATTTCCTGCGTTTCCGGGCTAGCGACAACGATGAGGACTCGATGATGACGAACGGACATTCGCGGGGCACCGGCAAGGCGTATAAGCTTCCCGTTCTCTGGCACCAGTCCCTCTTGGTCTTCGCACAGCGCTACCGCAATGACATCACCGAAGATCAACGAGAGGCGCTCCTGGACTTACTCTTGGTGCGTGGACACAAAGACATTGGACCCGAAGTAAGGCGGGAGCTGTTAGCCGGCAGAGGACGAGGTGTTGTTATACCTGACCCAGAGAAGCAAGGGGCCTTGGATGCTGGAGATGATACGATGGACGTCACCATATAGGAGACAGATGTATATGGATAATTTTCAAAAGCGCCGTGTGAAGTTCTTCTTATCCTTACCATTCCTTCCCCCCTTGTCTGACTTTTTCTGTGATTTTGGTCATGTATGGTGATCTGGATGGGCGTTAAGATGGCATGATTACTGTTTCATCTCTCTGTTATTTGGTTCTTGCACATATTCCCATGGTATGAAGTAGATCGTTGCTTATTGCCAGTGATTTTGAGATAATGGTTGAACACACCATGAAAACCAGAGCAATTTCCTGCTACATGAATTCCCGGTGTAATTGCTTGCACATATTTCATTTCACCTTTCAAACATTCATTATCTACAAATACGGTTGGTAGGTTACGGAGAGATGATGATCGGAAGAGACCAGAACGTTTTTGACCAGGGCAAGAAATTGTGGTAGAATGGGGAACTGTCCTTTATACGGAAATGTAATGCAGAAGAGTGAGCATAGACTAGACTATATCTCCCTTGAAGAGGTAAGCATAGATGCAGAGGTCCCCCCCTTTCTTTAACAATATTAGGATCGTTCTCCCGAGAAGGAGTGGCAAGTGTGGCTGATGCTAAGTTTCTTTCCTGCCGAATGAAACTAGGACAAAGGGAGAAAGAACTTATTGAGTTTGGAATGAAGACAAGAGAAAGGTGAGACTTGATGGTGCATTCCAACCCACCTTCATTGTCCAAGGGCAAAGAGGGAGAAACAAACAAAACCCTCCTCAAGACTCAAAATCAAACCAGTGGAGTCTTCCAGTGAAAGAAGAATGGATCCATATTCCATCCGCTCAGTGTTGTACATATATGTATGTATCTAAACCTAGCATATAGTAGTAGGACTGTAGTAAATTGTAAGAGATAGTAGTATACATATGTATATGTACAACCGGGGGAATAAAAATAAAAATCAAGATAAATCCAATACCTACGTATCTATCAACCGACGGGCTTCCGAGAGACCAAGCCCGTATTCCAAGTTTAGATACTCTGTAGAAAATGGTCTGTTTCACGGCCCCCACATAGGGGTGAATCAGAAGGGCTTATTGGATGTAGTCATTTCGGACACGGAGCCGAGACCTCCCCACTGTCGCAAGTAAAGAGGGTTACAGTGGTGGCGAGGGGCTGTTCCAGAAGGTTCAAAGATACGATTACCGAGTCAGTACCATTCCATCGAAAGAACCCCAAAGAGAAATCACTCCTTCCGGTATGTCTTGGTATTGGTATTTGGTACCGTCCCTTTAGGCTGACGACCATGGCTCCGCCCCCTTACTGCAGGGGCTCGGCTGATGAGACCACGTTGGCCTTTTAAAGAGGCAACCACTCCCCTCCCTCCGCTTGAGCGAAGACACTCTGGCCTTCAGACATCTCTTATCCTCTTTGAATCTGGACACTTGTCCTTTCCCAAATTCTGCCCCTCAAAAGTCTATTGAGCTGGGGCCTAGCCTCCGCATGTTCAATCGTTATGACAGCGTGGCCTCTGATCTTGTGATTTGGCCTGTGGACGTGATCGAATTACATCTTTACTGAACAAGCCGTGCTCTCATCATCTTGCCATCACCCCAGAGTGTCAATTATCACGAGCTTACTGAATCACGACCTTCGTCATAAATTCGTCACGTCTTGTAGTATGGAGAACACCATGTCCGCCGTGGACTCATTACCCAGCACCCCGGCATCGGAGGTGCCGGTGTTAACTGTCTCCCCGGCCGACACATCGTTGGACAGCCCAGATTCGAAGACGCAAGAAGTCCAGACAGAGGAGAAGAAGCCCGCGAAGAAGCGAAAGTCATGGGGCCAGGAACTCCCAGTCCCCAAGACCAACTTGCCTCCTAGGTATGTTGACTAACCTCGCTAAATTTACTGGGTTCATAACTGACCTACGGATCCAGGAAACGTGCCAAAACAGAAGATGAGAAAGAACAGCGCCGTATTGAACGAGTCCTTCGGAATCGTGCGGCGGCCCAGACCTCCCGGGAGCGCAAGAGGCTTGAAATGGAGAAGTTAGAGAATGAAAAGATACAGATGGAACAACAGAACCAGTTTCTCCTTCAGCGGTTGTCTCAGATGGAAGCAGAGAACAACCGCCTGAGCCAACAACTTGCCCAATTAGCTGCCGAAGTCCGCGGGTCTCGTGCCAACACCCCGAGGCCTGGCTCTCCGGCAACAACATCTCCCACCCTCACACCTACATTGTTCAAGCAAGAGCGCGACGAACTTCCTCTCGAACGTATCCCCTTTCCTTCCCCATCTCTGAGCGATTATTCCCCCACATTGAAGCCTTCCACTCTGGTTGAGTCCTCCGACGTGGCACAACATCCTGCAGCGGTGTTGTGTGACCTGCAGTGTCCGTCGCTGGACTCGAAGGAGATGGAACCGCCCTCCCATTTTTTGATCTCGGCTCCGGGCTTAAACATCACCCTGCAGATGACATTGCAGCTCCTCTTTCTGACGATGACTTCAACCGCCTATTCCACGGTGATTCGTCCGTTGAGCCAGATTCTTCAGTCCTTGAAGACGGGTTCGCCTTTGATGTTCTCGAGGGAGGAGATCTATCAGCATTTCCATTTGATTCTTTGGTTAATTTCGACTCCGAGCCGGTCACCCTCGAGGGCATCGAGATGGCCCACGGCCTTCCGGATGAGGCTTCTCGCAAGACTTCTAGCGTGCAACCCAGCCTTGGCGCGTCCACTTCGCGATGCGACGGGCAGAGCATTGCAGCTGGCTGTTAGCGAAAGTCTCACTCGGGGAAGCATGTCGGTCGCCGATGCCCAGGGGGCTCGATGCAGCTGGGAGTCGTTGCTAACCTTATTATGGACGATAGACCGACTTGAGAACCCGGGACGACGCAGGCAAATTTTGCATGGTTTGAGGACAACGCAGATCGATCGGCACAGTAATTTGGGAAAGCGTAAGGGGAGTACTCGGAGTTCATGGCGTTCAAATAATACTGAGGCGTTGACGTCTCTACTTATGGACAAGGAATGTTGAGGGTTTACCTGTACAATAATAATCCTTTAAATCGTCTCAAATACGAATGAGAGCACTGCCGGCTGAGAGGTTTTGTTCCAATCTAAGTTTTCCATGCACATGTCCAGTATCGCTGTAGCTGAAACGTAGATATTTCATGTTGAAACAGTTCATTCTGAATCAAGTGTGGATTTAATATGTGTATTTCTTTTTTATTTTTACGTCCTTTGGGACAATGTTAGATAGTATACTCAACAATACAAACTTGACCCTTACGGGAATCCAGATGACCTTGCCACGCCGAAAGCCCTCCCCCCTCTTATTTCTCGAATCCCGACAATGGGATGAATGTTGCCTCCCGCTTTCTTCTTGGCTTTTCCCTCTCCTTTCTTACATCTCAATTTCAGTTTCCTTCTTTACCTTTCCCCTTTCTACTGAACCATTATACATCTTGTTAGACCATTTAGAGATCGACAAGATGGTTCGGAAGGATCCCATTTTCGAAGCACGTACCAATGTGAAAGTGAGTGTTAGGTTCACGTGTTCTTACTCCCTACTCAGTGGCCCTTATTTGTTCGCCCATTTTGATTTTATACTTTGTTGATTATGCCTCAATATATATATATATATATATACACATTCAATGATCGACTAATCCATTCCCTCGGTTTGACAGCTACACTCTAATCGGCTCAAGAAAGAGGCCGCTCGTGCTGAATCAACTTTCAAATCTGAGAAGGCGAAGGCCGACAAAGCCATGAAAAATCGTGAATTCCAAATCGCCCGCATCCACGCAGCCTCTGCTGTGCGCGAAAAACGAAGACAGGTGACCCTTAAGGAGGAAGCAGCCCGCGCAGATGTTATTATCAACGAGCTCAAAGCAGCACAGAGTACTCGTGATACGTCTCGCACCCTAGCCCTAGCATCTCGGGGCTTGGATGCTGCCTCTAAAAGCGTGAATCTTGAGGCGCTGGTTTCCCATGCGAACAACTTTTTAGCACGCTCGGAAGATTTCAAAATTGCGAGCAGCGCAATCGAGGATGTTGCACAAGGTGTTTCCATGCGAGAATACGGCGCTGAGGGCGAAGCCGACGTTGATCGCCTCATGGAACAGCTTGCTGATGATGCAGGTGTGGATTTGCGCATGGCCTTAGATGCAGACACGGCCCCCAAGGAAGATGTCAAGGATCAGAAACAGGCCGAGGCAGACCTTGAGGATGGCTTGGGCGCAAGGCTGCGAGCCCTAAGGGCTGCGAGCTGAGTCTTCCTGCCCCTCTTTTTGTTCACCTGCCTTGATCAGCATTTTCTACGGCTGCTGGCTTGAGTGGTATCGCGCCATATGCATGTTGATTGCGGATCCCTCTTGTCGACTTTGCTGCTATCCTACGGACCTTAACGATGTGATGCCCACTTTTTATGCTTACTCTCTGGTCGTTTATTGTTCGTATCTTCTTCCCCGTCCCTCCGCTATATCAGTTGAGGCGATGTCCAGCGTACGTCTTACTTGATTTTGAGATCCAATGTATATTCGGAGTACATCGTTTCCTCCTTATTCCCCTGCTTCGGATGATGGCTGGTCTTATCATTTTGTCGTCTTGATCCAATATAGATTTCACTGAGTGTTCACACGTTCATGTGTTGCTAGCTTTAGAAGTCCCATCGGCTCTCTTCAGAGTTCGAATAAGACGGTGGTTTTCAAACCCCATGTTGATCTGCTCTTCACCTATGTTTACCCGTCGCCTGAGCGGGGGTGGGGAGGCCTTCAGGTGACGAGTATGTTTTGGTGATGGCTGTGGGATGACCACACAATGAGCAGCTATACTTGCGCAGCATCTAGGATCTCCCTTATGCTTTGCTGTGGGCTAGTTATCACTCCGCTAATGATATATCCTTGCCATTTCGTATCCGTTTGCAATTGTATGGAATATTTTGGCTTATCATATTAAATAAGAGCAGCCGACAACAATAATCGCCGGGCTAGCTCAATCGGTAGAGCGTGAGACTCTTAGTCATCACGGTATCTCAAGGTTGCGGGTTCGACCCCCGCGTTCGGCTTGTCTTTTTGCTACCGGTTCTATATTGCTCGTCATTTTTCTTTCTTTTTTCTTTTTCAGTACCTCAAGTCTACATACTGTATTACACCCCACCATCACATATAGCTCAATTAATATTCTAGGCTCAGCCAATACGTCCGGCCTGTGGGGCTCAGTGCCGGCATATATACTACGATACGGTTTGCCGATCTACCTTAACACTAAGATCGTTCGTTCCATATCAATATTATACGGGTCAATAGGGGGCCTTCTCTATGGACAGTAGTCATCCTTAACGAAACTCACTACTTGCAACCCTTTAAGATCTTTTAACATGAACATCTAAAGTTTATCAAGTCTAGAGGAGATGGACGGCACTGTGGCGAGATCTGGTGTCAACAAGACATCCCGCGGAAGACAGGCCGCATGTCTTAATTGCAGAAAGAGCAAAGTCCGATGCAACCGCACACCTGGAGATACAAGTTGTGAAAGGTGCAAGCAAACCGCTATGGAATGTATTGTCCCATGCCACCATGTTGGCAGGCAGAAAGGGGTCAAAAAGTACGAAGCTTTCCATTTTCCTTCGGATCCTGCTGATCACATCAATGGCTAGCAAACGCAAGGGCCTTGAGAAGGCTTTACATCAGATAGAACAAGCTATCAAACGACCTAACCCTGATGCACTCGAATCTAACGCCGCGCAGAAAATCATATCCAGTCTCCAAGATTTACTGAACAAAACACAGGGTCATCAGCTGCAAAGCGAGACCGATGATTTATCGGACACCGACCAACCCCACAATTCCCCTTCTCCCCGTGGAATTGATACGGGTGACAATTTGACACTAGATGATGCAGAGAACCCATTGCAACTACTGGCGCGCGCGTCTGACCTTCAGCTATCACCGACAGAAGAGTGTGATGCTCATAAATGGCGCCCTTTGACATCATCACAGCCTGCAGAAGTATCGCAGAATAGCTCCCAGGATAATGCCTCCGCGGCTAAATCCTTCTTTGCCCCTGTCAAGGCAAATTTGGACCTTGGCCCGGACATGGACCCTGTTGACCTTGGTCTTGTCACCTTGAACGAAGCCGAGTCTCTCTTTGCTTTGTATGACCACAGAAATACTTATGAAACTGTTCGTACAGATTGGGCTTATACATTACCCTAGCTTCTACCGAGATATTGCGCATACACGATGGGGCCTTGACCCCCTCGTCCACACTGCATCTTTCGTGCGTTCACAATCAGCCTTTCTTTTCACATCAATAATGGCTGCCGCCGCTCTCTTTTTACCATCAGCAACTGCCATATCTAAGAGATTGTCCAGGCACTGTAGATGGCTGGCTCAGGTGGTTGTGACAAAACGTCTCAGATCTGTGGAGATAGTCCTAGCTTTCATGGTAAATGTTCCATGGATGGCCCCTGGTAATTACCTAGGCGATGATGACACCTGCTTCTACCTTGCGATGGCACTCGCAATTGCACTGGACCTGTCTTTAAACAAAATCGTGCTACCATCTACTAGCTTTGATAGCGGTGTTCTAGGACGGCTTGCCAAGGCTGACTGTATTGATGCAACGAGAGCATTGCATATGGATGGCTTTGATGATGTTGATCCAAGCTCGGAATGGGGTCAGAGGCTACTACGGCGACGGGAAAGGACCTGGATTGCTTTGTTTGTTTTGGAACGAGGGTAAGAGCTTGGGCTCAGAGTACTATATGCCGTGCCACTGTTCCAAAGCTGATGTCCTGTTTATAGTGCATGTTTAGCCCGTGGAAGAAGCTACACCGTTCCCCTAACTGCTCTTATCGAAAGTTGTGACAGATGGCATGTCTCGAACTTTGCAGACTCTCGCGATGGGCCAATGAATTCGATGGCTGTTCTCCGAAGAAACCTAGTACGCCAACTCTATTACGCGTTGCTTGATAGGCCAAATCTAACGATGGCCACAGGATGACCTTTTCAAGAAAGTTAAGTCCAATTGCGATAGCTACCAGATCGCCGATGCTGGCTCCGAAGCTGCTCAGACGTATGCATAATCCTGACTACAATCTTGTTTACTCCGCTTGCTCACGGAGATTTTAGTATCAAGACCATGATAGAAAGTTTTTATGATCGCTGGTATGAGACATGGGCGCCGGCGATTGGGGAAGGTCAATGTAGGTTTGTCGGCAACCATTGAACAAAGAGTATTGCTCAACAGCGGAGAGCTGATTCAATGTAAAGCAAGTTCCCTTCCACCGTACGTGGAAATTTTGGTTACGCATACACGATTATCAACGTACGGTGGTGTGATCAATCATCCTACGGCACCACTTGAGGTAAAGCGTTTCTTTCGCGCAGCTGGCCTTTCCTCTGCTCTGAACGTGATGAGGGCAGCAATTCAAGGCGAATCACGGTTGAAATCGATGCCGAACAACACGGTCATTATGATTTCCTTCGCCGCATGCTCTGCCCTTAGCCTCAGCGTGGTACCGACGGATACTCGATCAAGCCTGGCCCCAAGTGTAAGGCATCTGATCGAGGAAACCGCAGGTGTATTGGAACGTATTGGAGCGACCCCGAATCATAGGAGCGGTGCGTCTGTTCTGTACGGACGGTATCTACGAGAGCTAGTTCGACGAGGCTCAGGTAGCCTTAATTTCCAATATCCGAATGAACCAGGGGTGACAGTCGCTGCAGAGATGACCGGAGCATTGCCGCCAACCTTGGGTGGGTACAGTGCCATGCCGCCAGCGTCGCAGCCGCCGTTTTCTCCTTTCTTTTGGTCTGAGCCTCTGCAGTTCTCCGCTATGTCCGATGGGCAGGTCATCGATGCTGTGAACCGAGCAGGGATCGCCTTCGGGACGGGGGTTCCGGATGTCCCATTGGATGATTTGATGAGCTGGGACTGGCTGGACATTGGAAATGTGACCGACTTTGGTCTTTGACGCCACCTGTTTGTCACATACATATAGCGACAATAACGAGCGGGTCTCTGCGATAGGTCGGCGTCCAGAAATAGCTCCGAGTACCGAGGGTGGTTCTTCTGTCCATCCTTCTTCCAAAAATCCACCCTGTTGTCTTTCTCTTTTCCTTTTGTTGTTTTTTGTACAACTTAACTGAAGGATATAGGCGATCTACTGAAAATAATGGCAACATTGCGGGTCTCAGCGTTGCCCTTGTCGCGGAGAGCTTTCACCGTCGCTCGGCCACGGTTCCCGTTATTGACGCACCGCAATGCAAATGCACGACCATTGCTTCGGACAGATAACCTTAACTCTGCTCCATATTCAGCCACCACGGTAGCGCAACCGGTGCGAGCATCCAAGGTTGGCCGTGGTGCTTCGAAAATCTTTAAGAATGCGGATGAAGCGGTAGCTGATCTTAAGAGTGGATCTACCATTCTTAGTTCTGGGTTTGGACTCTGTGGTGTTGCAGGTAATTAAAACACGGTGTCCCCTTAGATCATGATGTAAGCTGACATGTATCAACCACAGATACTCTTCTATCTGCCATTCATCGTAGGGGTCCCGAAAACCTTCACTCCTTGACCGCGGTTTCGAATAATGCTGGCGCGCCAGGGAAAGGAGGCCTTTCTACGCTAATCGAGGCTGGACAGGTTGATCGATTAATTCTATCTTACCTTGGGAACAATAGGGCCTTAGAGAAGAAATACTTGATGGGGGATATTGCTATTGAGCTGTGTCCTCAAGGAACGTTGGCTGAGAGGCTACGTGCAGGGGGGGCTGGAATACCTGCATTTTTCACTCCCACCGGAGCACGTAAGTTATCTCCTCTCCTCTTCTCTTGCCCTCGTCTATTTATTTTTCAAAGTTGAAATGATATCGGACTTTAACATGTTGTTATCATCGAGCGCAGACACATTCCTTCAGAATGGGCAGATCCCGGTCCGTGTAGACGGCTCTGGGAGAGTATTGGAGCATGGAAAGCCACGCGAGACGAGGCTTTTTGACGGAAAGACTTATTTGATGGAAACTGCACTTACAGGGGATGTTGCTATCCTTCGAGCCTGGAAGGCGGACGAGGCCGGAAATTGTGTGTTTCGGTAGGCATGATCTTGGTACACCATCACCAGAGCGATGCTAATATCAAATAATTTAGTTACACTACCAAGGCATTCAGTCCTCTTGTCGCAAAGGCAGCCTCCCTTACTGTTGTTGAGGCGGAGAATATTGTTCCTGTTGGCTCCATAGACCCCGATGATGTAGACTTGCCGGGAATATTTGTGGATAGAATTGTTCCTGCCACAGCCCAGAAAGCAATTGAAATCAAAAAGCTGCGGTCTACTGACAACGCGAACACCCCACCATCAGCAGAAGACGCTGCTGTGGCACAAAGGAACCGGATCGCCAAAAGAGCAGCCAAAGAACTCAAGCAGGGATATTACGTTAACCTAGGCGTTGGTAAGCATTGACTAGTCTTCTACTATGTGCCGACTATTTATAGTTAGTAGGGATTCCTACGCTCGCCCCGTCCTTTTTGCCAGATGATGTGAAGGTGTGGGTACAGTCTGAGAATGGTCTCCTGGGCATGGTTCGTTTGATCTTTCAAAAGACATCCAGAAACACTAAGAAAACTGACTGAGATAAGGGTCCTTATCCCACAGAAAGTGAAGTTGACGCGTAAGCTTGCCATGCCACTGATTATCTCCCTCCCTTCTAACATGGCATTTCCTCCTCAAGAGATATCATAAATGCTGGCAAAGAGACCGTTACCCTAGTTCCGGGCGCTGCGACCTTTGACAGCAGTGAGTCATTTGGCATGATACGGGGTGGGCATGTAGATGTTTCTGTCTTAGGGGTCCGTGAAATCATTCCCTAGTTTTCGATTTCTCTAGCGGCAACGGTTTTCTAATTGATTTACAGGCTTTGCAAGTCAGCGCCAAGGGTGACTTGGCGAACTATATGATTCCTGGGAAAGTCTTCAAGGGTATGGGAGGGGCTATGGACTTGATCTCTAACCCCGATCAGACTAAGATTGTAGTAGCCACTAGCCATACGGCCAAGGATGGATCTCCAAAAGTCGTGTCAGAGTGCAGGTTGCCTTTGACTGGTGCGGGCTGTGTGAGCATGATTATCACGGACTTGGTATGGAGATATAGATTACGTGAGATTTCGAGTAGAGGTGCTAACTTCGGATATAGTGTGTTTTCCAGGTGAATCGGAAGAAAGGAGAACTCCTGCTCACCGAGCTTGCTCCGGGCGTCGAGGTCGAGGAAGTGCAGAGCAAGACAGGGGCGAAGTTCACCGTTGCAGATCAACTAGAGCTCATGGAATGATAGGTCTAGTTGGAGGAAAACCTTGAAGGGTTTTGGTGCCAAGTTGAACGGCTACCCTGCATACCCTTTTCTCATTTACACCTGACCCTCCTGTTCATAGATAAAGTATATATAGGGAGGGAAAACATGTGGAGCTATACATGGCAATTGTGATCGTAGACATGAACAATATAGGTCGGAAGGGCTTTTGCCTAGCTCGCTGTGTTCACAGCTTGGAGCTTCTAGCAGGAGCGAAATTGGGCCCCGTTCCCTCGCTGATTGACTCCACGATGTCATCTACGCTATTCAGAATCCAGGTATTGCCTTCATCGCTTGCAAGCCACTTTGCCCCCTCCTCGCTTTCGAAGTCGTCTACCCATGTCCCATCATCGAGGGCCTTGCGTAGCCCAAACACATGCGACGTTACTTGTGGCCCAACACCGGATTGAGCGCGTAGACATGCAACAGCAACAATTGATGTCGAGATTCTACCCGCACTCGCACCGGTGCTTCGGCCGGCTGGATCCGACAATAATGCCCCATAATGGCTGTTCAAGATATGGACCGGTAGATCGGGATGTGACTCGGCCAATTTAGTAAAAAGCTTCGACTCGAATGGGCGGTAGATAGAGTTCCACAAAGCGCGACCGCGGTGGGCGATCTCATTGATATTATCAGGTGATGGCGTTCTAGTAGGAGACCGCGACAGCTGCGCACTGACCGAATCAGGAAGACTGGCTTTGAAGGCGTTGAGACAGTTGATAGTGCGGGGGATGCCATTGAAGCTGATGCACTTCAGACCAACTTCCCGCATCAATTCCGCAACGGCCACACTCTCGTCCGTAGATTGGGAAGTCGTGGCTAGTTGGAAGAGAAGGGTAAGGGATTCGGGAGAGTTCATCGTCATCGTGGCGGCGGTCTAGGAAGGAATCAGTCTCTCTCATAGGTAAGGCGTTCCACTTAGAGAGTGATACTAACCGATAAAGCCAACCAAGAGGGTCGCGAGACATTGTTTAATTCCGCTACCTGTTGAATCTTCTGGTAGACGGATTGGATGTTGGGCGGAGCGGGAATAGTATTGGGACGGGATTTTGGCGCGTTGATCAGCGCCTTAAGGCTGTTGGATAACCTGGACATATTGCTCTATAATTTTCGAGGTTCTATTAAAAGTGAAAGAAACAAAAAATAAAATAAAAAAACCAAAAATTGGAGTGGTGCGGTAGGAGTTAAAGAAACGAATGAGTTTCTTTGTATTTTCCCCTCCCATCTGGATAGACTACCTCGGCGATAGAAATGAATACCGATCCCGAATTTGCACCGATACCCATGCGAACTAGTAATACAACAAGTTTGGTAATATATATGTATTACGTACGTCCCCACGCCAAGCTTTTCATCTAATCTCTTGGTCTGGAGAAGAAGAAAGAGGTAAATGCGGGGGAAGGAGACTGGATTAGACAAAAACAAAAACACAAAAAGGGAAAAGGGAAAAAGGAGTTATAGAGAGCTGCGGGTGTAAAATTAGCCCCGACGACGACCGTTCCTTCCTTGCAAATTCTCTTTCTCTCCCCCACCCTCCTTATACTAATATATATATGTATGACTTGTTCCAGATTGAACGTTCATGGATCTACACTACACATACCATACACACAGACATACGAATCATGGACCCTGTCAAACAAAGCACGGAGATGATTCAGGATGCGAAGCTTACTTCCTTCATGGGGACAGTCACTGGCAACGCTGCTCATCAGAAGCTGGCCCGGAGTATCCTATTCAAGTTAGACACCAGGTAACACTCTCCATTATCTACTATAATATATACATCGATCGAACCATCCCAACATGCATGAATCTATTCACACACTGAAATGCTGACGATCTTCCTGGATAGGATCCTCCCCATCTTGGCCCTGCTCTTCCTATGCTCTTTCTTGGATCGTACCAATGTCGGCAATGCAAAGATCCTTGGTCTTGAGCATGACCTCAACATCACTAGCCATCAATACGATATAGGCTTGTCGGTTTTCTATCTGACCTATATATGCAGGTATATGAGCCAGGTCACAAGAAATGCTCTCACCTTGCACTTTCGTCTAAACTAACTGGACCAAGTGAGCTCCCAAGTAACCTCATCCTCAAAAAGGCATCCCCAAGAGTTTGGCTGCCGTTGCTCACTATGGTTTGGGGTACCATTACTATGTGTCTCGGTTTTGTTCGCAATTTTGCGGGTTTTGTGGCTGTTCGTGCTATCTTGGGGGCCGCTGAGGGAGGACTGTTGCCTGGCATGGTAGGCCTTTCTTCTTGTCTTTTCTTGTCCTTCCTCTTTGCCACTGAGCAATATGCAAAGTTGATGCTGTTAGGTATTGTATCTATCCTCTTTCTACAAACGAGGTGACCTAGCCTTACGTATTGGGTTGTTTTATACGGCTGCATCGTTGTCGGGTGCTTTTGGAGGTATGATTCTGCGTGACATTAACCCATCCATAGACCTGTCTTTCCGTGACTCACATAGGATGATACAAACTAGGGCTTTTAGCTCGTGGGCTAGCTGAAATTGGCCCACGAGGTGGATTAGAGGGCTGGCGTTGGATTTTGGTAATTGAGGGGCTACTGGTAGGCCCTATTATATATTCTACACGAGAAAAAGGAACGGGTCTATTCTGACAGAATATAGACAGTTGTATGTGGCGGCCTCAGCTACATTGGCCTTCCAAACAGTATAGAAACAGCGACATTCCTGACGCCCGAAGAACGGTCGTTGGCACGTGAAGAGATCAGACTGGATAATCCATCTGCGCTCCAAGTGTATGCCTTGCTACCTCGCTATGATTCCCCTCATATAACCTCAGTGAATATGCTAACAGGGGAAAAAGCTCACCATCAGTAGATGACATCGAGACCCTGAGATGGTCTGAAGTGCGAAGGGGACTACTTGACCCCCAAATGTGGTTTTCCGCCGCGGCATATTTCGCCATATTGTCCGGATTGTACTCCTTTGGGCTGTTTGTACGTTCGATATCTACTTTTTTTTGCAGGAGTTACCTGACTCGAGATCTGCCCTTATTCAGCTACCCACCATTATCGACGATAGTGGCTTTGCAACCGATCCAAATGCAGTGCAATTGTGGACGGTAATTCCATACGCTGTTGCAGCCGTCGTAACAGGTAGGTTAAGCAAATAGTCATCTGCGGTAACGATAACATTAACGGCAATAGTGCTCGTGGCTTTCATCTCGGATTGTTTACACCTTCGAGGTACTATTATGTTGTTCACGCTGCCTATTGCCATTGTTGGGTACGGGGCGATTGCCAACATCCAGTCTGCCAAGGTTAAGTATGGGATGACCTTCCTTATGGCTACCGGAATGTATAGTAGCGTTCCCTGTATCCTGGTGTGGAATTCAAATAACTCCGCTGGTCACTATAAGCGTGCCACCACATCTGCGATGCAGCTGACCATCGCCAATTGTGGTGGCTTTCTCGCAAGTAAGCTGTCCCGGTCGCGGGGCCATTCAGCACACCATAAGCTGACGAAGTAATCCTCTCAACTAGCGTTCAACTATCCTAACAAGGACAGACCCCAGTATCATCGTGGCCACACTATCATTCTAGGACTACTTGTCTTTGCCTGGTTCATGTAAGTGCAGGGCGTGCTCGAGAAAGACGACAGCTAACTTCTCGTCGTAGGGTCTCCCTTAACGTTCTGTATTGTGCCAAGGTGAATCGGGACAAGAAAAAGGGCAAATACGCTCGGTATGTCGGGTATAATGATGACAGAGATCCTGCGTTCAAATTGATGTTGTGATGTGAGGGGATGATACATCAGTACCTCGATTGATTGATTGATACGTGAAAGGAAATGATCACTTTTGGTCAGATCTCCGAGATTGACTGGAATTTCCCGCCAATCAATACGCTTGACCCGAGTATCATGTGGCTTGAAAAGGCGTATATGGTTATGTATGGATATATATAAGTAGATAGATATCGATATAGGTATATAGCTTGGCCAGGATGATCTCTTCCCGTGGCAGTGTCTCAAACCTGCGTTTGATCCGTAACAATGTTGTTCAGTGTAAAATCGATCCCTCTGGTCTCATGTACTACAACTTGTCTCGGGTAGCTTGTGACCAGAAGCATGGTCGAAACATGTATGCCAACTCTTCTCAGAACCAATGGGATTGGATATATGAACCGAAGGCTGCCTATGCTCTTAATCTCAGTGCCCTGCGTCACGACACAAGGATATCCGCAGGTATGCTGTGGGTTTGTTGGCTCAGAACCAGCAATATGGCTCAGGTAATGGCAATCATCTGGAATGTAATCAATGGGCTGTTCAAGGATCCTAAAGATCACAATGATGAGCTTATGGCTGAACGTTATGTGTCGAATACCTGCTCACCTAGATGGGTATGGGGACTATCAGATCTACCCCGAATAACCTTCAATGTGCACTTGGGCCTATCATTCGAATCTCTATGACGCCTGGGATCCCAGTTGGAGGGGCCTTATTGGGATGGCGTTCTTTATCGCCTTAGACGAGTTACCTTATCTGATTTACCAGCAAGTGATACAGCTCACGCTCGAATATCTTTATTACCATAGTATTCACGATAGCTACCGGGTTGGAGGAGAAGATGGCGATAATCTGTATCCATCATAGTCAATATCGGCGAGGATTATGCGAGGTAGATTATTGAGCTTTTTGACAGGGCCAACACACATACCAAGTTCAATAGCGCAACATGTACCGGCGTCTCTTTGATCGCGCTTACAATGTGGGAAAAAGTAGTGCTGAAAGCAAAAGGCAAGGAAACGTCACAGGCAACATGGGAGGCAATCGGTCAGCTCTATCATGTGGAGTTCAAGAGCTTTGCGGGTCCATGGGATCGCTCCTCCGGATTCGACATGCAAAAGTATTTCGGAATCATGTCTGCGCACATCTGAACCCTTGTTGGGGACCTCATCCATTACTGACAGCGTTTGAGTTTTTTATTCGGCGCCAGTCGTCCCTGTGGTTAAAGAACTAAGTCTGTGAGATGTCGCACAACGCCGAATTTGCGCTTCCTCTGCTCGTGGCTATGCTGTAGAACTCTATGTTCCTTGGTTCCGATGGCTGCTATAGATGCCTTAAAGACCTCTCCCGGGGAGCACATGGTCAACACTTCGGCATAGTCAGTTACTTACGACCATACCTCTCGAAAGATCAATGCGTGGCTAGGCAAGAAGATAAGTATCGGAGCAGAAAGTTTCAATGGGGCTATTGTAGGCAGACCGGCTTTCAATCCCCGTAGACATTTAATCCAGCGGTAATCCAATTTGGGGTGAGGGGGGAGAGGTTACTGGGGCTGGAATTGACTGGATCATCTTAAGTTCTCATTTCCTACTCCTTGTGGAACTCGGTCTAACATCCCCATAGCTATACGAAGCAGAAGAGGCTCTCGACGCGATCGTTGAATCTGATTACCTGAGACTCACATACTCTCAGGGACATCGGGCTCTTAGTTCCAGTTCCTGGTTTCTCCTTTTCCCGGAAGGATATTGCAGGCTGTGAAGATCTTGCGGGGCTGGATGTCAGACTGCCCGGCGCTTCCGACCTGAAGCTGAGGGTATCATATAGTGCTAGCAATGCTGTCATAAATTACATCTTCAGAAAATCTCTCTCACTTGGCTTATAGAAAGCAATGCAGTCACAGTGACTTCATGTATTGGAATCTTACATACTCAATGTCCCTGAATGGTACTGGGAACCTGAATAGTTTGGTGGATATGGATTGATATGACTGATTGCTTTCACTGCTGAACGAACTACTCATCTAGCTGATCCAAAAAAGGAAAAGATCAGACTCACGAGGGTGTTGGATCTGGAGTTTGTTCGAGGCAACGTCCTGAGAGCCCACTACCGAGCCAAGAGAAGAGAAGAAGCAGCATGGGGATGCTCCTGGCAGAAAATTTACAATCATCTATATTGTTTTAATTTGCTAATATAAAACAGACTCGATTATGTTTCCTAATGCAGACCAAGGCTGGGAAGAGAAAGGAGTAGACCATCAAGAGTATCTCCTAAACGCAACATGTTGTATCCAAAGATCTAGAAGACCAAAGCATCCATACATCTACCGACGGGAGGGGCTTTATTCTTCTTTCTCTTTTTAGGAAAAGGTTAAGCATTCCTCTCACTCTGAGTAGGCCTTGGGCGATGGGCCGGCTCCGTTCCCGCAAAGCTTAATAGCATGCCAATATCATAGATAGCCTTCAAGATACCGGCAATAGTAAAGGAGAGACCAAACCGACCATGATTCGATAGCACGCCGGTGATCAGTGGACCCAGACTCTGACTACTGGTCTTCACTACATTGATGGCGCCCATGATGGCGGTGCGCTTGTCCGAGGGAAGTGCCGCAGCCAAGAAAGCCGAGCGCGGAGCGACATCCATATTTTGGGAACAGGCCCGGAGGACCAAGAAGGTCAGGGCCAGAGGCAAGATGTTCGGCACCGGGATCAGAGCCAGAGAGATGGCAGAGGGGAGATGAGTGAAGACCATTGTCTGCATAACTATGATCAGTTTTTTCCCCGTGAATTGGAGAGAGATCCAAGTATGACATGCATACCTTAACATTACCAATGCGCTTCGCAATGGAAGATGCGACCAGCATAGAGGCAGCCGCAACAATGCTCGTCGTGAAGAAAATGGAACCGAGCTTACCCTCTGGCAGGGAGAACTTCCGTTTGAAGAAGTACGTCATCCAGGATCTGGGAGCTGTTAGCATGATTGTGATGTTCCTTCCTTCGATTGAAATGAAGGCATGGAATACGTACAATGATGCTAAACCCGAAGCGAATGAGTCAAGAGCGAATAGAATACAGAGTCTGACGACCAACGACACCAGGTCTCTGTCTCCTCGTAAAGCAAGGAAGCCTTTCTTCTTGGGAGGTTGCTCGTCGTTGGTCCTCTCATCCAGGAGAGGCTGGGTTTCACCATTCTCGCCTTGCTGGGCTGGCTTTTGCTTCTCATCTGCCTCGACGTTGCGGCTCAAGGCAACGGCAAGCATGAATTTGAGAATGCCGATGCCAGCGTAGGCGAAAAAGATGGTCCGACAAGCCGCGATAAACTGCCATCCCCGGATGACTTGCAGTAGATTGATGGCCCATCCGCAGGCCATCATGCCCAAGGCCGTCCCCGCGGTACCGACCAGCGAATACCAAGCGAAGATATCGCTCAGCGATTCATGAGGGGTGAGATGAGCCAGAGTGGACTCTTCGACGGCTCGGAAGGGTCCAATTTCATTTCCACTAAGAGGCAAAGGTTTTAGAACATATTCTGATCGTAAACATCATATGGGAATAGCGTAGAACCCATTTATCTAGCTCTATATATGCATGTATATATATATATATATATATATATATATATCTATACATATGTGTGGTGCGCGTGTCCATGCTCACCTTGGACTGATTACGCCGAGAACGGCGGCCGCCAGAAGAACCCAGAAATTGTTGAAGAAAGCGAAGATGATTCCACTCCCTGCCATCAAGGCGGATCCTAGTAGCAAAACGGCCTTGCGACCCATTGCATCGGCGAAGAGTGTTAGGAAGAAGCTAATGACCACGTCTCCCACCAGAGTTAAGGTCATAAAAAGACCGATTTGGGCATCAGAGATGCCTAAAGTGGATAGATACGAGGCTAAGATGAGGGTTGAGCCGCCATAAGCAAATAGTCGGACAAATCGCTGGGCGCAAAGTAGTTTTACATCTCGCGAGGATTTCCAGAGTGAGAGAAGGCCCAGTTCATTGAGAATCTTGGAGGGTAGTTGTACCCAGTGTGGAGAAGACTCTCCTTCGGACATGGTAAGGGAAAAAATTAAAAATTAAAATCACTCGAGTTTGTATCTATATGGGAGGGGGAGGGGGAGGGGGGAGAGAGGAACTGGAGGAGACTGTCATAGGAGAGAATGAAATTGAAATTGAGGTTGAAACTAGGGTGCCTAGAAAATAAAATACATAAGTACAGTACAAGATAATCTAATCTAATCTGCATAAATTAGAGGGCTTACAGCTCGGCGTGGTTCGAAATTAGCTCGGCGTGGTTCAACATCGGAACCGGAAAAATGCTCATCGTGGTCCGACAAATGACTAAGCATTCGAACCATGATGACCTCTTCCAGGCATATTTTCGAACCACGCTGAGCTCATGCCAAGAGTATTTCGGACCATGATCACCTTTAGTTATTATCGCTTAATTTTAGTACACACATATACCTAAATTGGTTTTTATGGTACAGAGTAGATTATCTGCATTTTAATATACTATAAGATTCAGATAAAAATAGCAGTATGTCTGAAGATATTTTAGACCAAAGAATTGTTGATTGGATAAACAATATTCCAGTCAATAAGGTATGTTTATGTGTTTTCTGTTTGCATATGCGTTGGATATGCTAAAATATGATTCTAGACTGCTCCAGACTCAGCTACTTCGGTTTACGCATGCTCAGACCAGGATGAAGACTCCAGAAGTGTAACTGGCAATAGCATTGCTAACTCAGATTCTAAATCAGATAATAATATACCTGATTTAGATATTCCTTCAAATACACTTTCAATGGGGATTCGCGAGGTAGGTATTGTCATTGCCTATACTCAGTATATACTATATTTATGCAAAATGTATGCTGATAATGAGCTAGAATGCCTTTCTTCATAATGGGATTGTTGTGGCTTCATGTGGTCGTAGTAAAATCATAATAAATGAGATTCAGGACCACTTCTTAATGCCGGAGTATCCTCATACAGGATCTCCAGGAATTCTGCATTTTATACACTGTCAGAATTCCTATCTTTCTCATACAGATCCTACCAATTTGCTTCAATAAGCTGCATGTGAGATCTTCACTAGGGAGATGTCTAAGGTATAATCCTAGTATATAGAGCATGTGGATTGCTTATACTAAACACATGCAGATTCAATTTGCAACACATCATACCGGTCAACCTAAAATTGTTAAAATGCCAATTCTTTCGAAGTCAGATAATGATACTGCACAACGGGCTTGGCATCGAGCGTATAAATGTGGCTCAGTCAAGATATGCAGTGAGCATGCACCACATATGGTTGGTAGAGGCGGAATCTATGATTGAGTTAATATTCAGAATCTTAATTCACTTCGTGAATTATCAGGTGCAGTATTAAATAACAAGGTCGATGATCTTCTAAAAGCAGCTACAGAAGAGTAAGTTTCTAATATAATCTAATATAAACATGTGATAAGTATATACTTACTAGATACTAGATTTTTCCGCGGATTCTTAAATACATGGAAACAACGAGGCTGTATTTATAAGGGTTATAATACTTGCCACAGTGATTTACCAGTGATGTTTCATCGGAATTGTGTTAGTATATACCCTGTATATGCAGTCTTTTTTATAAGGTTATGCTAATTGAGATAGTTTTTATTTATTGGCTGTTCAAAGAACTCTGATCTAGAGCCATGGCATTATGCATATGCTATAGAATGTTTTCAGCAGATTGATCGCTCATATCTAAAATCTCTGGTAAAATATGGCTTTAAAGAGCCTAAACAGGAGTGTGACTTTATTAGTCAGGTTACTACAGGAAAACAATTTTGCGGTATAGTAAATCTATATCTTTGTATATACTATATCTATGCTAAACATATACAGATCGCTCCCATCCAGGGAATCCAGGACATTTAATCAAGCCAAAATGTCTATCTCAATTTGATCTCTATATTCCATTATAATGGAATCGATTTCCTTTTCTTCTTTTGATTACACGATTGTCTCATACCCATTTTCCTCCTCCACCACTTAAATTACCATTACATATTGCAGATGAAGTGATACAAGCAATACAGCAACAAGATACTCTTGATTTAACCGCACGTATGCTATGTATATCTATAGTATATGCTGAAAATATGCTAATAACTAGAATCTAGGTCGGTTTATGCTTTCTCCAATATTTACCAATTTATATGATAGATTTGGACCTAGTACTCTACGTACACTTCATAAGTGCTTGAATATTGAAGATCGTATTACTGCTTTAATCCGGAAGCAAAAGCTCTTATCATTTCCCGAGGGAACGCATATCGCAGGTATTATTTACGCCGGGGTTATATGTCGCATATGCTGAGTATAATTTAGGTATATTGAGAGAGTATTCTTTTGATCGGCTAAAGGAGAACAGTGAGCAATGGATCCGCGAGGTCCATTTCTTTGACCCTGAGCATTGGTTGATCATATGTTGTACATATGCTCAGGCTAAGGCTTTTATCCATGCAAATTACCTTGAAATGGATCTCTTCTTTAAAATGGTTAATGGAAAGACTAATGTCTTCTCTATCTCATCTTGGAATGCACAGACTAAGCGTATACTGGACCTGTTCAACACTTCTACTTACATTCTACTAATGTATCTTTAGGTATCAATACTTATGCTTATGCATTCCTTAATCTAGAGACACGCCATGCATATGCTGTGATGTTCTCTAAGATATTTAAAATACTTGGTGATGTGGCTCGTTCACCGGTTCATTTTGCCCATATTTCACCTGGAGAAGAGAACGAAATCCGAACAATTACAGTTGACATGTGTAGAAAACAGGCTGGGGGTAGGTTCAATATATCTTAATAATAATACTAAGTTATATTATGAGCTAATAATATATATAGACCTCGGTGATTACTTGCATATATTGGATCCAAGCCAAGAATGGCATGAACACCTGCTTTATTGTATTATCTTCTGCAGAACTCACCTACAACGGAATTTCCAAAAGAAATTTAGTAGTAAGCATGCCGCTTATTCATTAGTAAATAAGCTATGGGATACAGAGGATAAAGATCAACTGCTTCAGCATATGGATTATTTATGCTCTGCATATCCTGAGCTTAAGCACTACCTTAAGAATAAGCGGAAATCGTGGATTCTTGCCGGGATTACCCCTGAGGTGTCTAAAATACCAATTAAAGATTGGCAATATGCACCAAAGCATACTGGTATCAGTGAAAGCAGTCATTTTCAAGATAATAATTTTACAGGACGGAAAATCTCACTTTTAGCTGCAGTACTTAAGTATTATTTACTTTTGCCCTATGATAAGCATATGCTAAGAATACGTTAGGCTGAAGCGACACGCAAATGAGATGTTCCAAAAGAACATGCTTAGTTTAGAGGAGGCTATTCCTTCTACATGGAGAAACCAAAGCAATGCGAAGCGTCAAGAAACGCATATAAAATGTAAAGGTATATCTTTAGTATATATGCAGCATATCCGGTATATATACTTATATTATACAGACCAACGAAAGCAAAGAGCAGCCAGACGCCGCCAGCATGATTTATCATTGCCTTTTGATCCTACAAATCCATACGACACACCACAGCCCCACGCTCAGTATATGCAGGATATAGATCAAGATGATACTGTCTCTTTGGCCAGTACAGCTACTGGAGTTACTGTTACAACATTTACCGGGCATATGCAACATCCTAGCTCAGTATATTCAGATGGCAGTAGTATGCCACCTCCGCCAGTACCAGCACCCAAAAGACCTCAACGTGAGGGGTCTACGGAGATTATTGAAAACAGGGCATATGCTGAGCGCATGGAAAGCCTAAGCCAGAGATTGAAAATGCTGGAGCAGGAGAAAAAAGAAAGGGAAATAATTAAAAGAATTAAGACACTTGAACAAGAGCTTGACCAGGAAAGAGAAGAGGAATCTGCTTTGCATTTTCAGTTACATAGTGAGTTTTTTAGATAATGATTTCGCCCAGAATCTGCTTGTACTAAACTTCAAAGTTTATGTAATCCATTCTTCCTGATAAAACCCTTCATCGTCCTATGTATATGCACAGCCTAGCAGTAGCATGTAGCTGACATAGGTATTATCTATGCATAATTGTACCGTACGGCCCTTTTGGCGGATGTCCTGCCCTTGCCTTTGCGACCACCTCTGGTGGCTATAGTATAGTTAGTATATGTAGAGTTAAAACTTAGATAAAACTGCTTACCTATCTTCTTAACCGGGGGGGCAGGCTCGGGCTCAGGCTCGGGAGTGCTAGGAGGGGTAGGACCGCGCTATAAGGTTAGTATATGCCTAACATAGAGTAGACTAATACTAACATTTCTCTTGCGACGACCAGATGATGGAGGGAGTATGACCTACTGCTAGTTAGCATATACCAGAGATATACTAGATGAATACTTACTGGGTCACGGTGGAAGCGGTCTCCAAACGCAGCACGGAAGGAAGCATTGGTACGGCTAAAATATATTCAGCATATGCAAAAGATGTACTAACATAATTACCCACGCAATCTGTTCACAAGCATCTGCATACTCATTGATGAGACCATTGAGGGGGCCACGGCTGCATATTGTTAGTATATGCAATGTATAGGCTTGATAGTGCACTTAAACCAACCCAGGCTCATGGAGATACCTAGCCCTCCTCCAACCCTGTTCCAGAACCCAACGCTTGAGAGCACTAGCTTAGAGTTAGCATATGTTATGTATAATTTCTATGCCATAATCACTCACTTCTGACCGGCCGTCAGTTCGGCGTCGCTGATGTTGGCAGTATTTGGATTGGCGGCTGTATAGTGTGAGTATATGCTCTGTATCAACCAAAGTAGTACTAACAGGCTCCAGGATGGGACTGGCGAAGATGGCGGCGGTACTGGATATGATTAGCATATGCAGTGTGAATACAGTCCTGAATCTGAATCCATACCGCAATCATGCTTGAGAAGCAACGGCCACACATCTGGTCACCATTAACTGCAACATCGCAACTAGACTTATAGTCAGCATGTGCTTTGTATATGCTAGCATGTTACATACACCCTTCCATTAACCCCACTGAATCTCTCTCCGGGGTTGGGAGCCTGGCCATTAATTTCGGGGGTGATGGTTCCTGGTATAAGATCAACATATGCCATGCTGATACTCAGGAGCCACTTACCCTCAGGAGGAGTCCAGTCTGCATTAGCATAAGGGACGGGACCTATATACACTCAATATCAGGGCGCAATATACTGAGGAGATACTAACCATGGTGCCACCCCCCGATAGTGGAGGGATTGGCGGCCTCTCGGACCTGGGGATTGTCGAAGTCTGCAACAGTGTAAACCATCTTTGGCATATGCAGCGTATAAGCTAAGGTAGAGAATGACACTTAAAGACAGCTGTACTGGTCAGCTATCTCAGTGTCTCAATCAACATATGCTAAAACAGCGCAAAAAAGAAAAAAGAGAGATATACTCTGCATATACTCACAAGAAACAGAGACAGAAGGGAGGAGAGAATAAATAAATGCAGAAGATCGTTCTATAGGTATACTTAAAAGAGATATATTGAGATCCTGACGACTAATCATAACACAATAATTACAGAGTATAATAAGTGAATCTCTATTGTATCCTCAATTGTGTTTCTCAGGGTTATACACAGCCAGACAGTATTATTGACCATCTAATTAGGAAGTGATTAAAGATTCACTATTTTATCTCTATTATATCTTAATTCTGCATATGCTAAAAATTTATTTTAGAATGCCAAGACTTCTGATCAGGTGATCTCTTCAAACCAGGTGATCGTGGTTCGAAAAATTAGATTCGAACCACGCTGAGCATATGCTCGGAAAAACCTCATCATGGTTCGAGGGCGGTGGCAGAATATTAGCGTATTTTTCGAACCACGACGAGCTAATTTCGAACCACGCTCAGCTGTAACCCGTAAATTAGATCAAATTTCCCATAAAAATCGGATGACTAATCTTGTTGCTCCACAAGATTTTAGTAAGTACATATTTATGGGATTGATATCTCTCTATTTACGATATGATTGAGATCCCTTCGTCAAGGGTGACGTCTAGAATTGAATGGACCGTGGTTATTCTCTCTCTCTCTATCTTTTTCTCGCCTAATTTTTTGCCTGTGAAAATGATGATGTTCTCCTGGTGTCATATAGATATAATAATAACACCGAAATGATTCGTAGAGATGAATAATTGGAGTAATGGAACAGCAATAGCAATGTTTTACATGAATTTACGTGGATTTATGTGGAAATTAAAAAAAAGAAAAAAAAGAAGAAGCAGAAAAATTATATCCAATAGTGTAATGGAAACAAGTAAGAAAAAGGGGAGCCTAAGCCTTGGCTGGTGGTACAAAGAAAGACAATCCCTGGCTCGGTCGAGTGTCTGGATTCATAAGTTGTCTCTTCTCTAGAGGTTCTTTTGCATTCTCCATACCTCTCTCCCTCTCCCTCTCTCTCACTCACAGGTGGCTTCTGACTTTAACACGGTATTAACTATGACGTTGAAGAATACCGGGATTCTGGTGACTCTATACCTTTCGCTCTGTGGCTATGGGCGGAGTAAATCGGCAGATATGTCTGCTTTTAATCGCCCTAATGCTGGACCTCCAGCAACATATTTTGCTGCAGCAGATTCAGTGCCGGCTTCGGTCCTTCAGGCAGCGGCAGCGGCAGCAAGCGTAGTCCCCAAGGATGCGATTTATCTTTTTAGCCTGGAAAATTCCGAGAAGTCCATAATACACAGCGACTGGCTGTCCTTTAAAGAGGTATGGATATTGCGATAATCTCTCACCGGGAAAACGCCCTGCTGACATCCTTAAAATCTAGGGGGCCGCCCTCTCGTGGGTGGCCGACATGGACGTGGATTGCGATGGAGTGAATCACAAATGCGACGTAATGTAGACTTTCTCATGGGGTTGAGGTCCACTGACTGACAATCGTATCTCAGGGAAATGGAGATGGCCAACCACAGACGAACTGGGGAGCGCTGTCAGCATATGCAGTGCCTTACATTGTGATCCCCGATATGTTCCTGGCTGCAAATAAGGATATCCTACCAGGGAATAATGTGGCCGCAGTGATTTGGTATTGGCTCTCTTCCCCCAACTGGAGTGGCAATCCCCAGCTAATCCGCGATTTCTAGTGGTGGCAAGATGTTCTACGGCGTTCTGGGCGACTCAAACGGGGATAACCCCCAAATTACGGGGGAAGCCTCGTGGCTGATGGCTAGGACGTGCTTCCCTAAGGAGGATCTACAAGGGAACAATGCGCATTCACCGAAAGACGTCACCTGTAAGTGTTGCGGAATCTGCGCAAAAGTCAGCGGCTGATGACCGGTAAAGATATCCTGTTCACCGGCAAGGAGGCCGTTCTTCCAGATACCGCCATCAACAAGAATTATATTACAGATTTCGACACGCTGAGGTCGATGGGCGATAAGTTTGCCAGGGCTCTAGCCTCGAATTTGGCCACACCGACTACAGTCAGCACTGCAACTGCAACCACAACCGCAGGCGATTCTGCAGCGGCAATGTCAAGGGTCGGACAAGAAGGTAGGGATTCTTCTGAATCAAAGCTTTAAAATTACTGTCTAACGCCCGCCAGGTCGAATGATGATGATCGCTCTGATGGTCTGGGCTGTAATGGTCACGATTACTCTGTGACCAGCAGGTGGCTACGATGGTGAATACACCGTCGAATGCGATTGATAGTGTAACGATACCTAATATCTTGGCTACTTCTCTTAGAGTTACAGTCGCTGGCAAGTCATGGAGGATTCTTCAATGACTATTGTGTCCTGTCAGCCATTGTATGCATAGTACAATTGCTTTGCTGTGGAACAAGGGTGTCCTGTTGCATACGTCTTAGAAAATAGGGGAATGCGAAGGGAAACAGGCATGACAATCTACCTAACTTGTACTTATGAAAATGTACAGCTAAAACTTAACTATCAAATGGGTTCATTCTTAGTAGTATTGGCCAAGCACCACGGTGAACGACAGTGTGATCCTTGGGTTCAAGGATGGTGACCAAACCATTCTTCTGTTTCTTTTCCCATTGAATGGCTTTTAAGATGTAATAAAGTACTATTCGCATACGATGGACACCCCCTTGGCTGTTCTTTCCTTTACTGGCTCCCTGATAATGTTCTTATATTCTCAGTATTGTCCCTTTCGTAGATCCACTTGCATACTAGGGGTGTTATAGATGGTGATAGGATCCGTCGTGATCATGAAGTCTACTAACTCGGCTGGTAGATCGTATCCGCAGGCCTTTGCAGCTCCTGAATTTCCTCCCTCGCTGGCCTAACGAGATTCTCAATGGCACCAACGGCGAGTTGGATCCAACCCGTGTCTAAGTCCGTCACTACGCAAATGGAATTGAGACAGGCGTTGTACAAAAAGCTCTCTCCAACGGCTGTATCTAACCTTGGGGTTGTGTTTGTGCTTGCATCTGCCACCGGCACCATGCACCAGGCGGAATTATCTAGAAGCTTGGACTTCTTTGTGGTTCTTCATCGGATTTCGGAAGGCTCCAACATAAAGCTCGTCATCATCTTCGCGAAGGATCTTTCCCATGGCAATTTCATGAGAGCCACAGAAGCTGACACCGGAGAGAGCTATATCCTCGGGAAAGGTCGCAATAGCTGACTTTTCAATGTTTAGCCCATTTAGGTGGAGAATAATCATTGAGTAATCCGGCGTCACCATAGGCCGTATAATCTCAGCTATGGTATGGGGAATACCTGCATAAATTCTTGGTAGAGCAGATGATATACTTGTATAGAGATAGCCCTTCTTCAGTGGCACTTTATATTGGATTCGGAACTATGAGGCTAAAGTGAGCCATCCGTCTCGGGATCTCTGGAAGAAACACATATGAACAGATGGTCGGAATCCTTCCGCATCTCCATGACTATAGAATTAATAAGGAAACCATGGACCTTGACATGTTCATAGTTCGACCGAAGGACAGCTGTGACGGTCGCCTTTCCTCCCGTTTCAAGATTTAGAGCGCAGATTATTCCCCCCCACCCAACCCGGCAGTCTATCAGTAGTATATTCACTTATGCATCTCTTTGGGAAGTTGTCAAGTGTAATAGAGGAAATATCGGGGCATCCGTATATAAAGCAAAGTGATCAAGCTGTTTCCCCTAGTCTAGTCTCAAAAGCCCCCCGGCAAGTCTTGCATGTCCTAATTGCGAGCTTTGGCTAATTAACCGTGGGGGAGATACCGGGGAATGCACAATCGTGCATATTCTACGCAATCCTGGCTACCAGTGCTTATATGCAGCCCGCAATTTCAACGTCACAAGGGCACTGCGAATACTGGCGAAAGCGGTCGGAGTTACACGCTGGTTCAGCGCAGAAGTACCTTAAAATGGCTCTTCAAGATTTGTCAACTATCTACAAAAAGAGTAGATACAAGGATATCCTCGTCACACTCATGTGTATGAACGCCGTCTCCGTAAGTGACAAGATGTCCCATCAATCCTCCTTCCGATATGGAAGAGTGGTAGCAGCAAGACTGGAACCAATACCCACTACCACCCTTGGGAACCAGGCCTAGGAGGCGGGCGAAGATGGGATCAGGAGTTGCCTCCTGCGAAAATTGGATTCGTTTCCCGGGGATACCCAGGACATAGTAAATCACGAAGATGTGACTGCTACATCTTTGCTACGTTTACCTCTGCATCTTCTACGAGAGCAATCGAACTTTCTACAAAAGCCCTCATAAACTGGGAAAGATGACAGATTACATTATAAATATTCCTTCAGGTGCCTTCTTGATTATCGTCATCCTATCGATTCTGCATTGTGTGCCCGCCTTCGATATGGTGCGCTTGACAAGGGTCAGTAACATAAGTATAGATGACTTATTTTAGATAGCTATAGAAGTCATATAGCTCTTTATACTCACTTTGTGGAGACTCTTGAGGGACTATCCAATCAGAGGGTTCGGATGGCAATGTGCTTTCGTAGACGAATGCCTGAGACGACTTGATATGTCTCAGCGGCCGTACTACTTATTAGCCTGCATCCAACGATGGCTCAATGTCGTTCTTGACCTCCTAATAGCAACTCTGGCGGTCATTCTAATTGCCCTAGCGACGTCTTTGAGAAGCTCAGCGAATCCAGGAAGACTGGGAGTATCCTTGACCACGATCATGGTGTTCAACCAGACCCTACAGGAGCTATTTGATAGTTGGATCGGCCTGGAGACTTCTCTAGGTGCGATTGCAAGGACAAGATCTTTTGAGTTAAAAACACCACCTGAGCATCAAGCTGAAGAAAAGTATATTCCACCTCTAAGCTGGTCATCTTGTGGGGCAATCGACATTCATTCCGTTTCCGTTACTTTATGAGTATGTATTTTTAACACCTTCCGGCTCATTCCGACCTAATTGGGGTAAATAGTGGAAGGACTAATGTCCTAAGCGATGTCGACTTGAAGATTGAGGGTGGAGAGACAGTGAGGATATGTGGACGAAGCGACAGGCATGACGCTGATGGCAAATCTTCCTGTCATGACTCACTACTGACATTGACTTCAGCAGCAAGAGCACACTGCTCTCCGCTTTACTCTGCCTCGTCGACAATACGACCGGAACTATCTCAATTGATGGCATCGACATCGCAACCATTCCCCGCAACGTACTCTGCTCTCGTCTTATCGCTATCCCTCAGGATCCACTTACTATCATTGGCACGGTTCGCTTCAATCTTGACCCGAAGGGGGTCGGTCCCGATGTATCATCTCCGCTTTGGAAAAGGTCCATTTACTTGGACTCATTAAGTCTCACGGGGGCTTGGGCGCAGAATTGACCTCACTGCCGCTATCCCAAGGTGAGCATAGTTTATTTTCTCTCGCCAGAACTCTCCTTAGGAAATGGGAGAGAGACCAAGTCTGTGGTGGCGGCGGAATATTGGCCCTTGACGAAGCCACCAGCGGCACAGATACGGAAGCAGACCGTTTGGCGCAGAAAGTCATCCAATGGGGATTTTTCAGATAGACGATCCTCAATGTCACACACCGAATCAATACGATGAGCGATACAGAAAGAGTTGTGGAATTGGAGAATGGTCGATTGGTTTCGACCTAGAATCTCAGGTTAACTATCGCTATTTACTATATGTTTCAGCAGAAAGGGCTGGTTTCCGCGTGCAGGAATGTGTTACGATAAAACGAGCTTTCTTCATACATAGGGTAATGCATATTTGAATAATTCGGTCAACATCCAAAATATACCACAGCTGTTTAAAAGTGTGTACAGCGATCAAGGAGTTGCAGGTGCACCGACTAAATCTCCAAGCCAGCCGGACCGTGCCCTGGATTCAACTAGTTATAGAAGGATGGCGTAGTGGCCAGTCAGCACTCCATTGTGGCCCTAGGCCGTGTAAATATCCTTTTGGTGTGGTTCACTTACAGTATTCTGAAAGAAGAAATAGTCCAATATGCGGCCAGGATGAATGAGGAGGAAGCCTTAATCCTCGGATACTTAGGAGATGAGGACATCGGTTATGGAGGCAGCCTTAGTGATTGTATAACACAATTTGACTGAGGCTCTTATTCACTCTTCACGAGGGAGCAGTGAAGGCCTTTCTGGAATGCAGTGCAGATTTCCACCCGCCAGCAGACCTATCACCGCTGGTATACTGCTTCTATGAGCGGTTCAAGAGAGACTTGCTAATCTCATCAAGGAGTTGCTTCACCGAGACGCCAATCCATTCTGGAGAAGCCCCTTTCTGAGAAAAGGGGAAACAGACGTTCCTACTGCTTCTTCACTGACAACACGGTACGTAGATGGCCAACAATCCCGTCAATAGAGGAGCACTCGTCAATGACCAAGACACCGAAGGTCTCACTGCTCTACATGTGGCCACAGCTCATAGTAGCCCAACATACTGCTGATGCTTGTAAAGCCCAGCAAGACTGCGTAGATGTGAACCTAAGAATACGGGACGGTAGACTGCCGATATACTCCGCTTTATCATGGTATTAATAAACGCCGATGCATTGATTAACATCAAGAACAAAACCGATAGATCGTCTCTTCATTGGACGGCTGTAGATGGGAGCCGGGAGATACTATACCTTCTTTAGACCGGTTCTATATCAAAACCGGGAGGAGTGGTACGATTACACCTCTGGATATGACATCTTTGGTAAGGGACAAGGATATACGTGCCCGCTTGAGATGAGGAGAAGGTAGATTTCCTCTTGTAGAGGATAAATGAGGCGATCTTTTTGCTAGCCTTGTACAAAATGGCGGTCCTTGGCTTATCGGATTCAACGCTTGTGGTGCATAGTGGACGGGTTCTAATTGGAGTACTTTTCCGGAATACTTGCCTTATGTATGATAAAGACTCGATTGTGAAACAACAAAATTTCTACATTATGAGAGACTTCACTACAGATTAAACACGCTGGGCCGTAATAAATGCTCTATATTTATCTAAATGGCTACACCGCAGCTCTTATATATAGATTTTGATACTTCGGCATTCTTGGCATGATGCAGACAAGGTCCCTCCTTTGGGTAGTTCTCCAGTTGACTACTTCATCGAATGTGGAGCATCGTGCAGTCTGGGACTACAGGCCCCAGTTAGCCGCAAATTCACTCTCTGGGCATTATATGGAGGGTGACTTGGACACACCACACGATCCATTCTGCAAACAGGCCCATCCCGTATGCATATAATATAATCTCCTTGCATTAACTGCTATCATACCACCATTAGGAAAGGAGTTGAGAGGTTACACTTTAGTTGAACTTGGCATCGTCACCAAGGGGACGATACTCGGTTTGGGCATCGATAATACTCATTATTATACCCAACTTAACGGCGGATTCGAGGGCAAATATCTAATAATAATTAGACCAGTGCTTTTATCCACACAGTCAGTCCCTTGTGCCAAAGAGAACTACACCGAATTCGGAAAAAAAGAAGAAATATAGATAATCTACCGGGAAAGACAGCCGGTCACAGGAACTGCAGAGGATGAAGAGAGAGAAATCAGGATAATATCGGGGGAATGTTTATCGAGCTTCGCCGTCTTGGCAGCCATTAGCTCGGATAATAAATTAACGGTGGTGGGTCGGTGGCTGGTCGATTGTATTAGAATTTGGAACAGTTTGCCATGGTAGCCCTAATGTGATCCTGCGGACCTGAAACATGTACCCGCATGACACCCGTTTTTGCAAGGGAAGGACACAGGAGCAGAATATCGGCAGAGGGGGAGGAATGGGCACTGGAAGAGAAAAAGCATTGCAGGATTACTCTCGAATAACCCTGGCACGGTAAAACTAGGAATTAGCAAGCAGAAGTCTACAACACTTGTGAAAAGGAGAGAGTGTTGAAACCACCGCGTTTTGATAACTGCTCACCGCATGCCTATCTATCATAATTATTACTGAAAAAAAAGCCATGAAAGAAACAGAGAAAAATATAACTCCCGTAATGGTAATCGCTCAACATTACCAAGCGAGCCGTCTTGAGACCAGGGAAGCAGACAGCAAGGCGACCCACATAGCTAGCCAAGCTTACCGTTTCCGCCGCGAAGGTCGGCTGTCCAGTCCCCAATGACTCTCTATCTACTCCAAGGAGTTCACTCGATACTCTATCCACACAGCCGGTATGCTGGAGACGTACTGTGCAGTATTGTCTAGGAGCCTAAAAATCTCTCCTCTACTTGTACAAGCAGTTCTAGTTGGAAAAACCTCCAAGATTAACATTCTTATTGGCCATGTATGATCACATATACTCTCTGAGGAGACCTGTAGGCTAGTTGTGCGTAGACCACATTGATGAGCATACCTGCAATACAATAGACTTTGTTAGAATGCTCAAGGTGGAGACTTCAACGCCATATTACGGTCATTACTACCAGAAACCTTGAGAGCAAATCCTGTTCAGATGAGACGATCAATATAGTGGAATCATAGGATTAAAGGAGCGGCAATCGTTTTATAGCTATTGCTATTGTGATTTTCTAATAAGTTAGCGCATTACATTACAATCCTACAAGAAGGACCGGGAGGGAGGCACACCCTTTTAGCATGGTTGCATATTCTATATTCTAAATTACTGTGCGCTCGGCGATTTGGCCACAGAGCTGATTATCCATGTATATTGTTTCTGCCCCAAGCCCATCATTAAGCCTGGCTGACTATAGTTTTAATCCTATCAGGGGGAGATTTTGATACTATTCATGTGTCTAGACTGATCTATTCACCCATAGTTGATTTCGAATATCATGTGGATTAGTAATATCTTTTGCTGTAAGAACCAAGGACGCAACCAGAGAATCCTATTACAATAGGCCACACAGTAGAGAACCATTAGATTAATGAGCAAGAAGACAAGGCGCCTTTAGAGTTCAGCCATCTACATCTATACTTTTGATTTGACAACGCTCCAGAAACCGCCGACACCGTCTTGCGCTTAGCTTTCTGCAGCTGGCTGGCATGACAGGAAGCCTTTAGGACTCACCGTCATCTGTCTGTATATCAGCTTGTCACCCACAGTTCCCCCCAGGTTAACCCCAGAAACATCCTCGATCCATTCCAGCTGTCCAATCCCAATGATATCCCCGGCATTCTGCTTTCGCGCACTGTGCCTCAGACCCGTAGGGTGGCAAGGCAATACCGGTGTCCGACATCTCCACCTTGAAAATCATATTCAATTGCACCCTAGATTGGAGCTGGACAATGTTAAGCCACGGGCCTTTCTCGGGACGACAGTCTCCCCTGAATCGATTCTATATCTGCTTACGCTATTGATGTGGGTCACATGGGTAGGTGCAGTTTCTGTCTAGCGTTGGGAAGCCATCCCTTTATATCATATTATACGACACGGACAAGCCAGTGGGTGCTAGACTCCCTCAAGTGGCCTAATGAACTCGCTCGCAAACATCACTTGAGTACGCAACCAAGAGCAGATCAATCCCAGAATCAACACAGCAGTATGGGTCCTGTTTAACTAGCTCGGGAAGCCGGAAGCAACGCCTAGCCGTGGTCCGTCCTCTACCAACTACATCCCCACACCAAGTTAGACATATCTAACCACAACCTGACATGATCAGCGGATCTTACAGCAACCCAATTCCGTGTCCCATCTCTTGTAGATCAGAAAGTCGATCTGTCAGCTGGACGGGCTGTAGTAATCTTGGTGCTGTATAGAAGCAACCTCAAAAAGAGTTCGCCCTTTCAGTAGACCTGGGGCACAAGGATGGCTTCAAGTGACGAATCCGTTCAAGAGAGATATTCGTGAGTGTTAGGTAGGTAGGTATGGGTTTGTCCGAGATGCTAGTCAACATGAAAAATGCGACCCTGGTTGATGTTCTAATTTAAAACACTCGCGCATAATGTTGGTAATACGGCATGTATGGGGCCTCGAAGGATTGGTATGCATGTTTATACAAAAGAGATTAGGTGATTGAATCCAGATATCCACCCTTCTTCAGCATAGATTGAAGAAATTGAGATCAGCATAACAATAATCAGCTTCTACTGGAAGTGCGATCAGCCGTTCACGGACTATCTATTAGATCGATACATAGTGTATGTAGTGCTGGATATCGAAAAATCCTACGGGGAAATCTCGGCAAATTAATCGTTCCGCCATGAGGGTAACTCCTCCCCACGTGGCCCGTCGAGCATTAATTAAGCTTGAAGCACTTGAAGCTTGATGATATGTACCTTGCTAGTAGCTAGCGGTTCTAGAGTGATTCTCGGGGTTTGCTATTGGAGAAGCGATGCGCTTTAGTGCTAAGTTCTTTTCTTGGAATGGCTAATCCTCTAGTAGAAAGACATTCGACGCTCTCTCCTAAATTTATTTACTTTGTAAACTTTCATCATCCTGCATGTGTTTTCTTTTGGCTAGGATTGGTGCGGCTTAGGTGCCAGTTACTTATAGCCTTCATTCGGGGATATCTGCAGGAACGCGGCCGGAAGCATTAATGCACCACTGCGATATATGGCTTGGACGGTTGCACTGGAGGGATGGACCCGACTCCAAGCCCGGCAAAGTCTCGACCATCATGCCTACGAGTCCATCAATGAAGCCTTAGTAATTTTTGGGCTTGTCACTGGTACCTTGGCACTCTTCGTGCACACCTATACCAGCGTATTTATTACCCGACAATTTGGAGTTCATAATGGTAAGCTCAGGGCTAGCTACAGAGAATAGACGAGATGTAAGAACTAAAAGACTCGCAGTTTTGACGATAATTGCATGGGTGAGACTTCCGCAGACATTTTGCGCACAAGAGAAATAAGTTGACGGTATACTCAGATTTTGGCAGTCACTGTGCAGGGCTTAACTCTCCGTAAGTCCCCTACTAAGGTACAGCACGAGCAAAGGCTTCCGGGAAAGGTTGACTAATATTCTAGACAAGATGGTTTCACTGATGGTGGAATTGGGAAACATGAATCCACTCTCTCAGAGAGTGAGAAGACTAGGTTCACGGTGGTGAGAACGCACCGCTTCTTATGGATAAAGTCGTCTGAGCTAACACAATTAAGGTGATCCTAGCAATCATCGTGACCTTCATTCCACTGGTGTGTGTCGCAAAGCTGAGTCTGATCATGCTATACTATCGACTGAGCCCGCATGCAAAGCTATGGCGGATATGCGTGTACGCAATCGCGACTATCATTGTGATACCTACGCCCATATTAGTATTCCTTTATCTATTCGGCTGTCAACCGGTTGCGAAGGCATGGAACGCGACAATCGATGGAGGGCATTGTGTGGACCGGCTCAGTATCATGCTAGCAAGCTCCGTGCTCAATGTCATTACGGATTTCTTGATGATAATCGCTCCAATCCCTTTGATCTGGAAACTGAACATGAGAATTTGGCAGAAACTAGGAGTGACATTGATGTTCTTCTTAGGTGGCATGTGAGTCTTCCCTCTCTCATGATACCTAACTCAAAAGCAGAGTGATATTGACCTGGAGAAGCACGATTGTTACCAGTATCTTTCGTGCAGTCACTGTCGACAACTTGCTTTATGAATCAGATCATCCATATCATATGGCAGTTCCAATTCTATGGGCGTAAGTTGTCTCTGGTGTTCGACGCGGTGGTTAGTTTCTGATATCTTGGCAGGAATGCGGAAACTGTTCTCGTCATAATCTGCGATTGCCTTCCCTCTCTCCGCCCATTCCTGCATCAGCATTTTCCCGGAGGCTGTTTTACAGGATCTGAGTCTTCTGGGGCCCCAACTAGCGGGACACGCAACACGAGACAACACGGAAGAAGTCGTTACTTTGACGATGATATCGAGCTCATTCAAAACGGCTCGAATGCCTCGAGGTCCATGGTCATTACGCGGACTGTAGAGATGGAATTACAATACCATAAAAATGAGGTGGATGTCAAACCGATGAAGCAGCCTGGTCCATGAAATTAACGGTACGTAATCTTGCAAAGTGACAAAAACTTAGGCTAAAGCCCTAACAGAAGTATCAGCTCAGGTAGATTCGAAGCGGAACAAGAATGAATGAATGAGGGATTGAGACGTAATCATTGACATTTACATGGAATGATATAATATAGCCTAGACATGACCAGAAATCTAAATTAAACCTTGTTTAATAAACCCCCAGCTATCTGATTTCCCGTTACATTCTCAGCACATAACCCAGAGACGAGATTTAAATGAAGGTGAACTACCCTGAATGTAACACGGTCGACCTTTCTGGTCACTAGCGACAGCGACTTGGACGAGTAATGGGCAAGTGAATTGAGCAGTTGGTACCTTGCAAAAGCTAAATATTTTATACTCTTAATGTAACTTAGATGGTTTACGCGAGATCGTAACATGAATCTGCATACCTAGACTTGTTCAGCGGTCTTAGTAGAGCATTTTGCAGGGCCCATCACAGTCTACTTACTACAACTATACGTAGTGTATCCGCGAATATTAGGATAAAAGGCAGCACTCTTTCATCCTGTGGCAATTAACCATATGTGGTGAATGAACTTTCATTCGACCCGTCGACCACAAAATACCGATATAGGAGAAATACTGTCATGGAATGAACCCTCACAGGTGCTAAAAACAGTTAAGAGGTCGAATATCTTGACAGAGGGCTAAAATGGACCCTTGAGATTTAGAACAAAGTACACAAGTCGTACGAACAAGGAAAATTCGTTGACTGCCTTGGCGTTTCAGGATTAGGTAGAAATGAACTTGTCGGCGACCGCAATGCTCTCGTAAGGATCCATTAGTGACCACGCTCGTCGTGTTAGTTAGATGGAAAGGCTATCACAGACGTCTCTTTAAACAAGTCTAGTTAGAATCGTGAGTGTGATGTAGAATCTAGGCGAGCTGAAGCCCGTTTCCTATAGGAACGAAATGGTTTTCATTTGACCTTCGTTCCATGACTCATTTATGGCTTATGCAGTGCTGGAAGGCTGGAAGTCATCGGACATTAACCATAAATCTTATCCCTTAAGTCAAGGACTCGAGGAGTGTCCGCAGCAGGATTTCGGTCGGACTAGGGCTTCAGTGAAAGAATACGAGTGGCGTGAACAGTAGTGGAGGCCATTTGCCTTGTAGGGCTTCCAACGTCATCAGGACATTTAATACGTCGTATTCGTCCGGAATGAAGTCTCCACACCCCTTACTATCCTATTAGGAAGTTGCTCGGTCGAGCTCAATCCTGTCTTGATTATCTAGCGCAAACTACAGTCCAAAAGTGCCCCACGACCCCAAGCCCATTTTGCGGGTGGCTCGCAGCGTGGGGGAGACTTCCATCAATTGATGGCGAGTGAGTGACTGCTGTCTTCTGCCTCACGAAAATTTGACACCAAAGTGCATATGTAAACCACTTCGTCCTCTACTAGAGATTAAGTCTAAGTTCTATTTATCAATTGGCTGAAGATATATCGGAATAAAATAGAATAGAAATTATCTCGACTCCCGACGAGTTCACTTGCCGCGGAACCGTGAGGCGTTGTAATGGAGATTGCTCGGGCATGTTTCCCTCTGCAGTGGCTATTGAGTAACTTTTTCTCTTCTTTTTCTTCAAGGCATTTGTGTGAGGCAGCGTCAGGCCAACGGCATTGATCGCAAAATTCTACGGGGATAGTGCCGTGGTTCGTCCATCTTGAATGTAACCCCGAGATGTGTGGAGAACGGAGACAAAATTCCGACGGACTTTTTTATCCCCATTTATGTGGAGACAGACTCCCTCTGCAGTCGAAAACGCTTCGAACAAGAAAGTACGTGGCTGCAGCAAATTCAAACAGAACAACAGCTGACAGTACGTCCCAAAATAACATTATTGGGGAAAGCAGGGAAGATTCTTTTTGTATCTGTGACATACTCGCCATGATATATAACAAGAGCACCCTCCAGGGATTACATTGGACACTCGGTCCGCCTAGAATCCCATTCATATTAGTCACAGTTACAGTGGTGGAGACCAAAATGCGGGATATTTGGGGCACATATCTTTTGATCGACAGAGACACCTTGGATTCTTGATGGACTTATACGAATAAACAGCCGTCACATGTAATGTGATTTTTTTTTTCAAGAAAAGAAAATGGGTTATAAAAAGGTTGGGCTTGTCTATCCCAAGTCCTAACCACTGTCCCATCTTTCTTTCAGGTTGGCAATCCGTCGTGATAAGCTATACGCCATGAAGCACCTCACCCTTGGCGTATGCTTGACTGCCCTGGCTGGTGTGGGTTTCGCCGCACCCCATGCTTCGCCTACTTCATCAGGCTCTGCATCTGAGCCAACCGGTGCTACTTATACATCGGGGTTTGACATGACCAAGAGCTGGGCCAATCTGAGTCCTTATAAGAATGCCGACAGCTTCGGCGTAGCCAAGGGTACGCCCCAAGGTTGTGAGCTGTCACAGGTTCATGTACTGCATCGCCATGCTGAGCGGTTCCCCACCAGCAATCTCTTGGATGGGAGAGGCATGGGAGATTTCGCCTCTAAATTGGTCAACTATACCAAGGCCAACCCAGGCAAAGCAGTGGCGAAAGGCCCTCTGAAGTTCCTTAATGACTGGGAATATGTGGTCGGAGAAAACACCCTGATGGAAAACGGGGCTGCGACTGAAGACGCATCCGGTGCCAACTTTTGGATCAAGTACGGCAGGCTGTTGTATCGTCCTGGTCGTGATAATGTGGCCGCCTGGAATGAGTCCTTGAATGTATATCCTAACGGTACCGCACGGCCGAAGCCCGTGTTCAGAACTACTTCCCAGGGGCGCATTCTAGAGAGTGCCCGGTGGTGGCTCAGTGAGTTTTCCCGCAATTCCCAGGATGAAGGTCAATAAGTCTTACGTGTCGGGCCAGGCGGATTCTTCGGCAATAGCGGTGCCAATAGCTCTTACGATCAGTATGATTTGGTTATCATTCCGGAGACAGAAGGTTTCTTCAACAATACTCTCGCTTCATATGTTTCTTGTCTTGGTGATAAGACTGCTGGGTGAGTACCTTTCCACCACTGTCCTCTCCATAGGGTTCGGGCAGCCAAGCTGACTTGAATTGGACCAGCGATGAGTCTGCCCAGGTGTTTATTCCTCGCTATACCAAGAATGCTCTCTCTCGACTTGCCAGATATCTTCCCGATGACTTTAAGCTGACAGCTTACGATGTCCTCGCAATGCAAAACCTATGTATTTATGAGCACACCAGTCTAGGAGGGTCATTTTTCTGCTCCCTCTTCACCGAACAAGAGTGGAAGGACTTCGCCTATAATATTGATATCCAGTATTATGGCAACTTCGCATTCGGCTCCCCAACAGGCCGTGCCCAGGGCATTGGCTACGTCCTGGAACTCGCAGCTAGACTTGAGGGTAAACTAATCCACTCTAGTGACACTAGTGTGAATTACACCTACGATGACAACACTGCTCAGTTCCCCATGAACCAGCCATTCTATATGGATATGTCGCACGATGATATAATCCTCTCTGTCATCTCCGCTCTTGGCCTTGAGCATTTCAAGTACGGTCCCCATGGTCTTCCAATCCACGTGGATCATGCCCCCCCAAACCGCACATTTGCTCTTAACGATTTAACTCCTTTCGGTGCTCGATTCATGTCTGAGATCTGGACATGCCCCAGCAATGTCTCTTTCAACACTCTAGACCCAATCCTCTATGTCAACCCTCACTTGGAGTCTGTCCATGATACAAAGAAATACATCCGTTTTGTGCTCAATGATGCTCCGCTGCCGCTGGACGGACTCGTTGGTTGTGAGAATTCTCAGAATGGTTTTTGTCCGGTCAATGAGTTCCTGAGCGGTGTCCCGACACTAAAGGAGAAGGCTAAATACCAGGAGGCCTGTTTCGGTAAGTATCCTACTGGAAAGCAGGTAGGGGATGGCGCACCGTACTCATAGACGGTGATCTTGATGGAGCTATGTTCAATGCGGATGAGTATGCATCTCGCATTGTTGAAATTTAGATACGGATCATACGCTTTATCGCCGCGATGATTTGTCAGCTACGTTTCAATGTATAGAAGAATAAAATGTATAACTATGGTTGTGTTTATATGAAGTTAAGCGTCAAGATATCCGACTGGGGAGTGTAGTATCACAGTTCATTTAGCATAACCTCGGAGCCACACTCTCTTGGCTATAGTGAGGGCGAGCTTTAAATTCTGAAGCCCACTTGCTTTGAACGGCCTATCGAATCACTGTGTGAACCTGTCTTGTAGTGTCGGGCCAAGCGCTTCACAAGCTGCAATAAATGCAGCCCATAGCAAAGGGCCAGTCGGGAGGATCTGCCAGACTCTATCTTGCAGTATGGCTGGACCGACACTTTATATGCGCTGGTAGAAGAATACCAGCAGTGCTTTGTGCAGAGCAAGGACCATATGATGGGTTAGTATATTGTTGAACTGAGAAGTACTACTACCACTGCCCTGGCCATCCTCATCGTCTTCGCCGCGAAAAGGGGTGGAGGTGGGATTTCCATGTACCAATACATCTCTCCAGGCTGCGCGCCCGTGAGAAAAACTGCCTCAGATCCAACATGCTTTCCCCGTTGTCTAGATTGGACATGTCTCATTTTCGAGACGCATCACCTGGGACACCAAGAATGGAAGATTCTCCGGCATACCAAATACATGGGTACATTGTAGATTACCACCCATCTGGGATCTCCAGATGAATATCAGTCTTCAGTCTCGCCCAATTTGTGCTCTTCAGTTCATCCATCCGCTGATCGAGCCGGCCTTTCCATTAACGAAGACGAAAAGCGACTGGAAGCCACTGAAGTCACTGTATCCGGCGATGCATCCATTTCTTGAGGCACGTTTTTGGCCCTTGTATGCGATATTGATGTACTATCGGATATATTACAATCCAGTCGCACTGTCTTTGTATCCTGCATCGAACCATTCAATGGTGGGCTGGACATTGAAAAGCTCCCACATAAGTCCATCATCCCACAATGATGATGGTCTCTGATACAGCCCTTCCCCACTAGCTCCAAGGCCCTCCGGATCTGAATACGATGCCTGTGGCTCCGAAGTCGCGAGTTGAGTGGTATCAATGCTGTGTGCCCGTGCGGTAGATGATCCCTGGAGTTGAGCAGACGCTGAGATGCTAAACCCTCTAGGGACAGGGCCTTCAGTGTCGTGGCTGTGGACTGCGCCCATGGTCGGTACAGGTTGCTGTGATGCATCCTGAGCTATCGCCTCATAAAGCTGATCACATAAAGCTATAAATTGTGAAAATAGTCCATGCAATCGAAAAATAGAAGGATTATATTCTTTGATGCGAGACAAGGCGGCGGTTATTTGAGTTAAAAGATTATAGTCCTCACGATTAGACGTTGCAAGGACATTACAGAAAATGATGAAGAAAGGTGTAAGCGGGTAGAGAAGTATGGTCCTATTCTTGTAAGTTACCTGTTCATCTCTTATATAGCCCCAAAGTGGTGTGCCCATACCAGAAAACAAAATCGTGATAGATCTGTTCACCACGCAAGATATGACATTGTAGCACATTCATTGACCGTAGCGCTCTGCGAGCGTGGGATAAGCAGCGCTCACGTACACGATGGTCATGTAAGGAAATTGAATTCAGTCGCAAGACTGTTGTTATGATAGAATGATAGGTGAAATCCACAGCATCCCATTCCAAACGTAGTTCTAATGTGCCACTCGATTTGGCTCGGGCCTAAGTGGCGTTAGAATAACTGGTGGTAAGACGGGTGGGAGACTTACTTCGCACAATTCCTCCCATATGTCTTGCAACTCGACTTCTAAGCGGGCGATAGCTCCCAGCGCTTGGTTATCGGGGATCCCATCGCCAGGCGCTAGCAAAGAAAGTGCACCATCCAGCACATGTGCTAACTTGATCAAAATATTAGCTTTCAGATCCAAGGGGTCTGTTGGCCTTGACTGAAGCAAAGAAACCGGCTCAATACTCAGGGCCGGCAAGGATGGCGGTCGCACAAGAAGCATGCTCAGAGCCTTATCAAAGTAATAGCACCACCGTATACAACCGCGTATCTCGTGGGATTGATCACACTCCTCTAGCATCCTAAAGTCCATGCTATGATAACCCAATGCCACCAATAACCGAGATGCGAAAGCTGTAAAAGTCCAAGCTTGAGTGGTATCGCCCAAGTTTTGCATTAAGTTAACCTAGTGATGAATGTTAGGTTATCCCAAGTGCGATGATAACATGTGGCTCGAATTGTACTCACCCCCGAAAGCAAAGACTGAAGCATCAACAGGCTGGGTTTGTGCAGAATATCAAGCTGTCGGATTGACCGGAGGGCAGCAGCGATGTAACTTTTCTTGGAAGACTCTAGAGCTTGTGCCAATTCGCTCGACGTGCAGACACGCAACCATCTGTTCATGTAGGTAACAGCTCGGGCAAATATGCAAACCTTGTACTGAGATTCTATTTGGCCGGTTGCTTTGCCATTAATGACTGCTAGACACATACTCTCAAGTCTTTCATGAGATAAATGATCAGGCCAGTGAAGCTTCCACGGCGCGGAATAGTCGGAAGAGGCTAAAAAACCTTAGATGGCAGAGATAGACAAGATTAGAAAGCAATGTACGTACGATTCATCATCATGAAAAATAATTCGGGAAGGACTATATTGTCTGCAGATGCATCGTCCTCTGGCCCTTGATCATAGCTGGAGCCTCCGACTAAATGCGAGAGATTGCTAAAGTCACTAATCAAGGATAGGGCAGACTCTAGAACGTGCCTGCGACTTGTAGAAAGGGACGAATTTGAGTCTAGTTCACGTCGAATTATACTGACTTCGTTTGCTTGGTGCACATAGCCAGGAGAGCGGACAACATCAATCGTTTGAGCCGCTATGTGTCTCGGCTGTCTAGGTGCTTCCGTAGTGTTCGAGGATGGTGCTCGAGAAGTATCAAGCCCACCAAGGCTCATTCCAAGACCCGGTGAACCCCTGGAGGATATTACTCCATGTTTCCGGCTAGTATGTCCGGGACCTCGGAAACTGCATGTCATCATCTATCAAAGCTTTCCATGGAGTAGCAAATGGCTTCACTTACCGGGAGGCTCTAGTTCGACGAGGATGTTTAGGTCTCGAGCGAATACATGACACATGGGCACTTAAACAACCATTACATTGTGGCTGCCGATCGCATTTCACCTGATTTGGAAGAATGGTATTAGATATACAAATTTACTCACAATCACTAGCGCTATAACAAATGAGGACATTGATTACCTTCCTTGCGTGACATAGGTCGCACTAGCGCAAGGCCCAAAAGAATGATACTTTCTGTTAGCTATTAAGCTCTCCCATAAGATCTCTGAACGGCATATTACCAATGGAGCGCACGAAGAATGGGCAGAAGCTATCGGGGGTACTTACAGCTGGGAGTCTGAGGAGTGTTGCCAAGGGCAAGGCACCAGACGTTTCGGCCATCAGATATGAGACAATTTCTCTAGGTTTACCTCCAAGGTAAAAACAATCCCCTAGCAAAGGGTGAGTTAGTCACTTGCGGTCGACGTCTTTCGCTTTGTCGGCATTTCGGACCTTTCGGAAATTAGTATTATTATATAGAAATCCAACCGGAAATTCGGAAGATAGTCCGATGCTACCTTCAATACGAAGCTGTAGACCGCCTGCCTCTATGGGCTTAGCTACTTAGGGTAATAACCTACCCCCGGTCGTCCAGCCTTGCAGCAAAATATAGTATGGTGATACTTTTCAGAAAACGAAGGCATATAACTTGAACTTCACGTTCTATGCGTGGTTCATTCTTGTAGAATTTACCCACAAAGCCCTCGTCAAGCGTTCTCGAGAGCCTTTTGTTAGCTATCTGGAAAACTAGAACTTTGCTTGGATCCGAATACGACTGTCCGAAAGTCCGACTCTCAATCCGAACAGCCAATCCCAGGCTATAGATCTCCTAACCCTCCACTATTATGGAGTATACTGGCTTTGTATGTTCTAGAATATGTCAAGTATCGGAAATTGGTGGGCTAGCTTCCACTAATATTTTTCAAGGATGCGGGCCAAACATCAATGGCGGTCTTCCAGAATAGAGTATTTAAGACAAGCTATCTATCTTGTTTGTTCCTTTTTACCCTTTAGTTTCATCAATCATCTCAAGCGTTTGCCTTCAAGTCGGCGTTGGCTCATGGTGAGCGCTTTTCGATATCGTCTCACGGCCTTCAACCATGGAAAGTCCCACCGCTACGTCCTCGATCACAAACTGTACCCTTGAAGAACACAAGCCCTCTTTGAATAAAGCCGAGCCTAGTTCATTGGCCTCCCAGTTCGAAAATATCTTGCAGCGGAACATAGAATCTGGGTACAAGCCTCGACGCCTCGGAGTCACCTGGAACAACCTAACTGTCAAAGCGAAAAGCACAGAAGCCACAGTAAATGAGAATGTCTTTTCGCAGCTCAACATTTTCAGTCGCCTGCAACAACACCGACAGGGCATACCTCTGAAAACGATTCTGCACCAAAGCCATGGGTGTGTCAAACCAGGAGAAATGTTGCTTGTCCTCGGGCGTCCTGGGTCCGGCTGTACAACGCTATTGAAAATGCTCGCCAACCGGAGGGCCGGGTATGAAGAAGTAGAAGGCGATGTATGGTATGGCAGTATGCGACACGACGAGGCTGCAGAGAACTACAGCGGTCAAATTGTTATGAATACAGAAGAAGAGATTTTCTTCCCCACGTTGACTGTTGGGCAAACGATGGATTTTGCTACTCGCCTGAAGGTACCGAGTCACCTACCTAGTGACCTTGAAAGTGGAGATGCGTACCGTGCAGACATGAAGAAATTTCTCTTAGAGAGCCTTCGCATCTCTCATACGGCAGAAACAAAAGTAGGGAATGAATATGTTCGCGGCGTCTCCGGCGGGGAACGGAAGCGTGTTTCTATTCTGGAATGTCTGGCGTCTGGTGCTTCTGTCTACTGTTGGGATAACAGCACGAGGGGTCTGGATGCAGCGAGTGCATTGGACTGGGCAAAAATGATGCGTGCGATGGCCGATGTGCACGGCAGCTCAATTATTGTGACTCTCTACCAGGCCGGAAATGATATTTTCCGTCTTTTTGACAAGGTGCTTGTTCTCGATGAGGGGAAACAGATTTATTATGGCCCTGGTAGTCAAGCGCAAAGGTTTATGGAGGAGCTTGGATTTCAATGTAGCGACGGTGCTAACATTGGAGATTACCTGACCAGTGTTACAGTTCCTTCGGAACGCCGAATTTGCTCCGGATACGAATCCATATTTCCCAGAAATGCTGAGGCCATCCTCTTATCATACTGGAACTCACCTCTACAAACACGGATGGCTTCTGAGTACGATTACCCAGCTAGCGAAGTTGCCCAGAAACAGACCAAAGATTTTAAGGATTCTGTTGCTTTGGAGAAGCACCACCCAAGGAGTATAACTACTGTTGACTTTGCTGCACAGGTACGTGCCTGTATTATTCGCCAGTATCAAGTGCTCCTTGGTGATAAGAAAACGTTCGCCATGAAGCAAGGCTCAACGTTAATCCAAGCTCTGGTGGCCGGTTCATTGTACTACCAAGTAGACACTGACACTTCTGGGCTTTTCCTCAAGTCTGGTGCGTTATTCTGGTCCATACTATACAACAGCATGAGCGCTATGTCTGAGGTTGTCGATTCCTTCTCTGGAAGGCCGATGGTAGTAAAGCACAAAGCCTTTGCTTATTGCAAACCGGCTGCGTTTTGTATTGGACAATTAGCTGCTGATATTCCGATCACAATCTTCCAGATCAGTATCTGGTCTCTAATTCTATACTTCATGGTCGACCTGAAGATGTCTTCTGGGGCGTTCTTTACGTACTTCATCGTCCTCTTCGCTTGTGCAATGTGCTCTACGGCTTTGTTTCGTGCCGTTGGTGCGATCTTCCGAACGTTCGACGGTGCTTCCAAAGTATCAGGATATGTTGTTACCATCATGGCCATGTACGCAGGCTACCAAATTCAGTACGTCCAAATGCACCCGTGGTTTGGATGGCTATACTGGCTTAATCCCGTTGCATACGCCTTTGATGCGTTGATGAGTAACGAGTTCCGTGGCCAAGACATCAGCTGCACCGGCGGCAACCTGATCCCTCACGGTGAAAGCTACGCGAATGTGAGTACCGCCCATCAGTCCTGCGCTGGCGTCAGAGGTGCAGTTCCAGGGTTTGCCTCTTTAACCGGAGAGCAATATCTGGGTGCCTTATCATATAGCGATACGCACATCTGGCGGAACTTTGGTATTCTCTGGGCCTGGTGGATCTTCTATGTAACCCTTACGGTTGGCGCAACTATGTTATGGAAAAGCCCCTCTGAGTCCGGAGCACAGCTACTGATTCCTAGGGAAAAGCTGGCCCATCATCTACGGCGCGGCGCTGACGATGAGGAGTCTCAAGCGGTGGAGAAGGGCTTTAGCTCCCCGAAGGACCAGGAGCAATCAGATGGCTCGAAACCCTTAGCTACGCCCACTAATGAGGCGCAGTTGGTCAAGAATACCTCTATATTTACCTGGAAGAACCTGACATATACTGTCAAAACCCCTTGCGGGCCCCGTGTGTTACTGGACAACATTCAAGGATGGGTGAAGCCCGGCATGTTAGGTGCTCTCATGGGTGCATCTGGAGCGGGGAAGACCACATTATTGGACGTCCTTGCCCAGAGAAAAACGGAAGGCAAAATTGAAGGATCAATCATGGTGGATGGCCGGCCTTTGCCAATTTCGTTTCAACGGTCAGCTGGGTACTGTGAACAGCTTGACGTCCACGAACCATACGCAACTGTTAGAGAGGCCTTGGAGTTTTCAGCCCTTCTGAGGCAACCTCCTGATACCTCTGAAAATGAAAAGCTTCGATACGTCGACATTATCATTGATCTACTTGAGCTTGGAGACATTGCCGATACTCTCATCGGAAAGCCTAATGCAGGTGGTTTGAATGTTGAGCAAAGGAAGCGTGTTACCATTGGGGTCGAGTTAGTCGCCAAGCCTAGTATCTTGATATTTCTAGACGAGCCAACATCAGGACTAGATGGACAGTCTGCCTTTAATACCATGCGCTTTCTGAGAAAGCTCGCAAGTCAGGGTCAAGCCATCTTAGTTACCATCCATCAGCCATCGGCCCAATTGTTCTACCAGTTTGACACTCTCTTGTTGTTGGCCCCTGGGGGCAAAACTGTCTACTTTGGCGAGATCGGACAGAACGCCCACACACTGAAGGAGTACTTCGAGCGCTACGGGTCACCCTGTCCTAGCCATATGAACCCGGCAGACCATATGATTGACGTGGTTTCGGGTAGGGCCTCAGGTGTCGATTGGCATCGTGTATGGCTAGGGTCACCAGAGTACCAGCAGTCCATGATCGAACTCGACAAACTTATCAGGGATTCGGCTTCAAAGGAACCAATGACCAAATCAAGTTATGATGAGAGCGAGTATGCAACCTCCTTATGGTACCAAACCAAGGTTGTCCTTCGCCGTATGAATATTGCACTCTTTCGCAATACCAACTACGTGAACAATAAAATATATCTCCATATCGGCCTGGCCCTATTCAATGGATTTTCATACTGGATGATTGGGGATAGCGTGAATGATATGCAGCTTCGCATGTTCACCATCTTCGTGTTCATGTTCGTTGCGCCGGGTGTGGTAAACCAGCTCCAACCACTATTTATCGAGAGACGGGATATATATGACGCACGAGAAAAGAAATCAAGGATGTATTCCTGGAAAGCATTCGTCACAGCACTTATTGTGTCCGAGTTCCCATATTTATGCGTCTGCGGGGTCCTTTATTTCCTCTGTTGGTACTATACCGTTGGATTTCCAACAGCTTCCGATAAGGCCGGAGCTGCATTATTTGTTGTAGTTCTCTATGAGTTCTACTATACGGGAATTGGCCAATTTATCGCAGCGTACTCACCCAATGCTGTTTTCGCAGCACTGGTCAACCCCCTTCTAGTCGGTATTATTGTGTCTTTCTGTGGGATCTTGGTCCCATACGACCAAATCATTCCGTTCTGGAGATACTGGATGTACTACCTCAATCCCACGACTTACCTGGTCGGGAGCCTATTGGTATTTAATATGTTTGACGTCAATGTGAAGTGTACTGACTCCGAGTTCGCCATATTTGACCCGCCTTCCGACATGACATGTCTGGAATACGTTTCTGCATATCTGGGAGAGTCAGACGCCAATTTAGTCAATCCCGAAGCTCGCTCCGAGTGCCGTGTCTGTCCATATACTAGCGGGGATGGTTACTTGAAAACATTGAATTTGAATGACTATTACTTCGGTTGGAGAGACGTGGGGATCTTCGTGATCTTTATCTTCAGCTCATATGGCTTAGTGTATTTGTTCATGAAGCTGAGAACGAAAGCTTCCAAGAAAGCTGAGTAAGGGCGTCCATATTACGTGAGTGCATATATAGACAAAGAAAAATTAGTTTGACACTCTTTTAAGAGACTCCTACCATAACCTCTGGTTATAGTATAATGTAGCCTTGTGTTATGTTCAATCGGATGAATCTATGCAAAAGCTCCTGTATATCGTGTATGATCGGCAGTAGTCACATAAATAGCACAGCTCCTCCCCCGCTGGGGGTCGAAGACAGGCAGTCATTCCTGTACGGTAGTAAATCCATGAAGGACAGACTAAACTCTTTTACTAAGGGTAAGATGTCCTTCACTTTCTTTGACGGTCAATGGTTGTGGCCCTATATACCCTTGCCTACATATTCATACATCTACGTACTACAACATGTGCACGTTATTTGTCTGTTAATTAAAAATACTGTCTTGATAGGCCACTATCAATAACCGTTCTTTTATCAGGTATTCATCTAAACATCATTTGTATGGTTCTTATTCCCACACGAGCTAGAAGGCGGCCCTCTTTCTCCCAGCTCGATATTCTCACGAGCTTCGTGAGTAACCGAAATTTGTACGCTTTTGACAATGGCATTGATGTTGTTTCGGGCTCCTGAGGCCAAAGGGACGATACAATCGTCTTCATAACCCGTAGACGACATGCTGGGCTCCTTCGTTTGCCGAGACCATCTCCACAACCTTGACTTCGACTGGTGACTATTATCGCTGATACCTTGTGATTTCGAAATATCTTCGGTATATGCAAGTCCTTGTTCATCCTCGTAGACTGCTACGAACATCTTCAGAGATGACACGGTAAGCACGAGAACACTAACACCGAGATGAAGTTCAGCGACTGTTGTGGCGTACGTTCCGATTAAGGTCGGAGTAGATGAGTAGGTCTGTTGCTGGATGAAATGAAGATGGACAGCAGATAGGGGAATCAGACTGGGGAGATCTATGAGTAGGGCGATACGCAATTAAATGAGGTCAAACATACATGATGCGGCAGCTAAGGACCGTGAAGACAATGCATTTCTTCCAGAAGGAGATTTGGACCTTGTAGATAACCTTGGTGGGGTAGGCGAGAATAAGTGCTTCCAGGGTGATATCGAGGGCGCAGGTCGCCTTCCAACGTGGCAGCTATAACTCACAAGTCAGGTCGGCAATGACCAGGATACATATCACAGTAACTGAAGTGACCCACAAGACCAGCGCAGCGACTATCGATATCTTTCCATGGATCTTCGCTGCAACGAGCTCCCAGTATCCCCATCGCAAGAACAGTCCATACTGAGCAACCAGCAAGAATAGCACTATTCGTCCACAAAGTTTGGCGTATCGAAAGGCTTCGGTAGAATACCATGGTACAAATCTTCGAAAGGCCAAGGACAAGGACATAGAAGAGGTCTGCCACATACACAGCCTGGGATCAGACGAATATCATATCAGTACGCCTGTTTCCAGACACCTCAGGGACCGTCGCACCTTCAGCATTGGCATAAAGTCTCTATCCAATATCATATGTGAAAGTTTCCCCCATCCATACTGGACAGAGACCAACGTGACGGATACTTGTACGCATGCGCACATCTGTTTGCAAATCAGTGAGCGACCGAATGTACCTCGTCGATGCGTAAACCGGACTCGGCAGAAGGAGGTGCTGTTCGCGACACATACCACTACTATGAGTAGTATATAATCGTCTTTCAGAACAAAGGATCTTTTTGTAGCGGCAAATATGCGGACCGACAGAGACGCCAGAACTAGGAACAAAGCCAAAGAGGTGATGACAACAATCAAACCACTGTGATTATAGTCATTGTCCGCTGCCAAAGGGGGCGCAATCCCCGGCGGGAGGGGTCGGGATAGAGCCGACATTATACTTGGCAAAGATGAGCCTCCAGATGGAAGAGTATCCAGATATATTTAATAAGAGCGAGATTGAACCTCGCGAAGTGCATCTGGAGGAAGGGAGAAATGGTACGGAAGCATGAGACTGATGGGGCTTGGAATCTTTTTCTTTTTCCATCTTACGGGCATGATCAAAATGAGCTGTCGTATCCCGGTTCTAATGTCAGTGTCATCACATCAACAGCGCACAGACGGATGTTCGTGATACCCCAACTCTAGTCCTAAAACCATCAATCTAGGTGAGAACAGAGTCTGTTCGATCATTTTGTCCTTGCATCTCAAGCTATTATGGAACTGAGAGCAAACACCTTGGGTATAACTGGATACCTAGGTAGCACAAGGGCTTCGGACTAGATTTCAATCTGGTTAGCAAGCACTATCTTATTTGCCCTTGTGCGAAATAGCGGACAGTGCCATTATACCCATATCCTCTTGGCATGAACGGTGGGGGAGAGAAACAGAGAATTCAGTAACAGTCGCTGTACACCCTCGAGGGATGGTTTGTTGAGTATAAAAGGCTTTATCTCAATCTCACAATAAGATGTAGCAATTTAGGGTTTGCTCCGGTTAGCCATCAACACTGGCTCAATTCTCCTGGCACTGACAGTTCTTGTCCTTCGACTTTAGTACCGACGGGAAAATAGGAGAAATATCGTCAGTCTCAGCTCGTGTTGCGATTGAGGACTTCAGTTACACATTGGAAGGTGGTGACTGGGATAACCCTACCTCTCGTCCGTCTTCCGTGAACGAGGTAGGGGAAGGGGGGAAAGAAAGAAAAAGAAAAAGAAAAAGAAAAAGAAACAGAAAGAAGGGAAAGAGTTCAATGAGAATCTGTGTTACTCTATATCCACCAACATAAGAATTCTTCCTATCAAGGTTCCACAACCGTTGGGTGACCAACGTGTTACTGAACTCTTGTTCACCTCAACTTCACGATCCAGTACCGCGACCGTGCTGCAACGTCTCTCATATATCTTCTTGGTTTTTACCAAGGGTCCGTTTTCTTTTCTACAAAAATCTATCCTTTTCCTTTTGAGTCTTTCTCTATCATGGCATCCACCCCCGAAATTACCCGGATTTCTCGAAAGCCAAATGATCTTGCGTCAACCACCGAATCTCAAAAGGTTGACACGGAGGATATCAACAAAAATGGCGAAGATTTAGGTACGAGGTATGACCAGGGCGACATGGCCCGCATGGGTAAAATCCAAGAACTCAAGGTACACTGCCTAGTGATACAGTCAACTGGTGTCCCAAGTTGAAAGAAACTAACCATAAATCCTATGACAGAGAAACTTTCGTCCTTTGGCTGCGCTAAGTTTTGCATCGGTGCTCCAGGCGACATGGGAATTTATACTGATGTACGAGATCCATTCCAGGATTTGCAATGATGAGATTGGTCTAGCTAACTCAACCATACAACCATTAGAGGGCATACCGAAGCTCTTGTGAACGGTGGAATGGCAGGCCTGTTTTGGTCATATACATGGACATTCGCTGGATTCGGATTGATTATTCTCACTATGTCGGAAATGGCATCAATGCAAGTAGAACTGGCCGCCTCGACCATATGTCTACTAACCACCTTGGAATAAATGCAGGTCCCCTACCTCCGGTGGGCAGTATCACTGGGTGTCCGAGCTTGCATCTCCCAATTATCAACGGGCTTTGAGTTATGTTACTGGGTGGATGTCAGTACTGGCGTGGCAAGCTGGCGCAGCGTCAGGCTCATTCCTGACTGGCACCATCATCCAGGGTCTAATCAGTGTGCGAGATCCTGACTTTGAGTCCAAGGATTGGCAGGGCACGTTGTTCGTTTTTGCAATGATCCTGGCCATCTACTACTTCAATGTCTATGCTTCCAGTTGGATGCCCCGCATTCAGAACTTGCTGTTGGCATTACATATTCTCTGCTTCGTGATAGTTATCACCGTCCTGTGGGCGATGGCCCCACGGCAGCCAGCAAGGGCAGTGTTTCTGGAATTCAGCAACACTGGCGGATGGTCCAGTATGGGACTGGCCCTGATGGTTGGTCAGATTTCGGCCATCTACGCTGGGCTCAGCTCCGACGCCACAGCACATATGTCCGAGGAGGTCCGCGATGCCGGTAGATACGTACCGATGGCCATTGCTTGGGGCTTCTTCACCAATGGTGCTATGGGCTTCATGCTGGTGATCACCTATTTATTTGCCATGCCATCACTGGAGGATGCCCTACAGGACCCCACAAATTTCCCGTTTATCTACGTCTTTAAGAATGCAGTGGGCACCGCCGGAGTCAATGGCCTAACGGCTATTATCCTCATACCGGTCATATTCAGCAATATTCTGTTTAATGCGTCAGCAGCCCGTCAGACGTACGCGTTCGCCCGTGACAGAGGGCTGCCATTTGCCAGGTGGATCTGCAAAGTAAATCCAAAGCGGAAGCTCCCCGTGAACGCTATCGGACTATCCTGTGGAATCAGCGGTCTCCTGGCCCTGATCAATATAGGCTCCAAAACGGCCTTTCATGCGATCATTTCTCTGAATGTGGCAGCACTCATGTGGACGTATGTGATATCCATCGGCTGTCTACTGTATCGCAGGCTGAGTTGCCCCGAGACACTGCCTCCGCAGCGGTGGAGCTTGGGAAAGTATGGAGTCGGGGTCAATGCGGCAGCGCTAGTCTACGTGATATTCGCCTTTTTCTTCTCATTTTGGCCCAGCAGCACTCCTGTTTCCCTCACTACCTTCAACTGGAGTGTTGTCATATTTTCGTCCGTCTTAATCATTAGTGTAATCATGTACATTATCAAGGGACACAAGGAATATGCAGGACCGGTGACATCCGTGAGACGGGATGGAATGCCACAGGCTAGAGCTAACTGACACAACATTCGCCGGGAGGTTTGGCGAATGAAGCGAAAGTTACTAGCATATACAGTTTTCTTCTGGTGTGTCTTTGTTACCCTTTCTCTCTTCTGGATTCATCTCCTAGTTCGAAGGAGCTTTGTCACGAACAATAATACCTCGACTAATGAAGCACCCAAAAGCAGAAGATATGAATGTCATGTATTGGACTTTTGACAGAGGGCTTTTCCAAAACAATGCAGGTTTCTCAAGGTACGAGAGTTATGTTGGGCGGCGTTTCCAGAAAATATGAAGAAAGAAAAGAAGGCGGATTGTTCTTCTAAAGAAATACCAAAGGTGTTGAATCCAATTGACTCGTAGAACCTAGCAAATGGAGCATAAAATTTCTACGTACATTTTGCTAAGCAATCATTCATCTCACCTCAGCTGCTAGCCACTGACTTCAGCATGCAGTCTTCAATATTAATGACTGCCTCCCCTGATACTTTAGAGAAACATGGATGCCAAGAATTGATCCGATCTGAGGGCAACATGAGGTAACCGAAGGCTCATCATCGGGTCGAGATGCAATGACATAAAAGAGTGGAACTTTTCTATCAAACTTTGCACTAAATAATCTCATCGATCCTATGAAAATGGAGTCTCAGTATAAAAGGCCTGTTTCCTCTCCCAGATCTCATTTTCAAGGCCATATCACCATGTTTCTGACACTGATGACCTTCCTTTGGGAACTCGGCTCCCCCCTCGCCGTTCGCATGCCCTGCCATGTCCAAGATGCAGCTCACACTTTCTATGGGTTTCCCGACAATGACCCTCCTGGCGGTGCGATTGCATATGATTGTGGGCGAGGTTTGGCCGCTGGAGGAGTGGGGACCTTCAACGACCCGTTGACCTTTGCCTCGGCCCCTGGCGAGTTTGACATATGTGAAACCATCTACGACCCTTATTTGCGCAAGTATCTACGCATGGAGGACTACTGCAACACATGCACTCGGAATTGGGGCAAGAGGATTTGGAATATCGATGTGTGGACAGGATCTACTACCGTCAACGGAGGAAACGATCAGCTCGAATGTGAGAACAAGCTGACCCCGATGCCTCAACACAAGCCCATCATCCGGAGGCCAGGGCCCGATCTACCTACCGACAGTAAGCTATGCTTCCATAATACAATACACCTCTTTATCGGGGCATGTTGTAGTAATTCATCATAGGTACACCCCTCTTTGTTACGATGAACAAGTCTATTTGCAATGTTGAGAGCATATTTCACAGCTACGTGGCCCAGAGCTTCTGCTAAACCTCCTGACGCTTTTCTTCTTCTCTTCTCTTTGCTTTTGCTGTAGAACATTCTCAAAAGTCTGTCCTTATCATGAAATCTTCTGGTAGTACGGTTTATTCAGCTCCCTATGATTACTCTTGCTTGATGAGCTTTCACTTACGTACTGCACAAATTCTTCAAGTTGGAAAAGAAAAAGAAAAATTCTACTGAGCTCAACATTTTTGCCCCTCGCATGACTTTATTCTGCGGTAATATCGTGGTCAGTTAACAAAAAGTTTACTTTCCAATAGACAAAGAACCATTATGACTCAATGAAGACTTCCACTAGATGTGTACAAATATTTTGATCAGTACTTAAAACCCTGCTGCACCTCGCTTCCAAGGTTCGAAAGTGCTAATTATTGACTTGGAATTACGTGCTGACAAAGGGGACTGTGACGTTGATATCAATTCATCACATCGTCCTCAGTCATTAAATGCTTCCCAGTCCCTTTCCCAGGCCCTTGAAAGCATATAAAAGATTCTCTATTCAGAAGTAAGTGCAAACCTTACGGCGCCATAGTTTTCTTTGATCGAATGCGTCTTTACGGTGGGGCAACAGGACAAGAAACCCTAAACCACCATTGACAATCGTGTCTTCAGTAAACACTACCCCGCGGTTTACTTCAAAATTCAAGAATCCCGTGGTAACACCCTCTGTAATCAAGCCAATTGATGTCCATTGGTAGAAAATGGTAGCCACTATTCGGTAAAACCCTACCTTAAAAACCATGGATATATAAATCCCTCGCTATTAACCCATGCAAGGGTTGTGCCTCGTGTAACTTCCCCCTTAATGAATCTTGTTTCACGGGGCAAAATGAAATGGATTGTCAAACAGCTTGTCTCTTTATCCCTCCTTACCCTTGCGACTTCTGCTCCTATACCTAGGGAAGATAAACGCGGTGTGGTTCCAGAAGCTATGTGAGACCTGCATTAATTATCGCCCACAACAGATTCAATTCTAACCACCAGACCAACGCAGGTTCAAACCCTCAGAACCAACCAAAGCGCCGAATAGGATATATAAAGGACTCTATATACCCGAGTCAGTAGAATGGAGAATTCCACCGAGTAGATCCCGCAGACCAGAAGACGAGACGAGCTTGGCACCCCAGCGGTAGAGAGACAACTGATGAAATCACCGATGATAGCGAGGCAGAGTCTGGATTTGCCAAGTAGTAGCACTAAGCCCTCCTGCGCAAGGTGGAGTGTCCCCTTGCAGAGATGATTAACTCAAGATGTCGTCTAAGGTGAAAGGACTGCTTTCGCTGTCATTGTTGCAAATATGAAGGGGCCTGTGTTCCATCATGAGACAAGAAGGCAATGAGAAGATTTGCGACTTTGCATTTGCTAGAACCGCTCTTTCGGACACAAAGCTGGACTAGTTATTGGGCACGTAAGTTATGAAGAATGCTATTTTGATGCTGTCATTCTTCTAGTACATATTGTTGTTTTCATTGAAAGATTCCCGGTCAAATATGTGTCGAATTATTTCAGTGGAAAACACTAGCTTCTCAAGGATGACCATTGTGGTGTAAACATGTGAAACATACCTTAGGAAATCATCACATCAGTATATGGCTTCAAGTCATTTTCATAAAGCTCAGGGTCAAGCCATAGTACAAAATGTTGCACAAATCTCCTGAGACGACACGCAGCAGCCAACCACGCTTCGGGACCTTCGTACAACAACACCACCCCTTAATCTTGTAATGAGATCTTCCATAAATAATCTGCAAAATTTCTCTGATCTAGAATAGTCTTTTATTTACCCAATCTACAGAAACGTTATTGAAACAGCAGGGCATGACCTGCAAGCGCCCGGCATAAAAAGGGAGTGTCTCAAACAATTTCCTTTCTACTCCACATAGCTCAGTAGGTATAAATAGCTTTTATATCCACCATCCCGTTCCAGCTTCTAAACAAACACTCTCTATCAAACTTCCAAATACCCAAACCGCCCAAAGTCGACGTCGGATCTCCTTCCAGAACCCATACCTCCAAAATGAAGCTCAACCAGCTGGCTCTTCTTGGCCTCGTTGCTCTGGCAGCATCGGTTCCTCTTGCTACAGAGGATAGCCGTGGTGAGATTATCAAAGGTACATACACTCATACATCATTCCTTTGTCCCACATCTTCGCAAAACTAACTAATCCTGAATTCAGGATCCTCTTTACTGGGCAGAAATGGGCCACGAGATCTGTCTACTAGAGTCATGGTTCCCAAGCTTAACGCTCGGGATATCAACCTGATTACGCGCGATGAAGCCGCTCTAGATGGTGGTAAGGATAGTAAAGGTGGTAAAGGAGATCAACGTGGCAAGAAGGGCAAAGAGGGTGAGGAGAGTGAAGGAGGCGAAGAAGAGGAAGAGGAAGAAGACGAGGAGGAAGACGAGGAGGAAGACGAGGAAGAAGGTGAGGAGGGAAAGGAAGGAGGGGAGGGCCTTGGGCAAGGCGGCCAGCACGGGCATGAAGGCCATTGAGGGGAAAGATGGCCGGAACGCTCAGCAAGGCCGTAAGGGAAAGGATGGCCAACAAGGCCAACAAGGTCATGAGGGCAGAGATGGTCAACAGAGCCAGCAGGGCAAGGGTGCCCAACAGGGCCATGAGGGTAAAGTTGGCCATTAGTTTGCAACAGCTGGTATTTGTATCGCCTTCCATTGCCTGGTTCGATTATAAATTTTGGATTATAGTCAATTAGTTGAGGAGTTGATTAGTTGTCGAGTTGGGACAATGAACGAGTTATCTTTTTGAATGAGATACCACCATGGATGACTCTCCGGATAAAGAGTAGATGTAGAGGCTTATAACATAAAGCCCAGTATTGTCCAATATATGATCTATAGGATCACGACCATCCCATACTGGTTTTGTACAAATCTGCGTGTCATCATTATTCTCATGTATCAAAACAATTTTTCTTTTCTATATCCAAAGTCTAATACTAATCTATATGCAAAATCACGCTTTATAAAAACACACAAAAACCAGGAGGAAACAGAACCTTCTACCTAATTTACATCCTAATTCACATGTCTCAACTATCAAAGAGAAGCCCTAGCAGCAGCGGCAGCTTCGGACTTAGGAGGCCATTTTACACGCCGCTCGGCACGGACATATAAATTGTTAGGCCGGATCAGCTGGAACATAGGGTCGTACTCGACCAGCCCATCATTCTCTTTAGTGAATTTGTATCGATATACTAGTTTCGGCAGGAATACCTTGACTTCTTGCAGCGCAAAGTTGAACCCGATACACATGCGAGGACCTGTAGCAAATGGAATATAAGCAGCCTTGTGTCTATTCTTTACTTCTTCTGTATCCCACCGATCGGGGTCGAATCTCGTTGGATTGTTCCAGACTTCTGGGTTATTGTGAAGGTGATGAAGAGCACCGACAACCACAGCTTCCTCGGGTAGCTTATAGCCCCCGGGCAGGATCATATCGGCTTTGGCAGTTCGTGCAGGCTGGTAGGATGGGTTGTGCCGACGTTGGGTCTCTTTTATCAATTTATCCATGAATGTTAAGCGGTCTGTCAAGTCGGCTGTTATCTGAGTATCTTCGGTGATACCATTGTCGATCAACTCTTGCAGCAAGCGATCCTGAATGCCAGGGTATGTAACAAGACTGTAGATCAGCCAAGACAGAAGTGAGCTAGTGGTGGTAAAGCCTGCTCCAGTCGCAACAACCAGAGCCTGGATCAAGCTTGTCTTGGGCAACTTCTCGCCCTTGTTGTCCGTGGCGCGGATAGCGTAGTCTACTCATGTTAGTAAGAGTTTAGATGAGAAGCAATGCTAGTCTTACCGATCATGTTAGTTGCCTTTAAAGCGGCGTTTTGTAGCGGTAGGTCTTCAACACCACCACGGCTGGCATTCTGGATTGATTCGTCGACTATGTCAAAGATACGATATCGCATATTTCTCAACCGCTGCGGATCGCCGAACGGCAGCTTCGCATACCAATCCCCCCTGGCAGTCACCTTCTTATTTAAAGACAACGACTCGGCAATAATCTGAATAAGCTCATGAGGAGGTGCATCGGGGGAGGAAAAGTGATTGAAATTTATTCCCAGAACCAGCTTTCCGACCGCCTGAGAACCAAGTTTGAGCATATACTGGTAGACATTCCAAGCCTCGCCATTCTCATCGAAATGATCAAAGACTTTAAAAGCATCTTCAACCGTTTGTTGCATGATGGGGGCATAATGCCGAACGGCCTTGGGGCCCAACGCTGGGGGAAGAAATTTGTGCGCCGCTCTCCACTCCGGGGTGTCAGTGTCACCTAAGAACACGCCAGCCTCTTTATTTTTGATAGCATGGAGAGGATGCGCTTCGTTGATTTTTTTGGTGAAGAAATCAGTTTCAGAAAAGATGATTGAGGACAGTTGTGGATCGTTGGTTTGGTAGACCGTGCGGCCCATGTTTGTCGTCTTGATGATGGGCCCATATTGCTCAAACAACCGTTGATGGTTTCCCAGATGATCAGGATAGATCTCGAAGAAATTTCCAACAATTGGAAGCCCTTTGGGTCCAGGAATCTCTCGCACGGATTTACCATCAATCGTAATGCTGATAGGATCTTCATTTGCAATGACCTCCGAAACGTCAGACAAGACCGCGTCCTGGGATTGGAATCCGATTCCTATGGCAGTCAGTTAGAGCTGCAGCGTTCTTCTCTCTGTTTTTTTTTCCGACAATATTTCCCGTAAACGTACCAGCCGGTTCAACTATAGCAAAGTTTGCGGCAATGACATGTCTAAGTCCATCATAATCCAACGTGGACTCCAACTCAATTTCCCTTGCGGTGGAAGCTGGCTCTCCTGAGAGGTAGAATAGTTTGATAAACATTTTGGCGAAGCCTAGAAGGAATGATTTCAAAATCCCAGGGGGTTTAGGAAGAAATCAATCTTAACGCGCGACACTTGCCCCGAGTCGGACTGTTAATTTATAGTGACTTTAGTTTGACTCAATTAGGGCGAAACGACAATCACGGTGCGAATCCACATTGTCCGATTTCACATCCCGTCGGAGCGACAAGGGCTGGAGCTCAATAATGAAATGCATATCGAGAGTTGTGCTTCCTGCGGCGGAAAACAACGTGGAACGTTTCGATGCCTGCCTCGGCAAATGTCGATACTATCGCAATCTCACAGCCAAACCTAGCCACCGAGAGCCAGCGATCGGCGTCGTGGACCCACAGCCATTCACTAACAATGGTAGGTTTTGACGGAAAGGGGAAAGACTTTTCAGACGCAATGTCGGCTGTGGCTTCCGCGTATCTACTCTAGGTTACAGAATTCGGCCATGCCGTGCCGAATCTCCATCAGGCCGTTTCTAATTCATGCCAGTCTCGGAGACGAGGATCCCGACTTCAGCCAGATGCCCGACTAGATCGTATATTAACAGCATGATTGTGGATACCATACTTATGTTGACTTTTATGTCTCACACTACTGATTCAATCCCGTAGCGGTCCCAACGCAATGATAAAGCACGTACTCACTTGTCTAATTCAAATACCTAGGTCTTTCTCTCTTTTCTACAAGTATTCGTTGCGGCTTCCATACTACATAAAGCTTCATTGAGACGATGGAGATAAACGCCTCAGGTCTAGCTGATGCTCAACTCCCTGAGTACTCAACTGCGGAAGTTGCATCTCATAACCGCAAGGATGACATCTGGATCATCATTCATAGCAAGGGTAAAAATCTCACTACCAGACTGAAATTGAAATTACTAAGTCATGGCAGTTTTCGATATTACGCGATATTGCCAGGACCATCCGGGAGGCGCAGAGGTCCTCATAGAAGCTGCAGGCACAGATGCCACCGAGGCCTTTGAAGATGTTGGGCATTCCGAGGACTCGGTAGAAATCCTGCAGGAATTCCTAATCGGGTCCCTGAAGGGAGCCAAAGAATATGTCGCACCCAAGAAGGTCCAACTCGTAGTCCAGAAACCTGAAAAGGTGCCCCATTCATCTGAAAGCCGGCCAATAGGAACAATCGCTGCCGTTTTGGGAGCAGCAGCATCTGTGCTCTATGTGTGTCAACGGGGCATTTTCGGTTCATTGCTTTCCAAAAATGGAGTCAGTCAAATAATTCCCCAACATTTCAAGGGGGTAAGACTGCCTCGCGGTGGGTTTATCAATGGCTTTCTGGCGGCTACAGTCATTTCCGCTATAATCGGTACCGTTGTGGCTCGTCAAGCCGCGAGGTTCACCAAGATCGACTCGGGGTTTTTGCGCTATCCACTGCACATCAAAGCACGAAAGGTCGTAAAAGCCGACCCGCACTTGGCCAAGGGATTTCTAGATCCGAAAGAATTCAAGCGCTTGCCTTTGATTGAAAAAGACCAATTGTCTTCCAATGTCTACCGATTTGTGTTCGCCTTGCCTCACTCCAAGGGAGTCATCGGACTTCCTATTGGACAACACGTCGCTATCCGTGCAATTGTTGACGGAGCGACAGTATCCCGGTCATACACACCTGTGTCAAATAATCTGGACATCGGTCGACTAGAACTCGTCATCAAGTGTTACCCTGAAGGCCTGCTTACCGGCCGCTATCTCGCCAACTTGACGGTGGGAGACGAAGTTGAGTTCCGGGGTCCCAAGGGAGCGATGCGTTATAGCAAGGGGCTCTGTACTAAGCTAGGCATGGTCGCTGGAGGAACAGGTATCACGCCCATGTACCAATTGATTCGTGCCATCTGTGAAGACGAACGGGACATGACTGAGATCAGCTTAATCTATGCCAACCGGACAGAGGCAGATATCTTATTAAGAGAGGAACTGGAGGCATTCGCCCGCAAATACCCCAAGAACTTCAGGCTTTGGTATATGCTGGACAGTGCTCCAGAGGGTTGGGCCTATGGAACGGGATTTGTCAACCAAGAAGTTCTTAGCCAACGATTACCGGGTCCATCTGAGGGTACTAAGATTCTCCTTTGTGGGCCTCCGGGCATGATAAACGCAACCAAGAAGACGTTGACTGCGATGGGGTTCCAGAAGGCCGGAGCGGTGTCTAAGATGGGCGACCAGATTTTCTGTTTCTAATAATTTCTGTTTCTCTCCGTTTCCCTTTTTCTTCTTTGACACGGCTCGTCCTGGGCGGTTTGTGTGTAAGTTATAAATTCGAACAACGTCTTCCCTGTAGAAAAGGTGTTTGATCGTTGTTGGCGCCGCGCGGAAATCCATGAAAGAGGGAATTGTTTAGACTACTCTAGATAGATAGTGGCTTGGCTTTATAGTCTCCACTAAGAATTAGCCAAACTGGCGTATCATACATATCACAGTGGAGCTCACAGGGAGAAATTGAAATTGGACAGCATATGCCATTGCCTTTTATTAGTGGGTGGGTGCGTGGGTTGAAATGTTTGGACTGTTTGATTGCGTGGGCTAATCACAAGGTTGCCAAATGCCCTACTCCGGTGTATCTAATTGTAGAGAGTCAAGAAAAAAACCCACCATCAGTGTAATATCAAATCTCACAAGCTATGACAAGTTCGTCGGGATAAATCGTAGTCTATATGTACAATGTACAATTCCCTTCGGCATAGATAAGCCTAGTACTCCCTTTAGTCCCTTCCGTTATGTATATTATAGACCAAACACGGCCTGCACGAGGGGCAAATTGCCTAGACATTACTGGGGAGGGGAAGTCAGAAACAGACTAAGGCATTGATTCAGGATTAGTGATCAACAATATCTCTGTGCGTGTTGAGAGTACAATTCCAACGAATATAACATCATCCACAATGCGAAGTAAGTCTACATGCACTTTCGGCCCTTGTCCGAATAACGATGACTTTGCCTCGGGTGGTTGAACTTTCACTGCACAATACTGCACAATATTTTTTATCTTTTTTTATACACTGACTCGCCCGATCGATAATATCACTCAGTTTTCTATAGAAATATAAATTGATATTGTTTTGAATAGCTTCATTTTTGAAAGGGGGGTTGGATGATCGGGTGGCCCGGGTGATCGGCTCGCTCAGGGATTACAACCACACCCAAAAAAGAAAGGGTTCTTGGGGTCCGACCGAAACAGCCGAGGTATATTTCCCTCTTTTGGTTAGTTCAAGGACCCATCAAATGAGTAGTTTCATATATCCTATTGCATAGTAAAATGAATAATTGATAAGAATACCTATCAAACAATGTAGGAAAACGGAAGAAGAAGGGGCAGAGAGGAATATCAGAAATTGTTAGTATATCGTATTGTTATACGTGTAGTAGTAGTCGGGTATGTATTATCTAGCGGCCAGGGCCTTTTTTATTCATTGCTGGCGCTACTTAAGGATATATATATTATGTATATAGAAATAAACTAAAGGACTAAGGAAAAAGAAGGCAGCAGCATGAAGATAGCCCGGAGGATAAGCCGCGTTGGATGGTAGATTGGGGAGCTTGATTGTTGACATATGTCTAAGCAATTTGAGTATGTTAAAATCATGCGAGGATAGCCTTCTGCGAAGTCTCGTCCTCTACTGAACGGATCTACTGAAAGATTAACCAAACTACCTTATATAGCGGTACAGGACCATGACTGGACACGTACTGGTTTGTCTTGGAGGATATTGATATGGAATGTGGCTGCACCCCTTCCGAGAAAAAACTTTGTTATCTAACACAAAAATGATTCGTCTCGCGGTCACACAGATGGAAAAAGAAAGGATGTTTCTAGAGACACTTACAATCTCGGGGCTGGAGACTAACATGCCCCTCTCTTCGGGTATCTTATGCCAAATGTCCAGAAATACTAAACGATTAATTACTTCCTAATCTCCATATACCCATCCGACATGTTTCGGGTAAGACTCTAGAAGGAACCTTCTATATACATAACTCGGCTTACTTCAATGGAATCTTACATTTCAAGCAACAATATCGGAATCTCTCCTTCGGAAAATTCTCGAACCCGAGACCAGCAACGCCCAGATAACTCCGAACCCATCAAAGACCCATTGAACAGGCTCATCCGGAATAAGCCTCACGGCAAACCCAACCAAGATAGATAAAGCTCCAAGCACAAGCGAGTAAGCCCACTGAGTACCGGTGAGTCGGACCACTGAGAAAACCCGGCCGCCGACAAAAATAATCAGGACTTGGCAGCCCATCATGAAAAGAGTAACGCAGATGAATAGCCAGTTTCGGGATAGGCCTTCGAGGAGGTTGATGTTATTGTCTAATTGGCGGTTACTGTAGTTTGATTAGACTTGCGTCAAGCGTGTTTTGGGTTAAATCTCGGAGGTTAACTTGAGGGGCGGGGCTTGGGGTTGAAAAATAGAGATCGAGAAAGGGTAGGTGAAGTTTTGCGTTGATACCGGGGTAGACTGGTACTCACTTGTACATGTTGAAGATTTGCATCCAGACATATGTATTAAATACCGCGGTTTGCAGTCCATCCTTATCGTCAGGTGTATAGGAGAAGATGCTGCTGCCAGCGAAGTGAAGGACAAGGGTAACTGCCAGCTGATAAATAGATTGCCCTATGATCATTTTCCACATTGGGATAGTTATGAGAGGAGCAGATCTGAGTTCCGGTTTCCTGTCTAGGGCTTTGCGCGATGGAGGGTCGGTTGCTAATGCCAGAGCTGCCAACGTGTCTTGAAATAGATTCACCCACATGAGCTGCACGGCGGTTAGAACCGACTGTTCATTGGAGCTAGCTACAGATGAGACGAATGCGAGCCCGACAGAGGTGAATGTGATGGTGATTTGGAACTGTAGAGTATGTATGCTTAGGGACCCAATTGTTACTAATGAAGTGACTGACTTACCTGCAGAAACTTCTTCACAGCGTCTGTAACAGCTCGTCCCCACATGATTGCCTTCACGATGGAGGTAAAGTTGTCATCCATAAGTACAATGGAGGAGGCTTCGCGTGCGACTTCAGTTCCGGAAATGCCCATGGAGAAGCCAACGTCCGCCGCGGTAAGAGCGGGAGCGTCGTTCGTTCCGTCACCAGTTACAGCAACAGTTCTCCCCATCTCTTTCAGCCTATGAACCAATGTCCTTTTGTCTTCCGGGCTGGATCTCGCTAAGACCTTGAGACGCGGTATGACATTCAGCTGTTGCGAATCATCAAGTTGTCGAAACTCTCTGCCTTCCATCACGATATCTTTCGGGTGGGTGAGAATGCCACACTCCTCCGCGATGGCTTTCGCTGTTAGTAGATTATCGCCAGTCACGATGCGAACGGTCACACCCGCTCTGTGGCAAGACTGTACGGCATCCCGAGCACCATTGCGGAGAGGATCTCGGATACCCATGATGCTGAGAAACGTAAGATCCTGCAGAATCTTATCTATTCTTATCTCTTCCAGTCCATCCCCCTTTTGAGACCAAGGAGGCCATGCCTCAAAATCGCGGAACAAAATAATAATTGTTCTCAAAGACTGTCTAGCATAGTCGGCAATTATCTGATGCAAGCCCTGGGTTATATCTTCATTGATTGGTCTTGTAGCAAGCCCTTTAGTTGGGTCTTCGATGGCTTTCGTACACTTGCCGAGCAGTACCTCTGGTGCCCCTTTGACATACGCGCGATATCTGCCCTCCTCCAATTGAGCGACTGTAACCATGCATTGCTGAGAATTTTCGAACGGAAAGGCTTCTACGATATTTGTGTTGGAGCGCTCAACATCAAGTACATCCATTCCCAAGTGATCTCGAGCAAATGCTAGGAGGGCAGCTTCCGTTTTAGATCCCACATATGACTTGACTCCGTCTTCATCGCTTTCAAATGCAGTAGAATTGACGGAAATCGACTGTCTAAGAAGAGACCTCATATCGGGCGCAAGGCACCGGGTGTAGCCGCTGATAGTTGGACTTATAGATGGATCGGTACAATGTTGCGGATCAACAAACTTGCCGGCAGTACCAAGCACTCCAGCGACGATCCTCATGTTATTCTGGGTCAGTGTTCCGGTCTTATCTGAACATATATCTGTCGCATTCCCCATGGTCTCACAGGCCCTTAACCGGCGAACTAAATTATGGTCTTTTAGCATCCTTGTAGTTGCAAAAGCTAGGGCAAGAGTCACTGTGAGCGGGAGACCCTCCGGGACGGCAATCACCACGACAGTAAGGGAAATGATGAAGATATCTAGAAATTGTTGGCCCTTTTCCGCCGATGTCTTACTACTATGAGGAAGAGTTGCGAGGAACTTAATGAACAAGATGGCGAATAGTACGAGAGCCGCAAGGCCACCGAAATTTGCAATATACTTTGCCAACACATTGAGTCGTGTTTGTAGGGGCGTAAATCCAGGATCGTCATTGAGCGTGACAAGAATCTTGCCATAGCTGGATTTGGTGCCCGTTGCAACCACCAGGAAGGACCCCACTCCTTCGGCCACACTCGAGCCTGATATCATGAAGGGGTCTAAATCTCGAGGATCACTAGTGCCCCGGACCGCGTCAAAAGCTTCATCCCCGGAATGTTTATGTAGTAGATCGGATTCACCAGTGGCTGACGCCTCGTCGCATCTGATATGATATCCCTGGATTAAGATCCCATCTGCTGGTATCACATCCCCTGGTTCAACGTGCACAACATCTCCCACAAATACGTCCGAGATAGGAACCTCCCGAAAGTGACCGGAGCGGATGACAGTCACCTTGCGATCTAGTTTCTTCTTATTCAACCTTTGAAATTTGATCTGTTTCTGATAATCGTTCGCGGCACCGACAATGACAATGACAATGATAGCGACAATAATGGAGACCCCTTCCACCCATTCAACTGGCGGATTGCGGGCTGAATGTTTGGTCGCAAGCGCCTGGTATAGACCGAGAGCCAAAGAGACAATCGCCGCCCCAGTTAAAATAAATAAAACATGGTCATTGTATGCCATCCACATAAGCTTGAAGATGTTCGGCTGCTTCTTCACAGGGAGATGATTATTCCCGAACATCCTTCGCCTGTCTGTAAAGAGGCCGTGATGGTCCTCGGTTATGGTCTCCTTTGTCAATGGAAAACCATTAGCAATCACTGATTCATCGGCACTCAACCCACTATTTCGGTCGGTTCGAAGCCCTTTCTCCAGCCCGGCAAGACCTCCTAACGTGTGAAAAGCTTCCAAACTTCTCAACTCTATGAGCTCGCTGAGTTGCTCGGCGGAAAAGTCGAACGTATTATGTGGGAAATCGGGGACCTGAGCATCTCTCAGGTTGAGGTCTGAGCTTTCATTCGAGGTTTTCTGATGCTGTTAAATTGAGAACGGCACGTAAAAAGTATTGCGCGTACCATGATTAAATAGCTGTCTATACGTTGTTGATAGATGAGATTATGGTTGAAAGGGAGATCATTATGGCGAATATCGGGTATTTTCCAGGATTATTCAATAAAAGTACACAATTGATGGATATTTAAAAGAGGAAGAAAGAAGGAAATCTTTGGATAAATCTAACGAGTCTGACGGCGGGAGATTCAAAGTTCAGGAGAGAAATGGATTGGGGCTGCATTGAATCGAACTAGAGACCCTCCTCCGTCTATAGATTACGGACTGGGTATACTACTAGTATGGAGATACAAGTACTCCACAATACTTGGGATGTTACGCTGCCCGCGTATTTTATTACCCCACTCGGCGTGTCCAATCAATTACCGAGACTTTCATAAGGCTGAGTGTTGCCTGAAAAGAGCCATGGATCCATTGTTTACTTCAGAAAATCTAGAATGGCTTTACTGGTTTTGGTATCATCTATACTAAGAATTCATGCCATTACCAGATTATCTGGCACGTCTGGGTGTACATAGAATGCGATCGCGATGATTAAATACCTGCACGGTCGGGTTAGAGGGACGGTTGGTCAGAAGGGAAGAAAAACAAAGAGGTTGGGACACTTACGTCCCGATGAGCAATAACCCCTCAAAATAATTAGACTTGCCCTCTCGGATCAGGCAGTTCATCACCACCACAGCAAGAGAGAAACAAGCAGTTTCGAAAGTGTTGAACCGCAAAGACATCGGCTGCCCAAGAGCCCATCCACACATCACCAGGAACGGGGTCACAAAGAGCGCAATCTGGAGCGTGCTGCCAGCAATTACCCCGATAGCGAGATCTAACTTCCCACCCATGGCGGCGTTCACTGTGATGGCGAATTCGCCCGCGTTCCCTACGATAGGGACGACAATCATCCCCAAGAAGGCCCGGCTAACTCCGTATACCTCTACAAACCCATCCACGCCCTCCACCAAATAGTCGGAACAGACGGTGACTCCCAGAGTGGCAAGGACTAGCACGATACTGGCGGGAAGAGGCTCCAACTCACGCTTCTCGTCCGATTCCTCGGTGCCGGCGAAGAGGTGGGCGTGGCTTTTCAGTTGGAAGTATAGGTAGGCCAAGTAAAAGAGGAGCAGCAGAATTGCAGTGATATGCGATAAACCAAGGATATAATCATCGCCTTCCTGTAATTCGAACAGAGTGGTCGAGTATAAGGCTGAAGGAATGATGAGGGATGCGGAGGCGACGATCATTAAGGACGACATAACTTGGGTGACATCGATGTTGAAGGAGAGGGTCTCTTTGCCATACCCTCCACATAAGAAACAGCATCCTAAGACCTGGATCATGGTTAGCATGGGTAAGTTACGAGTGAGATCTAGCGCTGAGGAGCGTCGAGGGAATAGGTGACGGTTTCTCACCAGAAGCGTTCCGGAAAGGATACTGCCGACCATACTCGACTGGACAATATTGATCTCCCCCTGAGTTACAGCAGTAATTCCAACCTATATAACCGATTTTCGGGATTAGTGACCGTGGGAACGTTCCAGATCAAGAGCAATGGCCAAAGTGAGCTCACAATCATTTCGACCGCATTTCCAAAAGTCGCATTAATCAACCCCCCCACGGTTTGCCCAACACTTTTAGACAGCTCCTCCGTTGCAAAGGAGAGCAGGGATGCCAGAGGAAAAATGGCGAGAAAGTTAAGCATAAAGACGGCTGATGGATCCCATCCTCGAGCGCCAGATAGGATTCCTAAGACGACAAATATCAACATCACATTGGTGTAACTCGAAAGAGTAACCTGGACAGTATGCCAGGCATTCCGTTGAATCGCACCACCCATGGTGGACGAGAGAGGAAGGGAGAGGAAGGGAGGGGTGTGAAATGCTCAGGTTGAGGAGGAATCGGGGCGTCAGCTCGTAGACACTGAACTGAGAGAAGTATTATATTATTATTTGATCTTCTTCCCCCTCAGGCCCGATAATTACTAAAGAAACAATAATACCTCATGGTATCGAATGTACGTCACGTACGGCACTGTCAATACCGTATATTACGAAGGATGGGGCCATGATTGGTAGAAATGTGGATGCCTAGCGGTGAAGCTTTGCGCTCAGGCCTCTCATTGCGGGCCCTGAACTGACAAGGCAACCAGTTAGGGGTTGACACCCTGCCCTGTAGGGCTGAATGGACCGACCCGTAACTCTCCAGACTCGAACGGTACCATTTTACCTTACCTTTGAGCCTCCCGTATTTTCTTTTCTCGTCTATATCATCCACCTAAGGCAACTAGTTGACAGATCCCACCCACACCAGCAGAGGACGTCAACATGCAATCTGTTAGGAACAGACATCATCAGCTACCACGGTTAAACAGCATGTCTGCATTATTGGATCGTTCTCCTCTCTCTCCTATCCCCGATACACCCATTGGACTTCCCGGCCAACCATGGCAGCCTTTCCACAAGTCCATCATGAAGATTTGCCGTCATCCATGTGTGAAATCAATGCTGGCCACGGTACCCATGGGTATCACCGCGGGCATTCTAGGTGGGCCTGTCCAAGTGGTTTTTATACTAAACCTCGCGGCGTTGATCCCACTCGTCGGTTTGGTCACAATTGCCATTGCCGATTTGTCCCTCATGACGGGACGAGTGCTCGAAGAACTGCTCAAAGCATCGGTCGGGAACGCTATTGAGCTGGCCATTGGAATTGTGGCCATGAAAAGAGGACATGTGCACATGGCTCAATCCACCCTGGTAGGAAGTATGCTCTGCTACACGCTTCTGGTAAGTAGTGTATGAGAAAAAGAAAGACTTGATTTCGGTACTAAGGTACACCAGGTCCCTGGGAGCTGTTTCTATCTTGCGGGTTTGAGCAAAGAGCACCTCCATTTTGACCACACTCTCATCAACATCATGTCTTCCCTCTTGATGGCGGTATGCATGTCTCTTTTAGTTCCGACAATCATGGTCACCTTCCCCTCCTTAGATACCCTTTCCCCCCAGGCTTCGGTAACGAGACAGGAAATTATATTTGTATCCCGTGGAACAGCAGTAACGCTTCTCCTTCTCCTTGGGGTTTTCCTTCTCTTCCAGCTGAAGAGCCATGCATCAATCTTCCATCTAGCCGAAGCTTCCAGCGAATGTTCTCTAGGTCGTCAGAAACCTAATGATCATGATGGCACGGAACACCAGCCAACGAAAATCTTCGCGCCACAACCCGCTATTGTCACTCTAGTAGCAGGGATGTCTTGCTTGATTGCGTGCGTTTCCTTTATTGTCGATAGTGTCAATGGGTTCGCACAGGAACTGGGCCTGAGCACGGCCTTTCTCACGTTAGTATTGGTTCCACTTGTCGGCAATTCTACGAGATATGCCGCGATTGTTACTGTCGCGCTGAAGGGGCATGTGGAGTCCGCAGTGCGGGCGAACCTAAACAGCACACTTCGTATTACTCTCCTCGTTACTCCGACCCTGGTCATCTTGGCTTGGGTGTCAGGACTATCCATGACACTTCAGCTCGATACATTCGAGGCGACCATGTTATTCCTGGCTGCGGTGGTGATGAGTCATGTGATTCAAGATGGGAAGAGTAATTACTTTGAAGGCTTAATGCTGATCGGAACGTAAGTTAAGTCTCAAATGGCTGTAGTGTGTTTCTAGTCATCTAACTAAGGCTTGTTTCACATAGGTATATTATATCTGTGGCTGCATTCTACATGCGCCCCGGAATAACAAAATAAGAGACCCATGCCTTAGTTGAGTGGCCATATATTTGCGGGACTCATGAAGCGATGCTGCGACGTGCATAGTACATGTTTCCAACTCGTCAGGGTATTTAGCGTGATGTAATTATAAGCCCCAGGGAGCCAGCACTATCTCTTCATCGGACCAAAAAGGCAAGCGAGAGGATTGCATACCTAAATCCATCCATTAGTCAAGTGTGAAATGTAAGCCCTACGAACAATAGTAGGAATAAGGGGAAACCTACAGTCCAATCAGCATACTCCCGTGAAGGTACGTATACTTCGCATCCTTCAGAACTTGGTTCACAACCAGGATGGCGAAGAACAAGACCAGCGTATGAAATGTCTCAAAATAGAGCGTCATCGGTACCCCGATCGCCCAGCCAAACATCACCAAAAATGGAATAGCAAAGAGCCCAATCTGCAAGATACTGCTGATGATGATACTGATGGCAAAGTTGACATCATCGCCGCGGAATGAGGCAGCCATAACCGCCGCGCCTTCGCAACTATTGCTGATGATGGGGATGAGGATAGTCGCAATGAAAGTTTTGGAGATCCGAGTCGCAGCTGAGGTGGCGGGGACACTGGCAAGGAAGAAATGAGAGCAGATAACAATTGAGATTCCTGCTGCAAAAAGGGCGACAACGGTTTTTGAGTGGTTCGGTTTCTCGTGGGCTTCACTCTCAGCACGCTTGTCTTTCTCTTGACTTTGGGGATCTTGCTGAAATAGATGTTTATGCGTTCCCAATTGAAAGTAGAGATACCCGACATAAAGTACCAGGAGTACGGCGGAAGTTCCACGTGAGAAGCTCAGAACCTGGTCGTCCAGATCCACTGTAGTAAAGGTTGCATACAGAACTGAGGGTAAAATCAACCCCACGGCAGTAACAACCATCAATGAGGACAGAGAGCCCGTCATGACTACATTGAATGATAGTATATACTTGTTATATGAGGATGATATTAGGCAGCCACCCAAAACCTACGGCGAGTTAGCGATATAACTACCAGGCTAAAAAGGGTGACAGAGCGCGAGGGAGAGGGACAAACCAAAAGAATATCCGACAGGATACTCCCGATCATAACCGACTGTGCAAAATAGATATCCCCACTGGTAACGGACAGAATCCCAGTCTACATATACGGTTAATGGTTTGCTCATTTACCCGGATATAATAGAGAAAAAAGGAAGAATCAGAAAGGAAAACAAACGGTCAACTCCACGGCATTGCCAAAGGTCGCATTGATTAATCCTCCAAGCAAATCACCCACATCTTCCGATAATGTGTCGGACGCGTCCGACACGATAGCAGAAAGTGGAATAATGGCCAGAAAATTAGAGACGAAAACCACGACCGGATTCACGTTGAGAAGGGCTGCGATGACGCCGAGGGGGAGAAATACCAGCAGGCTGTGAATCGAGACCATGGCGTATCTCTGCAATTATCCTTATTGTGAGGCTCACTTTTACTTCCCTGGGTAGTTATCGATGGGTTATGGTGGATAATTGCCCTTGCTGAGACTTAAATATATGGGAATATGGCTGAATAGCTGGTGGGGAGTTCAATAATAATTTATGTTGATGACCGACAGTATTAATACCAGTACTGTCTGGTATGGAAATGACAGTACCATAGCCCCTGACGGATTGTTAGATGTATTGAAATACATCCTTTCCTGATGCTATTTTTATACCCCGAAGGTCCTTTAATCTGCTACTCAAGTTCCTGATATATTGGGGATAACCGATGATATCATTTGTGGTAAAAACGAGTCCATCCGGTGTCTTACTATTGTTGCTATGAGGAGTAAACCGCTAGGTATATAGCAAGCTCTCATATATGTATTCTCTTCCGTTAACTGCTACTGTGGAAATATTTCTGAAATGATAAAACAATAAATTCAACTAACTTAGTGCTGAACTAGAACTACCTGAGGGTGTAGGTGAGGCCCTTTCTATAGACAAGCCCATACAAAGATCCTCAAGGTCCTACAGGTTCCCTTTCATTCCCTTTCACTAATCAACATTAAACAATGCTGAAAGAGCTTGTAAATTACCAACATATTCAACAGCCACCCCTATATATATATATATATGTGTGTGTGTGTGTGTGTGTGTGTGAGTGAGAAATATGTACCTATATAGATATATGGGAAAAATTTTGTGCATATCTAATAGTAATTGAGAAGAGAACTTTTCCCAAGCCACTAACTTAGTCTTTTTTGACTCCCGCTGGAATACCCTTGGCATTGTAACAGCTCCATGCCAATCCTCACCAAGCACTGGATGATTCCGCTGATTCATTGATTCTCGTTTCTTGTTCCATGCGAGCTCGGACTTTTAGTACTTCCCCATCTTCCGAGAAATCCAGTCTCCACACTAGCTTGCCGTTTGATCTACGTCCTCGATTGGAAAGATATGGCTGCCTTCGGGGAGGATAACCTCCTTGACCTTGCCTTGGGAAGAGCCACCACTGCCACCAACCCCTTCCCCACAGGTTTTTAACGCTTTTGCGGGCGTCGTTCAGACCAAGGAAAGACTTTGCTCCCAGGTTCCACAACGCCGGGGGCCTCAAATTGGGAAGCCTTAGAAACGTACTCCGACTCTCTGGGTGACAAACAAGTAGAAGCCCAACGACAGGGTCCAGGTCCGCATGGATAGAGCGGCCAATCTGAAGCTTCCCATCCGGAGTGCGGTCGACTGAAGAGTTAGCTTTGAAAAGCCTAGGAATTCCCGATATTTCGAGGTGGTAAGAGTCATGGCCGGGTTGGAAGGATCTGTGCCCTTTGGCATTTCGGGGTAAAGCGCGGTGGGGAGGTCGCCGAAACCGAATTTGATCATCAGTTCCACACAACGACAGTCCCATCGTCGCCATAGCTTTGCATGAGCAGATGCCGCAGTCTTTCTGTTGGGCCAGATGTCAGGACGCCGAAGCGCATAGTTGACCGCTCTGGGTGGGTCAGTTCCAAGGCCCTGAGTCACTGTTGGTTGTATGACAGGGTCAAGAAGAACAACGGTCGTCGGCAAGCGCGGGCACATGAGTGCAAGGTTGGTTCTGGGTAAATCGGCAGGATGGTTAGGTCTTCTGAGTTTGGTATGGTGGATCACGAGCGGGTTCGTACAGAATATTCCCACCAAAACTTTTGCTGATTCCCATGAGCGGTCGTGGCATCTGCTCTCAGAGGTGATTGATCATCAAGAGCAAGAATCAGTCCATGAGGAGCCTAGGAAAAGGATTCATCGGGGCTATAGGAGCTTTTGCGTGTCGAAAAGCTTACAATCATTGCTTATCTTCTCTTTGTTACACCGCTCTGGCCCATGCTTGACATATCTGCCATCCATATACTTCGAAAATAAAAGCCATTTTGTTTTAACTGGTAGTGGACTACATCCCAGAGTGGCTTGTAGAGTTCCTGTTTGCGTCGGTAATGTTAGGTATTATAATAACAGAGAGCCTTCCTTGGAATCTGACAGGGATATGCATACCTTAGGGAAGCCATAAGCATGAGCTGCGATTATAGTGATAGCATTGACTGGGATAGGGTCAGCTTGTTCTAGTGGTGTGTATTGCTTGACATGTAATGCCAAAGCTTCTTCCTGACTCCTAACAGTGCTTCCAGGATACTCTCGGATATGGCATGCCGGTGCTGTATGTTCCGTGACATGGAAGATATCTGTGGACATTGTCAATGCTCGTCCATCCGCCGTTGTCATCGAGGGGAAAGAAGACGTACTAGAGAACAGAACTGTTCTCACCAGCTACTTATGGTTGCCGTGGAAGTGGAATAATAGATCATATCGATGTAGGTGATGGCCTACATAGCGCTATATTTGGGACTAGAACGTGGTAGGGGATGCGGTTGAACCATCTACCGTCTGTATATATACAACGTAGTGATGCAATTTCCTATACCTGGCTGGCATCAAGGGAGAGTGTGGCCTGACTCGGAAATTCGTTCTGTTTTAGAGAATTTCAGGTTTTCCTCATTGTGCTTTACCACGGCGTAACGGGGAAATTCATCCGCAAATACGTATTTGCCATCGCGCAGTAAAGTATACAGGAACAAAAGAGGATACCTGGAGACTCTCGGGAGTACATCCTACTATCAGTATTTAGTACCGGCTTTCCTTCTCAGGTCAACCGGTTAACTGGGAGACATGTTGTGGCCTTTCCCATCCAGGACTAGCCTTTTCTCGACTCGCCAGTTGAGTCACGCTACCTATCGAGCCAGCGACTCGAAACCGACGTAGCACTAGACTAGTATCCACGAACTGCAACATCTCCAAAAGCCAACAAAGACTTTCACAGTCGTCATACCAAGTGTTAGACATTCCCTCAGCCCTGTAGGGAATGGAAGATTCATTTGGATCTGTTAGGCAATAATAATATAATTTTGTTATGACATGAGAGCAAAAAGGGCGAGATCAGCCTCTGCTGATATGATAGAGGTATCCAGGAAATAGTGAAGAAATTAATTAATTAGTGTAACATTCCAATGCCACTGTGGCACATGAGAAAACAAGCAGTGACCCTCAGTTAATCTCCGGCAATTCATTTTTAAGATTAATCACCACTGCCAAGCACAATTAATTCGCACACGATACGACAATACTCTTGTCTGGCCGAACGACTACACCCGTTTATTGGCTCTACGGCAGTGGCCTTCTGCAGGACCCCGCAAATTGCCGACATTTGGTTCCTATTAGCTTCCGTTCCTCAGGAACAGGATTGGTCTGAATGGGCGCTTCTCGACGCGTCGTTCATCACAAGCCGAAGTATATACCGGTGACGATGACCACACGAGGCATATCACTGCTCTTTCTAGATACCTTCGAATGGGTGATTGTCACCGTTACTTATTCAATGTACCCTTGATGGAGGTGAAGAAGACTAGACTAGGTCTGGCTGTGAGTCTAAGTAGCTTCACGCTGTGCGCCCGAAGAGAGTTCTAGTTGGGTAATAGAAAATTGTGATCTCCCGACAAAGTACGTCCGCCATGGATGAACGTACCAGGGTCTGTAGCAACGTTGTGCCGCTCGGCCAAGAATCATATCCGAGATATGTGGGTTACATATGGCCTGACGATTATGAAGGGCGATCGGCCCCCAGCTGACTCTGTCACAGTATACGCCAAACCCACTTTCCTCTGGCGATAGCTCAAGAGCATGGTCGTAGATGTACCCTCATCGAAGTGAATAATGAAACGAAGGCATGTAACTCGAGTGTGAATGCAACATGACATGTTGAGGTCGGCGCTTTGCGATAGACCAGACAGAGAGTGGGCGCTATGGGGATGGAAAGGTATAAGAAAGGCCTGTAGAACTCCCATTAAAGACAGCCAGACCCTCAATCAACATTCACCATCATCACATAAACACAACTATCATTCTCGTGTATAACCAGAACAACCATGCGTTTCAACTCGATTTTGAGCATGCTTCTTAGCTGCGGCCTTGCAGCAGCACACATGGAAATGAGCTGGCCGTATCCCCTGCGCAGTCGGTATGACCCTCAGAACAAAGGGAACGTCGACTACTCCATGACTAGCCCCCTTCTGAGCGACGGTGAGAACCTTTTCTCGTCTTGGCTTTGAGATCGTTTGCAAAGAATGGGATGTCTAACGGAGCCTAGGTTCGAACTTCCCTTGCAAAGGCTACCAGAAGAACACCCCCTGGCGTGCCACCACCGAATACACCGCTGGCAACACCTACAACATCACGTTGGCCGGTTCCGCCAGACACGGTGGAGGATCCTGCCAGCTGTCTCTTAGCTACGATGATGGCAAGACCTTCAAAGTCATCGATTCCATGGTGGGCGGATGCCCCCTGGAGTCCAAATATGACTTCCAAATGCCGAGCGATGTGGCCAACGGTCAGGCCCTGTTTGCCTGGTCCTGGTTCAACCTGGTGGGTAATCGGGAGATGTATATGAACTGCGCGGATGTTGTGATCAGCGGAGCCAGTGGCAGTACGGATACGTTCGAACGCAATTATCCCGACATGTTCGTGGCCAACGTTGGTAATGGTTGCTCCACTGTGGAAGGGAAGCACACGGTGTTTGCCAACCCTGGAAAGCAGGTTACCTATGCAGGTGGTGTTGATGCGTCGGCGCCCCCGTTCCCCAAATGCTCTTAAGAACGCAACCAACAGTTGTTACACTCTTTGTACATATGTGATACACATTGAATGTTGCCCCAGCCGGACCATACTGGATTATGGTCGCGCAGTGAGAGAGTTCTCAGTTGACCTGAAATGCATGACACGAGTCTATCTATTGGTCAGGGGTGAATACGGGTGTAAAAAAAAAAAAAAAAACGCCGGCATAGTAGATCAGCTAAGATGTATGTATTTCGGGTGTGGGGTAAATATTACTCATAACGCAGAATGATGTGAAATCTGACTGGACCCTGGCGCCGAGGATAATGCGCTTAAGGCCGGCTTGGGGCGGGAGGCGTGGAAACGGCGGGGAAAAGTCCGATAAGAAATCATTTATAGATAAATGGATCTCCGCTCCCCGCACATCTATTATATAAACCTTCTTATCATTGACCTTTCTCCCTTTACGCACGAATCAAGCCAAACACTTCACAGAGCTATAATGACAAAGTTGAATTCTACCCCTGAGGGGACAATAACAGTTGCGGACTATTTGTTCGCCCGACTCGGTCAACTAGGCATTCAATCAGTGTTCGGGGTTCCGGGAGACTACAACCTAACATTACTGGACTTTGTGGAGCCCTCCGGCTTACACTGGGTTGGGACCTGTAACGAGTTAAACGCCGCATACGCTGCAGACGGATATGCCAGAATCAATGGCCTCGGGGCCTTGGTCACCACCTTCGGTGTCGGTGAGCTTTCTGCGATCAACGGAATCGCAGGCGCGTACGCTGAAAAGGCTCCTGTTATTCATATTGTCGGCACGCCATCTCGTGCGCTGCAGGAAGCCCGCACCCTAGTTCACCATACCTTCGCCGATGGAGAATATGGCCGGTTTGCAGCAATGCACACGCCAGTCACGGTTGCCCAGGCGAACCTGATTGACCCTCGCACAGCGGCGGAACAAATCGATTGGGCTCTGCAGCAGGCTATGATCCATAGTCGGCCGGTCTACATTCAGGTCCCGGTTGATATGGTGGATGTTACGATCGCGGCGTCCAATCTAGAGACGAAGAAAGTCCAATTGCCTGCGACCCCGACCCCCAAACACGAGGCCTCGGTGTTGACTACCATATTAGAGCGCATCTATTCCGCTAAGCGGCCGATGATATTCGTGGACGGAGAAAGCCGAGCCTTGGATATCCTCTCTCAGGTGGATGAACTAGTCAAGACTACCCGTTGGCCAACGTGGACATCAACTTCAGGAAAAGGCTTGGTCAACGAGCAATTGGATAACGTTCACGGTTTCTATGCTGCGCATTATGGCAGCGAGCAAGCCAAGGCTTACTTTGATGCTGCAGATCTAGTGATTGTGCTGGGGCCGCATTATAGCAATACTAATACGCAAGGCTTCACCACAATCCCGAAACAAGAAATATCCATCTCCTTTTCGGGGACTACCGTTCAGATCGGAAAAGACGTTTACCGAGGCTTTTGCATTCAACAATTCGTCACTCAGTTGCTAGAGAGCCTAGACCGCACCCGGATTCCGAAAATCGACGGACCCCCAAAGCCCAAGGTAGATCTCAGCCATATCAAGAAGACCGACATCATTAAACAAGACGACTTCTATCGCTTTGTTAATCCTATTTTCAGCGAAGGGGATATCGTGGCCACGGAAACGGGTACTGCCTCTTACGGTGGGCGGAACTTCATGTTGCCCCCGAACACACGGATGTTTAGCTCGATCACCTGGCTGTCGATCGGTTACATGCTCCCGGCCTGTTTGGGGGCAGCTCTAGCGCAACAAGAGACGAACAACTATAAGCCTTCTAATGGTGTGGGCAATAGCAAGGGTCGATTGTTTTTGTTCATCGGAGATGGTAGTCTACAGATGACCGTACAAGAGATCAGCACTATTATTCGGGAGAAGCTGGATGTCACAATCTTTATCATAAATAACGCGGGATATACTATCGAGCGAGCGATTCATGGCCGGAAGCAGGCCTACAATGACATAGCCCCGTGGCGTCACCTGGAGGCCCTGAGCTTCTTCGGAGGCAGCGAGGAAGATGTTGCGAAGAATAATTTTAGCGCCAGAACTTACGGGGAATTGGAAGAAGTGCTCCGATCGGAACGGATCCAGCAGGGCAAGGGTCTTAGAATTGTGGAAGTTCATATGGATCGGGAAGACTGCCAGGGGCTCTTGAGGACCCTGATGGATGAGCAGGTCGTGCAAGATGCCAACCAATAATGCGTCGAGGTAGATTAAATGTACATAGCATAGTAAGTATGGAGTAAATTTGTGAACTTTGAAGATATTAAGGAGTGAAATGACATCATGACATTACTATGGTAGTTATATTAACTAGTTAACTAGTTATTGTATAACTTATATAATGTTAGTAAGCTCCACTGGAAAGCACTCCTTTATTAGGTAGAGAAGAATTTCTGGACTATACAGACGCCCTGTCTAGTATATCCACGCACACTGATATCAAAGTTTAGTATGACCACCACCTGCCTCAATGACTGCACGGCCCTTTTCAGGCTTAGATTACAGTATTTAGTGAGCGCAGAGTCAAGGTTTACAGGCGCTCATCTATAGTTAGCTGAAAATAAGGGGATATAGAACGAGCCATAGTGGTACATAGACATACAAAAAATTAATGTTGATGGGCATGGTCTACTAGACAATCACTATATACACGGAAGTCATATAATTTCTACGTAGTTCGGTGACCCACCATACTAACCAACGTTTACTTAACATACTAGAGTTACAAAGCACGTGCCTTCGGACCAATACCTCTCCCGCTTGCCGAGGAAACAACTCCGGCAGGTCCACAAAGATCCGCCGACATACGAAACATCATAGGCCGTTCAACCGTCACGATGTAGTAGCAGAACCTAAGTTCATGTTTACAAAGGTTCCACTACGTCATTGTCCAGGACTGATTTTTCTATCTGGTTGGGTTCGCCACTGCGATGGGGATTATTTATTGCGGGCCATTCAGCCCGCTCTTGTCCCACCAATTGTTGCAATTTGCACCTCGCCATTGGAATTATATCTGAGTCAATTATAGCGACCATGGCAAGCCCAACAAGAAAGATTGTCTGTTTCTCAGGTACGCCGGCCTCTCCCCTCCGCTGCGCAGTGGCGCCGCTAATTCTCTTTAGACTTCGACGGCACGATTTTTATGCAAGACACGGGCCATATCCTCTTCGATAACCTTGGGTGTGGCGAGAAGCGCCGTCAGGTGCTTGACCAGCAGATCAAATCCGGTGAGCGATCGTTCCGGGAGGTCTCCGAGGAGATGTGGGGTTCCTTGCAGGTTCCATTCGAGGATGGGTTCGAGGTGATGAAGGACGAACTGGAGATCGACCCGGGATTCAAGGAATTTCACCAATTCTGTATCGACCACGGGATCACGTTCAACGTGATCAGTGCGGGACTGAAACCAATCTTGCGTAAAGTGCTGGATACTTTCCTGGGCCAGGACGAAGTACGTTATCCGCCGGCTGTCATGCATCGGATATGAACGTCGTCGTTAATATTTTTGGCATTTTTGGCAGGCTTCGCAAATCGAGATTGTCGCAAATGACGCGCAAATTAACCCCGATGGATCGCAATGGAAGCCAATCTGGCGGCACGAAACTGAGCTCGGTCACGACAAGGCCCTCTCCGTGAAGGAAGGTCGTGTCCAAGCCGAAGAGCTGAGCGACGAGAACGAGATCCCCCTCATTGTTTTTATCGGCGACGGCGTATCCGATCTGGCAGCAGCCCGGGAAGCCGACGTTCTTTTCGCCCGGAAGGGACTCCGATTGGAAGAATACTGCATCGAACACCAGATCCCCTTCATCAGCTTCGAAACATTTACTGACGTGAAGAAAGAGGTGGAGAAAATCATGAAGGAGGACCAAGAGAAGACTGGAGGCGTGGGTAAACCGGCTCGGTTTAACCCCCGCGCTAACATGTGGAGACGCGTTTCCAGCAAACAAGCTGTATGTTGGTGGTGACTCTTGTCTTTGGAGTATTTACTGACGGTTTTAAAATCTCAGGTTCCGAAGTTTGTCGCCGCGACGCCGTCCAAGGAAGAGAAGATGTTCCTTTGGCCGGAGAACTTTTCCCAGTACCAACCTAAGCCTGTTCCCGAAAACATGGCTTCTTGAAGGACTCCATTTTAATATTTAGACATGCATAGTTTGGCGTGCTAGGTATCACCATTGACATAAAGAATTAGGGTGGCTATGACCCATACATTTCCGTTGAAATCTACTGTATATAGAAAGGATATATATCTCACGATGTCAAGATCTAGAAGTCTTCCCAATACAATATCAAAATGAACAAGCATTGCTAAGTTAACCCTAAAAGCCTCAGCCCCAATGATTGCGCCCAGGCCAATGCAAAATATTCCTAATCTAGACACAGCCCCTCCAGCCCCACTAAGCCATAAGTTCAGCCATTCAGAAGGAGGAAACGCGAGGCGTGGATTTGTTCTGGACCAATGGCAATACAGAGCTGGCCATCACGAGTTGGATACCCAATGCGGTAACCCTTTAGCTACAGCTTGAATACTACTTACTATCAAGGAAGATATATAAACCGATTCGGATAGTTGTCCTTACCCCCTGTTTTCATCTCTTTCGAATGGTACCTCTTGTCACACCTGAATACCATTCGGTCTAAACTTAATTATGCTGCTTCGTGGAAAAGCTGTGAAAGGTGTTGCAGCCGGGATCGGCCTCGCGTCCGAAAGTATCTTAGCCTACAAGGCGAACAGACGCGAGAAGGAGAAGAAGACCCAAAGTCCCGAAGAAATTGGGATAGCCAGCACCGGGTCACTGACAACAGAGGAGAAAGACCATGTCCATCATGAGAGGATAGTCGAAGAGCAACACGAAGAGGAGTGGGAACTCGACGAAGCCCAGGAGGAGCTGACCCGTACCGCTAGAACGGGTCATAACGGAACAGACCAGAGCCTTGAGCAGCTCGCTGAATCATTTCTCCAAAAGTATCCACCGCCATACACACTATACCCACCAACTGCTCAGCCGAGCCTCCCGTATCCGGTGGTGCTTCCACAGCGACGGCCCAGGTCTCGCAAGAGAGGCTTCATCAGGGCGTACGCGCCCGTGCTGGATGACTTCGGCTTCGATCAGGCCATGTTTCTGGATTTCTTAGAGACGTCCAATCGGGCCTGTCAGGCGACGCCGTGGTTGCACGCGATCAATCTAGCAGGAATCGGCGCGAGTTTCATGCCCTCCGCGATTGGGATTGTGGTCGGAATTGCCATTCAGCTGACGACCGATGTCGCGGTCGCAATGGATGCAAGGAGAAAGTATGTTCTCCATCTGGTATCTCAAAAATGCATAAGTGTGTTGCTAACAAGTGCTAGAACAAATCTATACTTTGACAAGGTCAACGAAGAGCTCTTCCGCCCTCGGGGCCTTTATTGTCTGCTCATGACATGGAAACCGGAGTCCTCGTCGACGATTGCCAGCTTCGATCTCAACTCAACAGTTGCCACATCCATTGAGCATGGCGGACCGGCGCCATTCAATAAGATGAAGCACCTGTTCAAGTCCTCCCACGGCAATACTTATGGCGATATGCCTTTCCCTGAAACGGCACCTCTCATTTTCCCAGATCTTGATCACTTGGCCGCACAGGGTGACGAAGGTGCAACCAAAATCAAGAGTGCCAACTCATCGCGTAGAGAATTCGTGGCCGACTATTTTGACCGGAGGTCACAGGCTCAGTTTGTCAGTTCTCCCCTTCTAGTACTGACTAACATGCACTGACAATGCTGCTGCTAGACGATGGAACATCCGGACAGCGCCCTCAACAAAGCACCAAAGCCCGAATTCACTTCCCGTTACGCCGATCCTAGTCACCCTGCTAGTAGCGGATCGGCTCTCGGGCTGATCACCGGGGGACATCTTACTGGTGAGCAGCTTAAGGAGCTTCGAGGTGGTATGCGGGGGTGCGATATATCGGGCCAAGGCCAAGGATACGAGACTCGAAGCCCACGAGGCCGTCCTATTGGGCCATTGGGAGCCCTGGTAGCCGGTATACGCTCTGCTAGATTCGGACAATCATCGATGGAGCAGCCAAGAAGCGCGAATGATGATGAATATCAGGGCGGAGGCCCGGGAAGACCTAACGGTCGCCTGAGTTCTCGCAATCCTCGAGAGTGGCTGCAGACCCGAGGCCCAATCGGCGGCATACAGAAGTTCCTGAAGAGTGTAAGCCTCCGAACACACAAGACTGGCGGTGCCACTTGCTGACGCGGAATATAGAACGTTCTTTACATGATGATTGTCAACCTACCGACAGAAGAAGAGATGGCGCAGGCCCGCGCGGTGCTACGATTATGAATATGGAACATGATAAACCTATTGGTCTAAATGGAACGTCCTGAACGATTTGGCCCCAGGACGGGGCAGTGCCAACGTGGTAAGCGCGCTAAAGGATTGGTTTGGTCGTGTATGAAAACTGGTCTGACCAATTTGGCCCCCACGTGATAGAAGAAGATATAAATTGAGTAATATGCCCCTCCACCATGAGCCTCATTCATACTTGGCCCAACATATCCAATCCACAATCAATCTCCCAAAAATGGTCTTCAAAGTCCTCCTCTACGCAACCCGCAAAAGCGGCATGACTCCGGCCGAATTCAAAGCTCACTATGAAAACGTCCATATGCCCCTCGTCAAAGAGGCCGGAGGTGCCGACTTCCCTCTCTCCCATCGGCGCCTCTATCTCTCCCGCCCAACGCCTGGCGAAGACAATGGTTTCCCCCCTGCGGTGCTCATCGGCTCCCCAGACGATTTCTCCTTTGACGCTATTGCGGAATTGACCTTCCCGGATGAGGCAGCGTTCAAGGTGTTTTTTACCCGGAGACACGAGCCGGGGACGAAGGAGTTGCTAGATGCCGACGAGGAGAAATTCTTGGATCGGTCAAAGCTTAGGGCTGTTGTGCTGGGAGATGTTCAAGAGACTACCAAGTGATTCTTCAATTGTTTTGGACCATGAAGTTTTTGAATGAATTTGGTATGATTACTAGATTGATCTTGAATGCATCCATAATCAAAGCAATCCGTATGCCGTTAATATACGCAGTGCCCTAAGTGAGCCGTATACCTCGTAAGATTATCACGTAGGAACCCGTTGACAGCTACCGCAATATGAATAGAGAATAAAAATAGTTCTATGAGTCTAAAATGCTAGCGCAACGCTCCATCTTGGCACAATTATATTTTAAACCCACGTCCAGTTAAAATTGCGAGCGACACGCCGCAACAAGTTCCTCGGATTTAGCCCCTGTCGGTCATCATTTCCCAGTGCCTCCACCCGCTGTAACCTCACTTCCAGAGTACCTCGACATTATTGCCATGACGCATCCTCACACTGTTTACACCCGGTCAAGGTGCCGGCCAAGTCCCCAATGGATCTAACACAGGCCACGATATCGTTCCTCTTCCTCTAAGCTGCCTAGTTCCGCATCCACAACTTCCAGCCAAACGACGACCTCGACCTCGACAACATCAAGCCGCACAAACTACGTCGAGCCATAGTTCTGAAGATGGCTCCTCACATTCTCATTCAAAAACAATTTTGACAGGAGTTGGTGTTGGGTTGGGTGTCGGGGTCGTCATATTGGGATTGCTGGTAGGGTTCCTGCTAATGCGACAGCGCAAGGCGAGAAACGGCGTGCCTCCGTACAATGCTCCTATGCCGATGCAGCTTCAGCCCCCGGCCTCATTTGCACAGAGTCAGAAGTTTTTTGCACCACAGGAGCTGGGCTCACAGGATCCGCGGGTATTTGCAGAGTTGCAAGGCAGACCTGATCCTTGATAGATTTATAAAGGTAGACCTAGGTGTCCACGCTCAGTACTATGAAATAAGAATCTCAGTACTGTTAATTAACAACAACAACAACAACAACAACAACAACAACAACAACAAAAAATACACGTAGGTTTCCAGTGTAGCAGTATCCTACGAAAGAAGAACAGGCTGCTAGTCCATAAACCTGGTGCCTTTCATACATTGTTCATCCTTGATGGCCCTGGTAGTTCGAAGACAAAATTCCCCAGCAGCTCCTTCGGGTGGGCTTGAAGGAGCACCATGCGTGTTGGCCATTGGCGCGGACGGCAATGGTTCTTCAACCTCTGGCTTCTTCCGTGACTTACGGCACTCAAAAAAAGATGAATGCAGCAAACACGACAATAGCAGGAACACTAGCCCTTATGCCTACCCCGAGCCCAATCTTTTCGCGTGGTTTGAGTCCCGATACGGACGATGGAGTATGAGAGGTTGGAGGCGGGATGTTCCATGCGGTGCCCCCTGCGCTGCTCAATGCGATGGGTAGTTGGTAATTGCTCATCTGTAGAGATAGCTGTAAACATAGATGTCGACGTAGCTGCGGAAGAAGTCGGGGTAGGCTTAGTCTGTGCTTTGCCGGTGATATTAGAATAATTCGATGTAACGCTGTCCGGAGGATTGGCATTAATCCAAAGAAGAAAACTGGTGAGGCATTCAGATTAAAGCCATATGTCAGGTAAATTTTGTTATCCCACTGTTTTCTACCTGGGCTACAAAGAGTCTATGTTAGATTCTGTAGTGATATGTTTTAGAGAGGAGGGATCGATGTCGCCCTGAATATAACCCCCACTCTCGATAGTAAGATTTTGCTGCCACATCTACACCTTGAAGTGACGCAGGGTTGTCACCCAGGATTTTTCTTGTTGTTCCCCCCTGTACCCAGACAGGATTTGCAGCTGAGTTGGAGGCCGGTGGGCTGATGAATCTGTTCGTCGACCGTCGCAGTCCCTGTGTTACGGCTAATCCTAGCTCAGAGATGAGCTGGATAGGGCCGCAGGCAAACAATATTGGATCAATCCAGTGTTGTCAACGCATTGCATAGCTCGCATATGTTGGTCAGTATTGATGATCCGGCTATTCAGGATGCCACTCGGTGACTTGGTTTCCATATATTTTATTTCTTTCGGCGATGTAAGGGCCCGTCTTACTGCCGCCATTCCTGGGAATGCCGGTTGTGTCGTTGATATTGTTCTCTTTTTCGATTGTGACCGATGGCAATTCAGGCAAGTAAGGACCACCAGTAATGCAATGGCGGGCACGCCAACACTAAGACCTATCCCGAATGCTATCTTGGCGAGTCTTCAAGGGTAGCGCTGTACGTTTGTACAGTCCAGGTGAAATTTGTCACCCCCATGTCTTGTTCCTGGGCTTCAGAGTTCAGTTTTGATGTCAGTTTTGTGTTTTTGATTTGGTCCGAAGGGGAGGAAACGGGACATACAGTAATTATCCCCACACTTCTTTCAGTTTCCTTATGGGGTGTGTGCTATCATATGGAGATATTGAAAGCAGTTGGGGTTGTCACCCATGAGACCACCTGCTGCTCCCCCAGCTCCCAGACGGGGTTCTCAACCGAGTTGGCTGCAAGGGGATTTACAAGTCTGTTGAGACTTTTCCCATCTCCCTGTGCCAACACCAGTAGTGGGCCACACAGTAGTGCGGACAATTATCTGCACAGAAGCGAATGCAAAGATTTGCCACGGCTCATGGTAGCATGAGCGGAATGAGCGCTGCTGTAAGAGAGAGGAATGCCTACGGTATTGTATGGCCTGGAGGACAGCTCCAAGCCCCGCTTAAGACTTGTCTGAGAGAGCCTGCCACTGCTAGCACTTAGGGTGTAGTTGCATTAGTGGCTCCCTAAGTGAGGTTTTATTTTGACCCGGCCAACGGTCGTACGTTAAAAAGATCACGGCGCTTAGAGCTTGCTGGCGAGACGGCTAGCCTCGAAATTGTTGGCTTTTCTTTTTTTTTTAGCCTAACTCATCACAGTCATTAGGCGATGATCCCGTGTGAGGTAATTAATTGATTAGTTGTCGTAGTAAAAGTCTGTTGGATATAATCTTGGTTGTTCCGGGTCGAGGCGGTTCTGTCTCCCAAGTCTAAATAACACCCACGGTTCACATACCACTAAATGCCCACCCTTTTAAATATAAATAATCTATACATTACCTTAATTAGAAAGTAATGTCGTATAATCCGGTAGCGTTAATAACCTGTAGCCGCCCTTCTGGTAACTCAAGCTGGGCAGGGTCTATTTCACGAGCGACTGCATCATTGTCCGTCACTGCATAGACCGTCAACTTTCCAGTCAGCAGACGGCGAACATTATACATCGTACTGTAAACCGAGCCGATAGGTGTTGCTTCCTCTACCCAACCATCTTCGCTGTGAATATCCGATCCCCTGGACTTTGGGCCAGCCGGACGCCACATCCCTATCATTGACGGGAAGGGGGCGATGCACTTTAGCCAGCCATTTTGACAATACCGACTGATTGCCACGTCGTATTGTGCACCTACACCCTCCGGTGTCAGGGACAGGCTTGAGAGAATTTCCTGTGCCCCCAGATACGTCACTGCATATCCAAGAGCACATACTCCTTCTTCAGCCCTACATACCAAGCGCGTATTATTGGCAGCCCCCAGAGGTGGATCCCGCCAATAGGATGGTAGCTGAGGAAGAGGTACGACCGTAGCATCGCCTGTCGAAACGTGAACCGGCCCTGGTCTACACCTGATCCCACAGTGACCGATCCAAAGAAGGTCCCAATCATTACCATATGGTGATTGTGCCGCTATATTCCCAATCTGAAGACTCTGCAGACTCTGGGAAGCAGAAGCAAACCCTTGGAGTTGCTTTTTAAGGTTGACGTCCCAATCCGCGTCGTCTTCCAAGATGAATGCGGTAGCGACCCTATCTCTCACGATTCTATCGTGATTCAAGGGTGGTTAGCGGTGCTAAAAACCAGGGTATAGATCCATGGTTCATACCTTTGGATCACATTCATATGTGCCCGCCATGTCCCGAACTCACTAGGTAGGTAGTTTGGGTCCCAATTCTTAGGAGACCATGGCAGGAATGGGTTAGCAGGGTATCTCTTTTATTGATGGCAGAACGTATGAGCCAACACACTACTGGATGAGCTTTGACGTCAATATTGTCAGGGTTTACCCCATCTATAGGCTCTGGGCGAAAGCCTACGACCGATGAAGCTAGGGTGATATAATCGCGTTTGTCCGGCCTGCTAGGCAAATTGACGACGAAGACCCTCTCGAACTAGTGTACTGTTATCGGCAAGCTGTAAACCGTAGTTCTTCGAGTGAAGGATCTTACTCCAAGAGTCTCATTGTGTACTGCATCCACACGATTATGAATAGGTGTCGATGAACGCGGACCTCTTGCTGCATACTGCGGATTTGGAAGCGACCAGACGAGAAGGTAGATTATCACAGTTAAAGCAATAATCTGTATGAAGGGCCGGTTTAGCGACTGGGTCAACCTAAAGTAATTAATCATGTTTTAATAAAATTTTGGGGGAGGGGGGAGGGGAGCTCAGCACATTTTAGAGAGTGATGGGTGACTGGTTCGGAGCGCTCTTAAGAACGCACAATTGACAAGGGTAGTGATAGCGCCGTGATGCTAGGGCTGGGCTATGTTGTATTAAAGAGTGACACTTATGTAATTTTTTTATATATCATTATACACAAAGTATGACCGTACTTCAACCCTGTTTCAACTCCTCTTTCACTACGTATTAAACTAATAATGGGCTGTTATCTTGGGGGCGGCTAAATATGGCCTTAATTATGATTACTATGGAAAGGCCGAGGTGGCCTCAATCGTCAATTGGCCCATTGAGCTCATTAATGGTTTCGTTATATGTCAGGGTAGATGGATAGTTTCTTTGTCGTATAAGCCGCTCATTGGAGTGGCAATAACAAGTGGTTTGGTGGTATTTTCCATCACAGGCAACGAACTAGTAGTAACTGATCTACATTAGATATAGCCACTGAAACTAACTGATTTAGTAGGACCAACCACCGTACAAGAAGGAATCTAAGTGACAGGGGATCTTCCGGTCCTCGCGGTTAGCGGGGAAGTTACGACACCCTATAATATGTCATTCTATTAAGGGGAGATTCGTAGAACCCCTCCGCGTCTCTAGAGAGAACTTGAGTAATATTCAGCCATGATCGTGCTACCCCCAATAATCGGTCTGTAGGGCAGCTGCAAGAGCACCTTGTACTTGGACCAGGCAGGTTCCCCGTGCTTCATACAATCAATGAATCCCAATATCTGATATGAATCTATACGAGACAACGTGATCCTAGTGGCTTGGCCGGATCACCGACTCCAACCACTGAAGGCTTTACCTATGAGATAGAAGATAAGCAAGCGGTTAAGATAGTTGATACAGTCGTCCATAGAATTGAGTATCTATCGAAATGACATCCGATCCTCAGTAGGCTACGTACGTGTAGCTGATACAGCCTCTTTCTGCCCATCTTTCCCCTGAGATCACAACAATATCTTTCTAACCAATGCATTGGCACGTCCTTACATTCAGGAAACCGCGTATGGGCTACTTTCATTATGGCAGCTACCGGAGGCTCTGAGAATATCATACATAGTTGGCTTGGAGATCCCAGCGCCTTCAGCTGTATCTTACTGTGCATGTCCATACAGGAGTTACTGTTTCCTCAGCTTCCTGCATTGAGCCTTTCACTCTTGCTCACTAAAGAGTAAGGTAATTTAGGTAGGGATAGATCCCGACATGGCATATTCTACCTAAGATCTCTTAACCTCATACGCAGCTAAATAGCCCCCATTGAGGATGGAATGAATTCAGCCGTCAAACGGTATACTGCATAGGCTCACCTCAGCCAGTCAGACAAGCGCCACAAACACTAGGCATCCTATGGCTCTTCGCCCGTTTCAACGTTCGTGTGCATCTAGACTTTGAAAATGCTCTGTAATACGCTTTACATGGCAAAGGTAGACGGTTAGTCCGGACTCAGAGGCTGCATAGGCGTGCCTCGTATCAGCCCCAGCCTCGCCGTGATCGATAGGGCTAATAAAAGAAACAATTCTCCATGTCGCCGGGTACTTAATCGGTCGCATAGACACGATTCCACAGTTCCTTCGGTATTTCAAGTACAGCTTATGAAGACACCGATGGATCCGAAGTCGACTCAAAATGCTTCTGCCGTGGAATCTACCGCCCGGTTGCTTTCCTTGGAGCCTTGTTCTAGGCAAAGCAAATTGCAAAAGCGGAATGTGGAATGCACTACTTCTGGACTCATGGTTTCCTAAAACGTTAGGGATAATTTTCGGTCTTGCATGTTTTACCGCTATCATTGTTATAGTGTGTCACTATGGCAGTAAGCCATCACCGGATCTCGCCCTTGGTATCACACTGAACGCGATCATTTCAATGCTCGCAACAGCATCGAAGTATTGGTTAATAAAAAGGGGGTATTATTTCAGACGGAGAAACGTCCGCTGCAGGAATTGCAAACCATCGATGATGCTAGCCGCGGGCCATGGGGATCTATCACCATTGTGGCGCAGTCTACCAAGTGCTCTGTTTTGTGGCTTGGGGCAGTCGTCGCAGTGCTTGCGCTAGGCTTCGACCCCTTTGTGCAACAGGTCATACAATACTGGACTCGAAATTACAAACTTTAGAAAGGCACCGCGATTGCTAAACAGGCACTGTACGTGAAACCTGAGTGGTACGAAAGAGACTTTTCTCTGGCATCGAATGAAAGCTCTTTATATACTAGTGACTCTCAACATGTAATGCCAGCTAAGAAGCATAATTCCCTATCAATCTCTAAGAATGCGACCAACGGGCGCCTGGTACACCTTCCTAGCGTATAATATATACTGAAGCGTGGCTAAAAGACTGACTCCTCCCACCATCAAAATCGACCAGTTCATAGTTTTGGGGTCCACTTCTTTCGTGGTGGGGAAAAAGGTAAAAGTGACCTGGAAAGTGAGGAAAAGAAGAGATATCAAGTTGACAGCCAGGCCATATGGACCTAGAGAGAAGCGGCTAGAAGATAGCGTTTTGGACTTCCAGCGCGCCATGGAGAAGCAACCAATGACAATGATATATGTCATCAGCATAGACGCGATCGCTAATGAGGCAATAGCGTTGAAAGCTGCTGTGGAGCCAATGTTGATCAGGCTTAACAGCATAGCCACGAGCGTTGTAGATAGTATAGACCAGATAGGGGTTTTCGACTGGGGGTGTATAAAGGCAAAGGTGCGCGAGAAAGGAAGTCCTCTATCTCGGGCGAACGCGAAAATCTGACGGGAGGCGGTTGCAAGAATACCTAAAGCGCTGCAGACTTCCATGATTAAAATGATGCAGGCTAGACCAACAGCTGCACCAGGTGAACCGGTCGCATTCTGGAAAGCCATGATGAACGGAAATCCACTGGGAGCGTTCAGTACGGAGTCTATGTCGCCCATCGTGTAAAGGAAGGTAATGAGCATGACGAATCCAAGCGAGCCATTGACAAGGGCAGTCGAAATCATACACCATGGGACAATTCTGGAAGCATCCTGGACCTCTTCCGCTAGAAGACGGAGGGAATCAGTTGATTGTTGTCGAACGAGGCGGAGTGTCAGTACCTACCCATATGTGTCGCCGCATCAGGCCCGATGAAAGAGAATATTGGGGTCAATTGACCGACCAAGCAAGCCAAGCCAATGCTTGACCATCCTCCCGTATTAGTGAAAGTGAGGAACACCTCATCACTGCTTGCTCGGTCGGCCGTGACCCACAAAGTGATCAAAATCGCGAAGAACCCGAAAATATGGATGAAAAGCAACAGACGCTCCAGGCTGGCGAGCCAATGAGTACGCCACCCATTGGGTATGGTTGCTAGCATGGCGATTGCAATAGTGAGGAGCGTACCGTGCCATCGTTCAGATGCATATGTATAGTCTGCGGCCGGGTCGGAGTATACGGTGACCAACAAGCCCTGAATTAAAGTACCGGTGAGGAAACATACACTCGCGAATGCAGCCTGCCAGCCTAGAACTGATAGCCATCCTTGTGTGATCAAACAATCTCTAACATCAGCATTTGTCTGTTCACAGAAGGCTTACAGTCATACCGGTAAGATAGCTTAGAAACCGCTGGCAGGAAGGAGGAGCGTATTCGCTGACCCAGTGGTATTGACCTCCTGCTGTAGGAGCCCTGGAGGCGATCTCGGCCAACGAGGCGACAGATGCGAAAAAGCCAATGAAGGTGCCGATATAAATATACACCATCCCGGCTCGCCCTCCATTGATGAGGCCGTAATTACTTGTGAGCAGAATCGACTCCCAGGTCGCCATCAATGTACAGTTGAGCCCAAGAATAGATATGAATCGGAAATTTCTCTTTAGACGGAGAATTAGCCCATGTATTCTGCTTATCACTGGATCTAGGTCGGTCGAGGAACCGAAATGGCCTTTTATAATCCATACGAACCTTAAGCTGCTGGTTCTTACCCAAACGCTGCATATCTCGAACATCGTGTGCAGTGTTCGCCATTGACAGCATTTCTATTTGGTAAGGATCGATGACGGAGACTGTCGGCATGACTTTAGAGCCACATTCTCCCGAGGCATCCTCTCTGAACAGGTTGGATGAAGTACAGAGCATTATATAAAATTCATATAGCCCAAGCAGGTGGTGATTGCGAGGATCTGGCGGGGAAGGGGGAAGCGAGGCATTATTTCAACGTGGTTGAAATGCAAGGGGTCGGGAGATAGAGCTCAGCCTAGTCAGTGATTATTACTAAATTCTAATTCTTGCAGCTCATGCCTGGATATATTAAACCAGGGCCGCCTCGTATTGCCCTGCATGAATATATTGCGTTGCACTTTTAGTACGGCGACAGAACATCGTCCGAGTCAGTCCGAGCCGAGATAGGCTGACCAAGCAAACTCTCCCTAGACCCACAGTTCGATGGGCCGGCCATCAAATCAACTTCTGTCGATCAGATACTAGTAATGCATAAACGCTTTCACAAAGTACCAGGCCTACTAAACAAGTCTACGCTTTCTGACTGGCTAGGGGATTGTCCTCCGATTAATAAGGGTATTGGGAGGCCCTCGTTAAGTTATCAATGGAAGATGCTGCGCCAGATTGGGCCCACCCCGAATAGAATGGTGGGAAAGTCTGTGACAATAAATCACAATTATCAGATACCCATAGCGGTGATCCCTCTGCCTCAATCAGACCATAGGAGAAGTTGCAAGTGAATAGGTCATATATCCTAAAACCCTCCGCAGTATAATCATACCGTAACGCCTACTTGTCATGTATAGGTACAGGTTGGCTTTGGCTCTGCTTGGGTTACCTAAGGTGACGGAAAGATCGCATGTACGATTGCCATTTACTACTCTCAGCATGGTAGCGCGCAGCCTTAGAGTGAATGCCCGGAATAGCGGCAGTGTCAAAGTGAATCAAAAAGGCAGGGGTTGAGATCTGGATTTTAATAGACGAGAGCCAAAGCACGCCCTATTGGATACCAAGATTGCTTCTGGTAGCTCTTTGTTAGCATTTTCCCAAGGAGTATACCTAATAGGATGCTTATTGATATGTGAATGCAGGTATTCACTCTTTCAGCTGTAGAAGTATAAGAACAGCTTCAAATAGAAAGATAGACTAGCAACGAAAGGGTATATAAGAAGCTACTGACTCCTATGAAATTGCAGTGTCTCGTTCCCATTCCTCATGTTCAAGTCCACAGTTACAGACCAGATTCAATCCCTAACATAATTGTCTTCTACTTTGCCCCGAGCCAAAATGATGTTCCTAGCCTCGTTGGTTTTCTCCATCCTGGCTTTGCCCACCACTGCTGTCTCCCAGCCCCTCGAGGAGCGCGGTTCCCCCGCTGGTCTTGGGTCCATCACTGTACTCAACAATATGGGCTATACTGTCTTTATGTGGTCCGTGGATGATCAACGAGCCCCGATGAAGACTATTCCTCCAGGCGGCGAATACCGGGAGACATATCGTCTCCACCCCAAAGGAGGCGGTATCTCCATCAAGCTGTCTACGTCCCCTGATATCACTAACATCGTCCAGTTCGAATACACCCAAGCTGGCGAAAAGATCTTTTGGGATGTATCTTGCGTAAACACCAAACCTGGCTCACCGTTTTATGCCAAGGGAGTCTCTCTTCAGACCTCGTCGAGCGACTGCCCCCACGCTTTTACCTGCGCGGCTGGTGATTCCAAATGCCCACATGTTTACCACAAATGGAATGACGACCATGCAAGCCATGGCTGTCCTATCCATACCTCGTTTCGATTCCAGCTTGGTCTGTAGATTGAGCTAACGTTCTCGGCTTGGCGGATGGGAAAAGGGTCCTGAGTACAATTCAGTCTATAAAGATACCAATTCCGGGACTATCTAGCCCTTTGTCGGTGGGTACTACCAATACTTGTTAGACTTTAAAGCGATGTATGGAAATACTAGGATGTTAGTTGATCTACACCTGGTTACTAACCTTTTGTCATCGAATATTGTTCAAGCCAGTTGTACTCAATGAATTACTCATGATTTTTGCTTGATGAAGCTTTCCAGTACACCTCTACTCCGGAAATAGCTGCATGCTGGTCACCGATAATCAAAGTCTTGAGTCTAACATATCTGCCAAGCGGGTATTGAACTAGAACATACGTCCCCTATAGAAGATACTCAGAGGTAGAAACTTGCTGTTCTCTTTCACTAACCTTTCCATATGACCCGCCATAATCCAACATTGCTTGCTGTAAATTTAATGTATCGCTTCATGCACGATTGTATTTTCTGGATAGAAGTAATTCAAAATTGAGCAAGTTTGCTAGCCATCACTACGAGCAAATAGGTCTGAGGAGTTTAAGTGTACAAACACTGGAAAGTTTCCTATCAGGGGCATGTCAATATACACCTACTACATAGGGCAATGCAATTTACCGTATCATGAGGTCCTCAGGAGCCGATAGCCATGCATCGCAGCTAACACGGTGTACAAATCAGAATTCGCAAAGATGGATACTAGTTAGGAAACCGTCAATAGACCATGTCATATGAACCGACCATGGCATTTTCGGTAGTCAGGAATGTTAAACAGGTCCAAAAGCGCATAAATTGTAGTGTAGGGCAACACTTCGATAGCTCGTCTTAGGAAAGGTGGCTTACAACTTAGGCAGAATGAGGAACTCTAGGATCTAATACCGTAGGAGAGTGCGAACAGTAATGATAGTCGCATACTTCATACCTACATTTTAGACTGACAGATCTTGATATACAGTAGATACTGATCAAATACCGCGCAGTGTGTCTTGTAGAGAAGTATCACTTAGACACATTTAGAGGGATTAGAACGTGGGGTAAGATAGCTATCACAAACCTTAGGGCAATCTGAAAGAGAACCGCTTGGCTGGTCCTGCGACCCACGGCCTATCAAGGAATGGCATGGTGACAACGCGAATCGAGTAGTAATTTGTATAAAGAAGTTAGAGTAGTTAGAGGAGTAGGAGTAGAAGTAGATTTAAAAACTTTTCAAGAGGGTAGCAGGATAATGACTCTCAAGTATTACTACGTCTATTATTACTTCATGATAGCCGCTATAGTTACGAATAAATCAATATTCATATGTCAGATAGTTTCATTAAGGACGAAGTTACTAAGTAATCTACCCCGCCACTTGATCCATTCCACTTTATCTTCGGTATATCAATTTCGTTCGTGCTGATTCATGAATAGTGATGAACAACAAAAGCAATATCGAAATATACACCACAGCTAGTAAGTAAGCCTCCAGTATGGCCCGCCTCGTCTAGTTGCCGGTTGCCATCAACCTGACTATCCTAGTCGTCGTTCGACTTAAGAAAGGCGATTGTAGACATAATAATCGTAGAGAGAATCTGTAGCACTCTTGTTAGTCAATACAATATTTTGAACGATTAGTAGGATAACTATCATGAACATATAGACTAATTCGGTCAGGAGTACCGGGGCTGCTTGTGTAATGTCCATAGTGATGATGTGGACAAGCAATGGGTGGAGTTAATGTTGTTGATGATATTTGGTTAACGAGAGTACACTTTCGATGATAACAAAGATTGTTTTAACGATAGTATATTGTTAATGGATGAAGCAAATTTGGTGATTGGTGAAAAGAAAGACATTGTATGCTGATTAGAGTAGTAAGTTGGGAGGAGGTAGTAGTTGGTAGGAAGTAGAAGTAGGAGTAGTAGTTGTGGGAGTGAAGGATTCCCAAGAGTTTACTCAAGTCCAACTTCACAATGAGCTATTAGGGAATTACATATCTGTAAGTTAATACTTATTGAGTATCTTAGACTCCCGTGCAGGTCCACAATAATCATTTCCCGCCTGGGAACTGGCACGGAATCCATCATGGCTTCCGAGGCACTCCTTCCGCACTGTACAGTGGAGCAGACTTGGGCTATTGATTTGTGACGATAATCAAGGCCAAGAGTAGGTCAATGGGCACATATTGCGACTTTGCACCGAGATAGCTAGATTGAGGTTTTTCGCTAATAAAGTGGACGCGCCTGGCCTACGACAGTTCGTCTCATTGCGAAAATGATTATGGATCAATGGTAATGTTTCAATTTTACAGTAGTCTTGTAGCAAACGTCTGCAGTAGTTGTTCCTTTTTTTCTTCTTCTTCTTCTTCTTCTTCTTCTTCTTCTTCTTCTTCTTCCTCCTCCTCCTCTCCTTAACAATCTTCGCTCTTGAATGACTTTTGTCGTCCTTGACCCCAAGTATTATATTATAGGGTTGCAGATCTAGATAGAGGTCAGTATACATCATATTGCCCTTTTGATTGGACGTAACCAAGAGCAGTCAGTCTCATCCGTATGGATGAGATGAGCCTCCGAATGAAGAAAGTCCAATGCGGCAAAAACGTCTCGGAGGGTAGTCTTCAACAGCACTTTATTCAGGACTCGACCGGGGAAAGGTTTCCGGAGTTGACGAAGGTTCATCCCCAAGTAGCGGATGCACCATGCATACATGAGTGCCATGAGGGCCACTAACTTGAAAGTGATCGAGCAACTTTCGGATACAGGCCTGGCCGGCATGATCAGACTGACGTCGACTTAGATGGCCATACAATCGCCAACGGGCGAATTTGGGGCGAAGCATTTTAAGACTTTGCATCCTGTCTCCCTGGCGGGTTATCAGAATAGATTCTCCTTTTGGGATCAAACTGCTCGTACCGTAAGTCGCGCCCCACCATACGGTAGAGCTTGTTACATAGCCCAGCTTGCCTATAATTTGATAGCGGTCATTGAAAACATCGCTTAATTTCACGGGGTAGAATAATATTGGGTCGTAGTTAGGAAGAGACTCCTCTACGATCTTGGATTCGTCAACGGTGTCATATCCATTGGTCGGAAAATTGCACCGCGCCGACGCAGGGCTATGAGCTACACTGCTCTTGGGGAGGATTGCTGAAGGGGTCAAATAACGATTCCTAAATTGACACCAAAATATTAGAGATTGGCTGGGTGCGACATTAGGTCACTAAACGTTGGCACAAGGGAAGAAAAAGCCCTCTATCGAAGCTTGCCATCACGCCGTGCTGAACACGGGGACAAAAGTTAAGGGAAAGGCTGAAGGAAGGGATAATATGGCATGGCGCTCAGGCCAACTGACGGCCCACTCTTGAAAGTCGTATACTATTCTCACTCCTTTAGAGATGTTTATGATCAGGTCATTTGACCCAAATATGTTGATGGTAATCTTGCATAAATAATCTTCTGACCTCAGCCAGAGATCGAGCATTCCCAGAACTCATTCCCATAGCCAGAACCCTTCGCCAAAACAACTGAGACATAAGAGGGTATCATATAATAAACCAATGACTAGAAGGCTAAATGACCAGATAACAAGAAGCCGTCATTCATTAAGCCACAAATCCCCAGCGAAGCGCATCAAGGAGTCCGCATCCGTTCCAAATGCCTCGGAATAGACTCCGCTCCGGGACGTCCTAGATCTCGGCACCGCGCGATTGGCGAAGCCTCAGCGGCCGACATAGCGTTCCGATCACCAAGGTTGAACTTCTTCGAAGCGAGGATATCCGTCCTTGCATAATATGAGTCTCTTGATCAGCAACCCCTTCAGGCCATGGGAGACTAATCGAATAACAATAGAAGAAGAACTCACACCATAACCAACGGAAACAAACATTCCATCGTATATGCAAATCGATCAAGCTGGCCCGCCACAGTCGCCGCAGTCTGCGATGTAACCTGCAGTGAATACGTGACCGCACGAGTAATGCCGATGAAACATAGACTAGCGACACGCATTTCGGTCGTACGGATCATATAGCGGAAGACGAGTCTGGTGGATGACAGTTTCGGAGAGATACTGTATGCCTTGTGCAAGAGGCGGATGAGGAAAAAGGAGCTCCAGGTTTCGACGAGGGCGATGGTCGCAAAGTAGCCGACGTGTAAGTAGTCAATTCGAAGTTGCAGTGGGCCGGCAGAATGAGAGGACACCCCACCTTGCGTGATTTCTTGGACTCTGCTGGCGAGAATAGCCATTCGAATAGAGGCGACGGCGACAATGAGGAACCAGAACACGGCGAGGAAGAGTGTTCGGGTTGAGTCGCGGAGGGTGTGCATGAGGATTTGATAGCTGTAGAAGGAAATGCCTGCCTCCTGGATCTGTTACTCTCTAATAAGTATGTCTACTTGTTGTAGGTAAGCCAACTGAGTGCTAAACTGACCAACCAGAGGACATCGGCAATAGCACTAGCGACCGCTCGGTTCGGGATAGGATATGAAGTGTAGAAAGAAAAGTAGCAGAGTCCGTTGGCGACAGCGCCGGCCGCAGAGACAATTATGGGGATGTAACTTAACGGAGTAGGTCGAGTGATAAGCACGGCCCAAATACTCAGGAGCGTTGTGAATAGTCCAATACTGCTTAGAATTGACCAGCTCAGCTCATAGTACGTGATGATCTCCGAGGAGGCACCGGGTGAGGGGCGAGTATCCATGGCTACGTTTGTAATATCTCCAAACAATGTTTTGATAGTAAAGTCTGATCAAAGCCCTCCCTCGCCCTCTGTGTTCCTTGCGAAGTTGAAACAGAAGCGAGACTGTTCCATTCACAGGTAATAAGGTGAAAAGGGGGGTGCTCTCGTATAATTATATCCCTATAGAGAAGAAAAGTCAAACGGTACTTGTAGTGAAACACCATAACGTTGACTATAATCCCCGCATTATCCACCTTGGCTAAAAGGGCGTCCGCAGTAATCTGGGGAAAAGCTGGGGCGATCCACACTTTTCGGATCAAATGCCGCGTCCCAGTGCTAGTCTAATAGCCCTAACTACGGAGAATCTAGTCTGAAATGCCGTGGTTCAGCAGGTATTATTTTCCGTCAATCTCCTGTGAGATTATGCCACAAGTCCTGAAGAATCGAACCAGTGGGCTGTGCATCGCATTTTGGCTTACGACTACACTAATTTAGGATAATTTAATTTCGAAGGCTTAGCCGGTTGGCAAATAGCCTAGATTAACTTACGCCAAGGTTAGGAGAGGAATACGAGTCATGCAAAGCGAATGTCTAACATTTCGCTATACCGTTTATCCTATTGCTATTCCCTCCCAGCCTCAATCGGCAGCAAGTACACCCACCGACCACGCCGGTAGTGTGAGAGTAAACTTCCCATTCGTCGCCTTTATATCCAACTGACTAGGGGTCACCAGAGTCTGAGTGTCGGAGTTGAACGCCTTCGGATCGTTGTCTGCAAGAACCGTCAATTTGCCGGTCGTCTTCCTCGGAATGGACACAGTGATCTGCTGGGTGTCAGTGCCATAGTTGGCCAACTTGACGTAATACTTGTTTCCGGTACTTGATGCAACCCAGTAAACGGGTCCGAAAGCAGAATCAGAAGTCACCTTCCGGATAGTATCTCCGCGGTTGACAGAGAACATCTGCTGCACGTAGTAGCTGGTAGTCTCGATGACCACGTCAGGGCTCTGCGTGAAGGCAATGAGATTCGGCTATAACCGTATTAGCTTGCCATTTTACCCTTTCATCCAGTGATTGATATTCACTTACCCTCCATTGCGTAGAGTTCACCAGCTGCAGAAGGGGGGCATATGCCGCCATCTTGACCAGATCACTGTTTCTCTCGATGCCAATCATGTACACGGCCTCAGCAACGGAGCCCTGCATGAAGGGCCAGTCGTTGTTCTGCTGGCAGGAATACTCGCCGATGAAGTACGGGACAGAGCGATCGTGGTTATCAAATTGATTGAACTGCTTCACAAGATTGTCGGCAGAGTTATAGTTGTGATAGTCTACCCAGATGCCCTCAGGCAGCTTACTGGGCAGACAGTTGGACTGGTCAGTGCTAGCGATGATCGTAAGGTCTGGATAAGCAGCATGAATTGCATCGTAGAATGCGGTAAAGCGCGCCGCGTAAGATGCACAGCCGCCCCCCAGCATATCCTCATTGCCAATCTCGACCATAGTAAGCTTCCAAGGTTCCTTGCGCCCGTGTGAGGCACGCAGCGAGCCATATCTTGTGCTCGAATCACCGAGGATATACTAAAACTGCGTCAGCCTCGCTTCCAATAATGATGAAAGAAGGGGCGTACTTCAAGCTCATTCAAGATATCATCAATGTAAGGCTTCAGGGAATCACCTATAATGGGTGTGTTGCCGCCGGAGTCAAGAGCAAAGCCTGCCCAGACACCAAGGACAGGGGCCAGTCCCATATCCTCGCACCAGTAGAAATACTCATCAAGGCCTGATTCTTTGGTCAGGTTTGGTCTATGAGCAGGCTTTAAATGGGACCTTACCCAAACCGTTGGTGTTATAATAACTCCAGTCCCCTTGGCGTCCAGGACGGTCTTCCAAGGGGCCGATAGTTTCATTCCACTTCCACCTTCGGGACTCACTTGCACCCTCACTGCACCGCTCATTAATATGCGTTCATTTGAAATGACGGATACCGGGAAGGTGAAGTCTCACAGATTGTTACCTCCAGGGAATCGCAGGAAAGATCCCTTCATGTCTTCCAAGGGCTGAGCCACTTGTGGCTTAAGACCATTAGACCTACAATATTAGCACCACACTGGTTGCACCACAAACAAATCCAGTCTAACCTTGACTTATAGGTCTGAGGGAAAAGCTCAAAAAGTCCGAAGTTCAACGAGGAGCCACCGACCGCTGCTCCGTCAACCGTGAGCTCATAGACAACAGCGCCATCAGGAGCCTTTTTGGTCGGAATCTTGGCCGATACCTTGGTAAAATTACCCGAATTGGAAGATTGCGAGAATTTCGTCGAGCCATACTCAGCCCCGGTGTTTTTACCCACAAGCCGAACCGTGATATCACCGGAGAAGTCACCCTTGACCCAGAAAGTGTTCAAGTATTCGCTTCCATCCACCGGGACACCCCAGTATCCTTCGTTGATTAATCCGACTGCACCAGAGGCACCTTCTTTCACGTCAAGCTTCAAACTGTGCGGGATCGCCTCTGTCAGGGGATTCAGCGCGTCAACAGCAATGGTGGCGTCGCCGACGGCAGTCCACGCAGTCAGATCAGGGTTGCTTCCCTGGAGACCATTGTTCTGCAGCAATTGTCCATGAACACCTCCGTCGCCGGAGTGGTTGATATCCTGGTTATTTAGTTAGATGCGGCGTCATACTATCAAGTGTGTTGCAATCGCCTACTTCGAACATGAAGCCATACAGAAGAGGGCTAGATGAGTTTCCTCCCTCTGTGGAGATTTCCAGAGATACACCATGCGCATATTGAACTAGGAAAAACAAAACCGGAAGGGCACTGAGGCCCGAGAGAGTCGAAAAGACCACCATGCTGCTATTCCTGACCTGATCCCTGAGGCAGAGAGCATCGTTGAGCGGCCACGATCCATGACTTTATACTCTCAATCGAGGGAATAATTAACCGTTCTCGGGTTTAGAGAGACAAAGTTATAAGGCAGCAAGCCGTGTGGAGGCGATAAAAGCATTCAACCGAGAGTGGAGAGGGATGGCGAAACCGGAGCGACTGATCATACTGTCGCATGGTGTATCCACCCAAAGGCAGGCAGTGCGACATTGTGAATATAGCCAATACTATCGCACGGTGAAGCCTAGGTGGTAATACCTGATTTCTGATAATTCTTTTCGGGAATCAAGCTTCTAATCACAGCCCACTCCCCTATCCAGAGTTTCTCGATGGACGATAGTTGACCATACATGTGGATCTTTGTCCATTTACGGTGAGACGGAGCGGTTCTGAGATGCTCGCAGCAAGGTAAGATTGTAAAACTTCGGAGAAACATGCCTTGCACCCCTGTCGTACAGCAGAAGCCACTCAAGGACCTCCACTGCTCCCCCCATATTCATAGAACTAAACAAGCTTTATAGTTGCCATTTTACGATTATCTCACGACTCTTTGCAAGAGAGAGACGTCGGGCTGAGGCGAACTAGTTTTCCCAAGCTCCCAAGGACGAAGAAGAAGTTGAATATCAAGTTAACATCCGGGGACTCCGCCAACGGCACAGCCTACAGGTACACCCGCACCATCTTGGCACGGACTCCTGGCCGATTGGCTGCCCCCTATCAGACCCAAAATTGGTCACAAGCTATGATCGGGAATCTAAGTTAGGTCTTCAGTCAATGCACGATGATGTCGGTTGAATGGTTCCCCTCTTCGTTCAACTCCGCGTGGATCCTGCTCGGCGACGCTCAGGGCAAAACCCCGGCGGGGATAGAGTTCCTTGTCGATCACTTGGGGTGGCCAAGAGTCGCGTGTCTTAGACCTCTCACTCAGTTATATACGAACATTGTGTAGGCTGACGTTGTGCATAAACTGGTCCAATGTAGAGGTGTCTTGGATTGGTCAATCTGTACAAATTCCTCGTTGCCAGACATGCAACGCCGAGACAGGGGGGAGAATGGCAGACGGGAGAAACTATTGCGTATAGGCGGGCGAAGTGCTAGAAATCAAGACATGCATGTCCTCAATTTATTTCGCAGACTTATACTGGATATTGTACGGCATTAGCTTGTTTAGTGTGAGTTGAAATATTGCTATGTGATGCTTGAGACAAATGTCAGGAACGAATACAACGGAGGGATGGGAGTTCGTTAAATATATTGCGAGCTACTCTGTATATAAACACAGTCATAGTCACACACGATGAGAAAAGCAGAAAACCTACGTGTTAATTCGACGATAGTAAGATTGTACACGCAAAAATAATATAGGTAAATCAAAATTCGTGGCATGCTAATACTTCATTATTAGTTTTACGCAAAACCTGAAAGATGGTACTCTGATTTTGGTTTCCTCTATAAATCAGAATAAGTGAATATGCATTTAACAAATCCTCGATGGTCTAACGGTCATGATTTCCGCTTGTCATCCCTTAAAGGAACAAGCGCGGGAGACCTGGGTTCGACTCCCAGTCGGGGAGGTTTCTTTTTTATTTTTATTTTTATTTTTTTTGATTTCTGCACAGAATTCTGGCTTCTCAGGAGCCTAATTTTAAATTATGGTTTTGTTCAATTATTTGTCCACCTTCATCCTGTAGTGCTGCCAATTTATTGGCGTCCCTTGTAATAGATTCGCGTACTGTTTATCTACCAGCTTCCTGATTCTTTGTTTGTTAGGACCTCAATTCCACTCTGCTGTATAGCTGGAGTGAGGTGTTAAGTAACTCTCTATTCGTCATTGCTTGATAGAACTGTAACTATGACTACACGTTAGACTGTCTAGTCTAATACATGCTTCGGATACAACTCCATCGACCATCAACAACTTTACCATAACAGAAATCCCGACCAGAGCTCAATTTATCGCACGCCGGCCGACAGGACATGACAATCAGTGCATAGCCAGGCCAAGCTAGAAACAAATTACCAAAGACTGTGATCGGGTTCGGTAGTCAATGCAGGCTCGACACTTGCACAGTAGACACGGTACATGATCGTAGTATAATGGCTCTGACATCACGGGTATCGTCCCGCGGGGTAGTCTAACATACCAACTTCCAGGTTACACCCTACTAGTGACTTGCCAGGATAGCGATTGACGAGCTATGGACTCTGTCATCCCAACTGTTTACCTACGAAGGCGTAGGATTCTTGGTTAGTATGGGCGCAAGCGAAGACGATGTGCAACTATAGAAAGAGAACCCCCCATCCGTGCGAAGAGCAAGTCTAACGCACTTCGCAGCCTCCCATTGATTATTAAAGTCTCGCTATAAGGTTGGTATAGAGGATCACAAATAAACATATCGCACTTCTCCTGCGCACCCCGGGCCCATCCATCGTTCAACAGGATCAACGGGACCTCAGGGGGATGATAGAGGATGGGGGTATAGGCGCTTATCCCGTAGAGCACTGTGGCACCATAGAGCTCCATTGCATAGACAAGATGACCCATGGTTAAGGGCTCAACTGGGGCAACCTGGACAACGTCATCGTGGTTCTGTCCAAAGTCCTGCCTGATTATGATGATTGAAACGGGTGATTGCTGAGTTAGCATTGCTCTCCAGCATGCTTCGGGTGGATCATTATATCTTCGAGGGTGGTAGGGAATCTTTTTTCATAACCTCCTTTGGAAAAATTGTTTGAGCAGAAACTTGGGCTTTCAACCGCGTGTCGTTTTGTAAATAGGAGACCTCTGTAACAGTGCTGCTAGGAAGCAGGGGAAAGGAGTAGTCAACGAGTCCTGATATATATATATACAATATTGAGTGGGTGTGAGGACACTGTCAAAACAATTCACAAGGCTAAATACTGTACCTCAGCAAAGGCATGGCGTGAATTGATCAGATATGTGGAATGAATGACTACATATATACTTGATATTGAGGGTGAATGTGTTTTAATCTAAACAAAGGATACCTATGGAACAAAGACCTTCTTTTCTTCATTATACCAGAACAACTCTTTGTTTGGCTCTACATTATCCACTAAGCAGTAAATATACACGTTGAATGTAGGATGTCTATGGCAAGTCTCATTAGATCTGCGGTTCTGCATCATAATCCAAGCCGTGCGCTTGCTCCTGTATCTGCGGCGACTTAGGGGGCAAGCTTCTCTCAGCATCCCCCGGAAAATCCTTGTCATCAGAGCCTTCTGGAGCTTGATTCGGCTCATTGACAAGGCATGAGGCGTAGGTCGTGAATGGTACGCTCATCCAGAAAACAACGAATGCGACGACCAGATTAGCCATGAGGGAGACATTCTCACTGGCACCAATACCAAATGCAATAGCAAAGCCCAGACTCTCCACCGAGCGAAGGATCCCAGTGGTGTAGGCTAGAACGTCGACATGGATATCATACGTTCCCAGGATCCAGTACGTCCATACCACAAATGCTTGACTTCCGACACTGATTCATCCACTACGTTAGCTTCATTAAGTCACCTGTGAAAGAGAAGGAACGTACCCAAACAGACAATACGCAGCGATTGCCTTCCCATACCCCGGGTCATGAATATCTAGAGATGGGATAGGGCTTTGATTTTGTAGCTCTGTCTGCATGACAAAATTCAAGACCCATTGCGGGTTAAACACGGCTAACATTGTCAGCCATCCCGAAAGCGCCATCCCGCGTCGCGTTTTGAACAGTTTTTGTGAATCCAATAACCATCCCTAGAGGATCGTAGCAAAAATACCGACCACCGTTTGGATAAATGCAGCCAGCGTACGGCCTCGAACCGAGAAGTACTCGGTCAGATAATTCCCCTGGTATGTTTGACTCCACCGCACCGTCATGAAGATCGGAAGCAAAAGCAGCATATACTTCTGCTTGGTCGCTTTCCAGAACCCCTTCAAACCACCCTTGATTGTGATACGCTTCTCGTCGGAGCTAAATGTCAGTTTGGTGCCGTCTTTGCGAATCAGCTCGTGCGCCGGCGCCACACTTAACGCGAGTGGAAGACCGCCGCAGCTGAGGCCGATGAGCACGAGGTATGTCTCGGGGCTGATGCTGCCCTTGCTGGATTGGTTTATATTGAGAGCTAGTTGAACGGCATTTCCGATGATTGATCCGAGTTTGTTGAGGGCCATCCAGTTACCAACTATCGAGATAGTTAGCAGAAGTCACGAACAAGAGTTAGTATTGAGAGCACTTACTATAGGTACCACGATTCTCAACTTCAGGATAGCCGACAGCGATTGCAGCCTCCGAAACCCAGAGCGCGGCAGCCTAAGAAAGAGTCACCCTCCGAACTCGTTCTTGAACAACAGTGCAACGTACCGAAAAACCACAAGTCACCGATCCAAGGAGCAAAAACCACTGGGTTCCAAAGACACTATTGCAATACAATGCTGCAAAATAAGGTACATAGCCAATCGTCCCGATCACCGACACCCACTTAAGACTGAACCTGTTTCCAGCAATGCCGAATAATGGACATGTTACGATCATGATCACATATGTGATTACATTGGAGGCATTGACAAAGTACGGAGTCGCCAGACCACCAGCTCCCAGTCCTATCACAAATTCAGTTCAGACATTCCTGAACCCTTAATTTTTTTTTTTTCTTTTTTGCTGGTAGTAATAGAGAACTCACCATTCAATGCATCCCAAATACCCGGCTGCGTAAAGCTGATCAAGTCCAACGCAATAGCCTGATACAGCGTCCCTTGATACCAGCGGTGCAGTGTCTCCCAAAGCTCAGCCATCTTTTAAACCCAAAGAACTCTGACAATGTTACCGTGATGGAAATCGGACTTGGTATTTAGTATGCAATTCTCAACTTCCGTTCAAGCAATCGCGGTCGCCCCACACCGATGTCGTGATCACTACAAGATAACAAGACATTAGGGCGTGGGCGTTGGATACAATTGCCGACCCCTACAGTTAAGCAATGAGGAGCCCCGTCCTGCAGGTCAACTTTCCTTTCCTCGAGCCATTGAATTGATTCCTGTGGTTCTTGCACAGGCTTGTTTGCGACTGCATGATCCTTAATGGCTACGCCTGGACCTACCCTGCACTCTGGTTCGTGAGTCATGCTCCTTATTTTCTATTGTTTCTTTTCTTGATTGGCCTTTGCTATCAGGGTCTTTATATAATAAATTCGTGACTAATTGGGCGTAAATACTGTTATTTTAAAGATCAGATTTCTTGTTCTTGTAGGGGCGCCCACTGTGATCGGCAGAGATTGCGGCGCTTGCGATATAACCCCCAAAGTGAAAAGAAGGATTTCTTGGGATATATAAATTTCTAGTGTACCATATGGGTTCTTATTTGTACAATCTTTATTATCACTTGTTCCATTTTTATTTTTCTAGGAAGAGATTCATCGGTATAAAACAAACCAAGTTACCCACCTCTATCCCATTCATCTGTCAAACAAAAAAAAAAGCACGCCAGTCCCACAGATGAACAATTTCTATAGGACGGCTTTTCTTTCACCCTCTAGTCCTTTCCGATCAATCAGCGAAAATGGGAAGACAACCCTAAGAACTCTTCTTCGCAAGCAATCCACGCGCCGACAACCAAACCCCCCTCACCCCCTTCTCAATCTCAAACCGCCCATCATAAAGCGGATACACAACAACCGCCAAGAAAGCAAAAAACTGCCAGACAATCGCAACAGAGACCCAGCCCGAAAAGAAAGACTTCGTGAAGATATAGTCCCGGTAAAGCGGCATAGGCCAGAAGACAAAAGTAACAAGGACAAGGACCACAAAAATGGCCCAAGCGATACGGGACCAGCGATAGAGTTCTTTCAAGGTCTCGTCACTGAAAGGGTGACGGATGTCGTCTAGGCTGAGTTGCGTTGGAGATCTGATAGCCGGTACTGATGAGACAGCAACGGTCTTTTCACCAGCGCCGACTCGTTCCGGATCGTCGATGGAGGCAGTTTCGGACGAGGCAGATTCGGGGGTGGGATGAGTCGATGCTTCGATTGGTTTGTTGTCCGATTGTCTATCTTCGGTGTCTAGGGTGGATGGGTCGTTGGCGTGGAGGTGTGCTTCGTCTGCGAGTTCTATGCGGAGGAACTCGCGCCAGTCAAATTTGTAGGGTTTGTAGAGGGATATGATTACGGAATAGAGCGCCGGCGAGAAGAAGGAACCAATGGCGCCATAAAGAGCAGGTAAGCCTTCACCGGTGGTGGCCATGTTGACAGCGCCGTAGAGGGACTTTGCGCTAGCGAGCCAAATAGCCAGGCCGGTAAAGAAGCCCAGAACAGGTGAAATGATCGCCGCTAAGCGGGTCTGGCCGGACCAGAAGAGGGTAAGAGCCAGGGGAATGATCCCCGGGCAGGAGAGGATGGGCCGGAAATAGCCAATCCAGGTCATATTGGCACCTCCATAGTTCAGCGCGATCGAGATCCCCGTAATGAATACCGCGTGGAAGACGACCGAGATATGGCTCACATGGAGCAGCCTTTTGTCCGATGCCTTTGGGTTGAAGTATGTCTTGTAGAGGTCGAATGAGAGAATACTGCTGACAGCAATCATCGAGGAGGATACCGTGCTCGTTAAAGCCATGAACAGTAGAATGAAGAAGGCGACGATCCCCGAATCACCGATGAGAGCCTTGACAAGATACGGCATCACCATACCGGCGTTTACCTCTGCACTTGTGAGCGGTCCTGGGTATGTAGGGAAAATGGGCGTGGTATGCAGAGCTCGAGCAGAAAGTCCAATAACTGTCCCCAAGCCCCATGGAATACCAAACACAGCTACCGCAGCGAGGTTGTAAGCCGGCACGGTCGAATTAACTTCGCTTGCAAAGGACTTTTGCCAAAATGCAGTATCCTATCGACAATATGTTAGCAGAGTTAACTACTCGATCGAGGGATGTGCGCAATCATACCATAACGACGAGAGCTAGATTGCCAAATTTTAAGACTAACCCCCAAATGATCGCATCTTTCGACTTCATGGTGAGCAGTGATCCTTCGTAGTTTCCGGTGATATAGTTCTCGCTAGCCGTAGCGACCACCTTGTCATAAAGACCCCCAAGACCGCCCACTGCTGGGTGCGTTAGAACGGAGAGCGTAAAGTATATAATGAGGATCAAAGCAACAGCCGTATGGAGAAAGTCTGTGAGGAAGGTTGCCTTGAGACCTCCAACTGCGGTATATAAAACTACTATAGGTAGGTCAGCCCGGTTTTGCTGTTCATCTTCTATTTGCTGCGGAACCGGGCTTCACACTTACCTCCAAGAGGAATAAGAATGGTGGCTGCGACAAAGTGCATGCCGGATATTCCATAAATTAGCTGCGAGCCAGTCAAAATCATGGATGCGCAACCGAAGACGTTGTTGGTAAGATTCAGCACGATAAAAACGAGATGCCCTATCCAGCCGTATCGCATCTTGATAATTTCGAGCGAGGTATGAGCGTATGGCACTCTGATCTTGGCCATGACTCCCAATGCGGCCATCAATGCGATTTGAAAACAGAGGCCGGATCCCCACCACTGGAATCATCTTAGCACTTGCGACCAATGGTATGGTTAAAACGAGAGAACGGATTTACCAGAGGTACAGCCAAACCATATCGATAGCACATCGCTGCCGACAATACCGTTTCGTTGATCCACATCCATGAGGAGAATACTGCGGACGCTGTTAATCCTGTCCCAACCGATCTATTGGCTACCATGAACATCTCTGAGGTGGCCGAGTCCTCGGACAGATAGGCCTTTTGGACCTTGATGGCGACCAGAATCACTCCGCAAAATAGCACGCCCAGTCCTATCAGCAGGCCATAGGCCGTGCCTTGCGGGACGAGGTCTATCCCCGCGACACCTAGTGTTGCTACGGTCATGGAGCTACGTATTGATGAAGAGCGTGAGAGAGGGGGAAGGCATTGATGCAGCAGTTCGGATAGAGAGGTATGAAAGGATGACTGATAAGAAAGCTTCTCAGCGACCACAGCTTGTCGATCGGGCACAGCGTAACTTTATGCCAACAAGGACTCCTACATCGGCGACTCCAATTATTTTCGGTTGTATTTCCCATTGTCTTGGAGATTAGAATTGAAATATGCCCGAACGGTTGGACAATGGCATATGGTAGGGTTTGTCACGCAGTCTGTTGCAGATATTGCGTTATGCGGGACGCTAGGTATGAATGCCGGTGGGAAAACGTGCATAGCGTCTGGATGAAAGGAAATCCAAATCCCGTTGGCTTGATACGAGCATGTGGATGAGCGATAATACAGAGTTTATGCGAGCTTACCAAAGAGAATGCGGGTTGAAGTGAGCAATGCATGGATGGGATTGCGTGCCGGCAGTACGCGGTGGCGACTCGACGCGGCAACATCCGACTCAACGCGATCACCGCAATCGCCCCAAAATAACATGAGAAACAAAAAATAAGATCAAAGATAATGATACAATGCATTCCTGCTTTTGTCGATTACTTCAAGGACGTATTGTTATTTGATCTCGACGTGCGCCCTTCAGTATCGTCCACTATAGCCCTATATACCCGTTGGAATCGACCCATGCAGGACACAGTAAACCCATGAGAATGACGAAAAGCGACAAGGACAAAAAAAAAATCCTATTGAATGCCTTTGTGATGAACACCCCAGGCCACTTGGCCCCCGGGCTGTGGAAACACCCAAGGAACAAGACCGATCAGTATAAGAAACTCTCCTTCTGGACCGACCTGGCGCAGCTGCTGGACAAAGCTGGATTCCACGCTATGTTTATCGCTGATATCCTGGGCCCGTACGATGTATACAAGGGTCCTGCTAATGTAGTGTAGTCCCTGCACTAGCATCCGGGGCGCAGTTTCCGGTCAATGATCCACTATACCTGGTCCCGGCTATGACAGCAGTCACTAAAAACCTGATCTTCGGCGTGACTGCGAGCGTGACTTATGAACAGCCATATGCACTAGCTCGCCAATTATCGACAGTGGACCATCTCAGCGAGGGGCATCTCGCCTGGAATATTGTCACGTTTTATCTCGACAGTGCGGCGCGCAACCACGGGCTAAAAGAGCAAATTCCACATGACGAGCGATACCCAATTGCCCACGAGCATATGGGGTGCTTGACAAGCTTTTGGGTGGGGGGGGGGGAGGGAGCTTCCGAGATGATGCTGTCCTAGATGATCGAGAACAGGGAGTATACATCGCTAGCGACGCAGTGCGCCAGATACACCACAAGGGAGGGGAAGTACTTTGAGGTACCGGGACCGCATTTCTGCAAGCCCTCCCCACAGCGCACCCCGTCCCTCTTCCAAGCAGGCGTCTCTGAGGCCAGACATGGCTTCGGAGGGAAGCATGGTGAAGCAATCTTTGTTGGCGGTCAGACACCCGAAGTCCGGGTAACAGTAGATAATGTCCGAAAAGTTGCAGCAGAGGAAGGGCGCGACCCCAACCACATCAAGATTATTGTTAGAATCAACGCTATCGTCGCTGCGGCGGGTGAGGAGGCGAAAGCAAAGCGGGAGGAGTATCTGAAGTATGCATACGGAGAGAGGGCATTGGCGCTTTTCGGTGGATGGACAAGGGTTGATCTGTCAGGCCAAACCGACGACGAGGACTTCCGGTTCAGTGAATCTCCACGTGTTCAGTCAATTGTGAGGAGATGGTCTGCTACCTTGCCTGGCACTGATAGACTTCCTTGGACCAAGTTGGCGGACTGTGGAGTACTTAAGTGTCGGTAGGTTGGGAGCGAATGTCGTTGGGAGTCCCACAACCGTTGCAGATGAACTGGAACGATGGGTAGAAGTGTCAGGAGTGGATGGTTTCAATCTGGCCCATATCACCAATCCAGGAACATTTGAAGATATTATAGAATACTTACTGCCTGAGCTGCGGCGAAGGGGGCTTTTTCGAAACGAGGTAGGAAAAGAGGGTGCCACAGCGAGAGAAGATTTCATCGGATCCCAAAGTCTTCCGAAAGACCATCCAGGTAGCCGATATGGATGGCACGTAGGTGAGAAGATACCCAAGTATCAGCTGGAGGATGAGAATGGGGAGATAGCTACATAATAGGGAAGAATTTGTGGTCTCAGTTTGACGACAATGGTAACTGCATGGTTAATGGGGGATTTTATGAGACACTTAAAACTTGACGTCGCAGCTTCGGGGAAGTACTAGAGAAAGTAATAGAATAGGAACGCATGAAAAATGGATCCACATTCTGATAGGTATGCTACTTCTGGTAGTTGAAGATCTATGCGACATGTAACCGGCCCTCAGCTAAGTCTAACGCAGCTAATGCTGCATAGCCTGTTATGCAGATATGGGTAGGACGACATATGTACTAGCACTCGTATGTCCTTGCGTGAGAAATAAAGTTTTCCAGGTAGAGTTAGTGACAAACGTACATATGTAGCAAGGATACCTTACTTGCATAATGTATTGGATAGTCAGTATGGTTAAGAAAACGGTAAAGAACAAGCTGGCCTAGAGTAGGGTGGAACGGGGATGCTTGTGGATGATGCAGTGGATTTTCTGCGAACTGAACTGCCACTGCGACAGCACCCAAGCCCCACGCAAGAGCTTTAGGTCAATCCAATTTGTAGGCAAGTGACGCACCTAAAATCTATATGCAGCACTGTCGCTTAATTAGATCAATGATAGCTACGTCAAAAGGACTGCTACTGCCCAATCATGTAGAGATTTCCAAAACGGGTATCTGATATCTGACACCACCAAGGCCACAATGATCGATCTATATCAGGTGTGGCGTTGCAGCCAGCACAGCCCCGATTTGGGCAGATTCTTCAAACAATTACTCTCTGTTGCAGTGCACAAGAGCTGATAAAGAGCGATAAAACACCGCCTATAACATATCTTGTTCAACATTGATGACGACGCGATATCCAAGGTAGACAGACCATCGAGATAGAAATTACGCTATACACTTTCGGGTTCATTTTGAACGCCATTATTAGAGGGCGTTGGGCAGCCCGATCCTTACATTCGCGCTGTCGGGTATGAGATGCCCCCAATTGCATGCGCTAGCCAATGAATCATCGGGGTAGGGATAATTCGCTGAAGATAATAAATATGTACTAGAAAAACCTAAGGGGAATCATGTCATTATCCTCGGCGGCCAGTTAAAGCTGACGTTTGGGAGTTAGAGGCATGGCACATGTCGGATGTGAACCTAAAAGGCTCCCATGCATATCTGCAACACTGCTAAGATGAGAGACCAGGAGGTAGCATCTAGTATCCCGACAACTAGGTCGGGCAATTCAGCTATCCGAACGTGAGCTTTTCTCTGTTATCTCTGTTATCATTGTTCTAAATATAGTACGTTAAATATAGACCAGGCAGAATAGCTTAGGGTGAATCAATCGACGGGAGATATATGCCCAAAGGTGTAAGCATTATCTTAACCAGCATCATGTAAATTATATCACTGGTAGCATACACCACCAGTGCCAACGACCACAGAAGGCGGATAGACCTTGCAGTTGTTGGCGACTGTAATCGCGAAGAGATGCTACTTCTACGTAAATCAAAGCTGACCTGTATGCAACTGGGAAATCGGAACTGATTTCCGGACAATCTTTGACGCCCAGTCAAGTCCGACTGATAAGGTGTGGTAGTATAATCATGGTTAGACTACAACAATCAAATCTACAGCTGTACCATAAAACAATAGTGTACAAATTCAAGCTGCAGGCAGGAGAAGGGTGGTAATACCGTAGGAATGTGTACCGTTTTTTCTGTTTCTTTTCTGTTTCTTTTCTTTTTCTTTTCTTTTCCTTTTCCTTTCCTAGTTGCCTTACGGCTTAAGAATAAGAATGCAACGACGATTGTACCCCGAAAAATGGGCCTGAGATAGCGAAGGTAGTTGCCTTAAAATTAAATACCTATCGACAGACTGGAATGCTGGGTGGGTAATACCGCGACCGGTTAACCCGATTTAAGCTCTGTAATAAGAAGACAAAAGTACTGTGCAGTAAGATGAACTACTGACCGGATTTTCCATTGAACACGGAACGATGGCTCTAAATAAACTTTTCCCCCCAAGCTTAGCCCTAATCCAGGCAGATCCAAGAGAGACATCGGCGAAACGAAGCTCTCGCAAATAGTGGCACCGTAGACAGTAGGCTGGTACCAGTACAGATCATCGCCGAGAGACAGGACGTGTATTAATGGAAAGTAAAACATCTGATACATAAAGCCCGCTTCTAGTTAGGGTCCCGCGATGGTTTAACTATTTGATACTATTTTTTGGGACCATTATTAATGGGCAGTTTTAAACCTTCGCTATGTGTCAGCTTTCTGATCCGTTTCCAATTTCAGGTCCATGTGGAGATGGTACGAATCATTAAGGCGGAAGGCATTCCGGTTGGACGCTGTGGAATATTTGTGCCGGGGGAAAATATTCCATGGAGTTGAAACTACCATTAAGGATATGAATTCTGCTTGACTATTTCTCTTTTGAGCTCTAGGTGGAGTGAAACCAAACGATATATGAAAGAAAGAAATCCTAAACGAACTAAAAAAATATTCTTTTTTCTCTTTTTCTTTTTTATAAAAATAGAGACAGAGACAGACAGAGGATTCCAGAGAAGTGTTCATGGACCCATGCTGAAGTGGATCAACTACAGGTCATTCATGGATAGATCCACCGTTACGGACCCGACACTTAGGGTCTGGAACCGACTTGTTGAGGCTAAACAGGGATATACTTCTTTGGGGATGCAGACCAGAGATCGATCGGGTCAATATTTTGTCTGCACCGATAGATCAACTGTGGCTCTGTGGCTGGGACCGTTATTCTGGGGCCGATGATACGTATATCATTAGACCACGAAACGTAGCATATATATAGGTTCTGGCCGACCTGATTAAACAGGTCTCCGCCTCAATTAGTTTCGTTTCTTGAGCCGTGTTTAATTTTAGGGCAGTTTCGAACCAACAAACATACAAATATAGAGTTGGAGAAAAGAAAAATATAAAAATAAATAGAAATGACGACCGAGAAAAATCAACGAGCAAGTACGCAACGTTGAAGAGATTCTGATCTCCCGGATAATCTTTCAAAACACTAACATATGAGCGCTAACAAAACTCGTCGCAATAGATTTTATAGAAAGTGGGCAGACAGTGGGTCTGAAAGAAAAGTTCCTGAATACAACAACGTCCTGGGGAGGACAATGGAGAAGTGACAACAAATTCAAATTAAAAAAAAAATTCCTTTGAACAGAGCCATGGGAAGAATGGTAACAAGTATAGAGGAGCCCAGGAAAACTGAAAGAAAGAAATAATGATGATGGGATATCAAAGTTTTGCCCTTCAAACGCCTTAAAAGTATCCAAGCACAACAGCTCAATCGCAATGAAATCCAAAAGACCCATACACGCCACGTTGCGATGGATATCCTTTTCCACCGGCACCGAATGCCATCGTAAGAATGTTTTTCGTCAAGTGATTTGCGTCGTGCGTTGTCAGCTCGGCGACCGATGGGAGGAAGACATCTTCGTTCCTGAACCCAAGCCGTTCGGGGTCTGTCTGTTGGCTGGAGAGAAGGTCAGAATGAATGAAGACTACCAATCGCTCTACTTGGCGAGCATGCGCACCTTTGAATTGTTCAATCTGTCGGATTGTGTTCTCATGGATTCTAGCCCATTCTGCCTGGTACTCGGCAAGGTCTAGGTGTGTTGGCTGTTGCGTGGAGGACGTAGTCCCGCTTGTAGATTTCTTATCCATAGTGTTAGAGAAGGGGAGAGGGGAAGAGAGACTTGAGCGATGTTGATGGTGATCGGAAGGTGTATGGTGAGGGTCGAAATATCAGAAAGCACCAAGGTGGTTGATGACGAGATTGACAGCTTCAGATAAAGTTTAAAAGGAAAGGTTAAAGAAGAGATAAGGTGATCCTCTCTTTCCACTTTAGTGGCAGCAGGACTGAAAGGATAATAGAAGCCTATTTATCAGTTTGTGAAAGCCGCATTCTTGACCGTCAGGAGACCGTCTCAGGCCACTTGGGTGGGTTCCATAGGAAGCAAAGTGAATCAATCGACCAGGTCAGAGTTTAATATTTTATTTATTTTTATTGTTATTTGATTTCTTGGGCCATGTGCCTGTCTGTCCGTTTTTAAATTTAATTGCTTTCATTTCATTTCATTTCATTTCATTTTATTTATTTTATTTTTTGCTAATCTCGTTCTGTGGTTACGAAGTTCCCCCATCGGATGTGTTCTTTTAGGGCATTCCCTTACATTCCGTAGGGAGAGAGAAAAAAGACCCGCTATAGTGGAATGAACCCATCAAAAAGATGGGACCACCGAAACAATGTCCCGTTCGGTCTCCCGATTGGCCGGGGAAGGCCAACAGACAGGCTGCCGAAAGTCAGGATCGTCCTAAGATTCCGTTTGTGGCTTTCAGTGAATTTTCTCCTTTCTTTTTGTTGCTGTGTAGCGGATTGTCGGAATCCTAAGGTACCGTCTTGATTGGCTTCGTAACTCTCCGATCGTTCGCCGGGATGGATCCCCGTCTATGCCGAGAGAAAAGTACGTACTTTTGGTCCCTCTTCTGATTGAGGGAGATCCGGACATTGGGCATCGATCCCACTTGAAGGTTGGTCCACACTGCTATGTTTGTTGCCCCCCCGGTCTCTACTAGTCAAATCAGTATGGACCGGGTTCTTTCAGAGAAAAGAGTAAAAAATAGACCAGAATGACGGTCCAGTCTGCAGATGACGAAATAAGAAAAAGAAAAAGAACAAGAATAATAATAAGAATAAGAAAAAGAAGTAAGGAAATAGAAGGCGGTTCAGCTCGGACGACAGGCAGTCTCTATACAACGGCATGGCACGCTGACTTGCATCTCGTTTTCAGCCGCGGTCAATCTGCATTTTTCCATGGGAATTCGAAGAGATTACTGCAAATGGTAAATAGTGAAGATGACGTCAGGTTAAAAAAGGGAAAATGATTTGACTAAATAATAGTGGCATTTCGGGGAACCATAAAACAACTTCCGCGATCTGGCGCGATCCATCTGCTGGAATACCACAGACAGAGACTCGCGGTTAATCTCCTTCTTTAGCGCTTGACTAGGTTAGTTCGGGTTAGTCGCAACTTAGGCACCTCTTCCCCCTCCGACTACCAAGTCGTATAACCCTTCCCCCAATCCATAGCGGTAGTGATCCCCCAATGTCCGTTTAAACTACACGGCAATGATCTTGACGGTGGAGTAAAGCTGGTCTTAACGATCGCTATTGGTAACGGATTCCATTCACCGCCACTTTAATCAACGGATGTCAGCTGGCTTTTCACCGCTATCCCCTATATCGGATCCTATCAAGCGCTGACAATAACCGCCCTATCCGACAGTTAAATATCAGGTACCCTGAGCCTGAGGATAAACCCACCCGTTCCTATTGCTCCAACTTTGTTTGTGATGCAGAAGATCATATGACACGCCGCTTAAGAACCCTCATCCATGATAGTCCTGCGGAACATCTTACAGCACAGCAGGCTGAACGTCGCACAAAAACAGACTGAACGACGTGCTTTGTTCCCTCTCACCGCTATTACTTCTGCTTTCTGATGTGTTCGCGTCTTCTCTTCCATGGCCGTTGTTTCTTTGCTCTTCAGTGCATGACAGCCCTGGCCGTTATTGTGCCCCCTCAATCGCTACGTTATTCAACCCCGCTACAGACCTTGATCATCGCTGCAACTAACGATTTGACAAGCATAGCTGTCAGATGATGGACTGGTGCTGCATACAGCTACACTATCAGATCACATGGGCACGAGATGATAGATATCTCCTTCAATTTGGATACACTGAATCGAGTATAGCAAATGGCATCCTTGTAAGAAGATGTTTGAAAAGTACGACTACGACTGCTTAAATTACTAGGATCTCTTGTGCCCAAGGATTGACATGGTGCAGCTACTTAAATGTTCCACCGATACGGACGATCTTCTATATTTTGACGGGGCTCATCTTTGTAGCTCTCTAGGTAAATGTCAAAATCGATGCTGACGGTCATCCACGAGGCAGTTGACGTTTCAGCGAGCGCTCTCAAGGCAACCCTGGCATCACCGCTTGGAATGGATGGGCTATGGCTCCTTCGAGCATACCATTGGGCAACTGGTAGCAGTGCCATCTATGCCCGACTATACACCAAGAAAGCAGAGGATTTTAATTTCCCTACAGGGCCTTGACTATTCTCAGCCTCGAATGAATAATATGACCGTACTTGTATGGGCTGAATCATGGTGCTTCGGGCTGGCATTGCCGAGGATATTTTTTTTTTTTTTTTCAAAGCAAAGCGACGGCATCCGAAAGATCGGCATAGCCAGTGGGTGCGATACCTGTCGTCGGGAGTACGCTCCCGATGTCCCTACGCTCTTAACTCCACGTTACCCGGCAAAAACCCTGAGACACGTTGGAAGCCGTAGTAAATGCTCTATTATACCCAATCCGGCAGCTTTTTACGACGCAACTAACTTGTAACTTGCATGAGAAATGCCACTCTGCCCATTTAATGTTACACAGGATGGACTACGGCCAATTGGACCGGGAACTTTTTCTTCTCCGGAACTACAATAGACATCCATCATGATGTCTAACTTGCAGATATCTGGACCTGCTGCGTTGTCAACTTGCCCTTGGTTGATAGTTGATTTTAATTTTGAGGATATTAAGCTTTACCTTAGGTAGGGACCAGTCTATTTCTTAGCTGCGGCACCCACTGTGATCTGTCTGAAAGCCAGTTGTTGCATAAGCTCTCGTAGCCTTTTGCCGTCATTGAAATACAGAAGGTGTCAGACTGTGGCATGACAGACTTACGGACTGAAATTAGAAATCTGAAGCAAGGAAATCGTAACCTATACAGTCCTTTCCCATGATCCACCAGCCACTAATCCTCTGAGTATCACCGCCACGATCGCTACTTGCATGAATGGCTCATTGGCTGATATCCGGGGATTTGACGTCATGGCGTGATTCTCCGTAAATCATTTCTCAGAATGGTGTATTGGAGTCCCACATACCGAGTGCCTGATAGCCATACACCCTTGGATACTGGAAACACTCTGCTTTGACGCAACATATATTGGATAAGCCGGGAACTATCCAATCCCACATTTCTGTTAGCAAAATTCCATCAATACTTGCCCGACACACCTGTCCAGAGCAAAGACACGGACCACATACGCCCTAACTCCCTTCACACCCCTGAAAACCTATATACAGGACATATTCCTTTATCAAAAGAAAAAGTACAACTTGCCCCACCAAGACAAAGCGGGGAACCGCCACTATCAGCCTAAAGATAATATATCTTAGTGCAGACTTATATGCACTAACCAAGTCGTCTATTGGCTATGGCTACTGCACCAGTCACTAGTAATAACGTGGGAGGAAATTAGCGCACGAACCGGACGTCTGATTGGAGTCGGAACTCAGCATGCACGGTTTGTCAATGGTTGATAATCCACCGTTTTTCTCCGAGACGGCTGGGATTATGGGCCCCGGAGGAATATCCCCCGGGCAGGAGATACCATGTTCTATGTGTGAGAGTTGGTCACGTTTAAGTCATGGGGGCATTTTGGGAAAGGATGTGTGTGGTGTTGGGTAGTGGTTTTGGGATGCATTGATGTCATTGATGGTAGCATGGTCGACGTGACTGATAGGTTACAGGGCTGTTCGACTATTTATGATATCAGCCTAGAGGTCACAAGGGCTGGGTAGCCTGGGATCCGTGCATGATGCAACAAGTGCTCGGCCAAAGGTACCAGGTGAATTAACATAAAAAGAACTTGAGATATTACTAAGTGAGATGAAAGCACAAGAACTGACTAACGAACGACGAATGAAAGCGTATCCCAAACCACATTAGGAAGTGAAGCCCAAACCCGCATCTCAACCCAAAAAAGGAAACAGAAGGTGAAAAAAAAGTCCTAACACCACGTATTAACATCAACCATCAACCATCAAACCAACAAATCCTCCGGGATCTGCTCCGTAATCTCTAACCGCTCCCACCAATCCTCCTCAAAAAGCTCCATTTCCTCCTTCCGCTCCAAATCCCACCACGGATGCGGAATCATCCTCCGCTGCAGCTGCCGATTAAACGGAATCTCCAACACCAACAGCCCCGCGGGGATATCGCCCTCATCGGTATTCAACCGCAACCGCTCATCCAGACTCTGTAACGCCGCCGCCTGCGCTGTAAACACCTCCCGCATGCGCGCGATGCCCTCAGGCGTCCCCTTAATCTCAAACGCCACCTCCTTCAACTTCGGGCAGGTAGCTAGCATGCCTAGGACGCCCTCAACGGTTGCGGCGGGGTCATCCTCGCCGGCGCCAAACTCCTCGAGCCAGTCCCACTCGAAGCCGAGACTCAGATGCTGGACGTGCATCTTGGGGTCGAAGCCGTCGTCCGGATCGCAGTGCGGGTCGTCCAGGTAGGTCAGCAGCTCGGCGAGGAAGGGGGCGTTCACGATCTGGAAGTGGTTTTTCTCGTAATAGGTTTCCAGGGCCTCCTTGGCGACAGCGGTGTCATGGGTGATGTATTTTTGGCAGAGCAGAATGGCGTCGCCGAGGACGGCGTCGCGGACGTCGCTGTCCGGCATGATGAGGAAGGTATCGGTTGTCAGCAGCTGGTCGAAGATTTCCTCGCGGAAGATGGGGGGGATGGAGTGGAAGTGGGCGTAGGAGGAGAAGCCGGTGTGTTGGCGGAAGAACATATCCAGGCGCATGCGGAGCTCATGTTCGAAATTCAGCATCGTTTGCTGTGGGCAGCTCGAGGAAAGGATATATATTTAGGTCTGCAATGCAGTTGAGAGAGGAATACCGGTAAGTTTAGTTTAGGCGTTTCTTTTCTTTTGCTTTTGTCTTTTTTTCTAGAGGTTATTGAGGAGTGAGTGCGTCTTACTTATGGCTTTTTTTCGATGTTGGAGGCCCTAACTCTTCTCTGGAAGGGGGGTTATATCGGCTGCGTTCAGCTGGCCTGTTGGTGAAAAAAAATGAACATCGGATTGTCAAGTGAGGGGTAAGGCCAGTGGGGTCAAGGAGAGGCGTCTGCTTTTTGCTTTCAATGGCTGGCATGCTGCCGCGGCGCTTATAAGGGGCGTCAAGTCTACGGTTCTTAAGTTGAGATATCAATTGATAGATCGCATCTGAGAAATATACCAACAGTATAGGCAATAAAGAAAAGATGGTCTAGACACTATCCCAGTATAGTGGACCGATCCCTATAGTAGGGCTACCTATACTATAATTCGGGACAATGGCACCCAGTTCACATAAGCGCTGGATGTTAGCTAAAAATTATGTGGCGTTCATCAATCTGAATCAATTGTTACTGAAGATGATGTACAGGGTTGTAGAACAAGGCTAGGAGAACAATATCTTATGATATATTTTTTAAGCATCTTGTATATCCCACTTCTTTTACCCAGCGAAGCGCTGCACTTGGTTGAAAAGGCGTATCTTACCCACAGGAAGCCCCATGCTTAGCCGCCAGGAAAGCACATCCCGTCTAAATGCGGGGATACACCTCAGTCGGGACAATTGTTTTTTCGTCAAAAGATAAAAGCAAAAAAAGAGCTGCAGCTGCTGACCCACCGGTCGAGGGATGAATGGCTCGTTTAGCGGCACTATCGTGTTCAGCGCTTAATAAGGCCAATCATTCGTTGACGGATAGCTGATTAAGACAACAGCCCTAAAACCAGAGTCATCGGTTGATACACCAACAACGGGGGAATATACTGCTAATTGGTTCGTGATTCTCAGCAGCATTCTATGACCTAGTCAGATGGTTCCACCCTTGAGCAACCTTTGGATAGATTTGTGGATACCCTCAGCTCATAGCACTATCCGCAAGACACAGCGACTCTGCCGACCATGATAAAACCTAATACGTAGTGGTCTATACTCATATTTCTTTGTCTTCGCGTGCATCATAACGTAACAGTAAACTGATTCTAATTTGTCAGAACCAGTAGGCACCGAAATTCTCTACATCATGATGCCAAGGGTTAGTCCTAACAAAGTCACCTTAGTACTGAAGGTATCAGGGTACACATCCATTGAAAATTTCTAAGTTATTTAAACAGCAGCTGGACGCAGTATTATATTTTCTGTTGGTTTATAATGAAATGAATGCAGAATATATTCCTCTAACGCTGATGATATCTGTTGGTATGAGCGGTGGAGACGGTCAAGTCAGTGAGCCTAATGTACTTCTTGCATTGATTATTGATCATTAGTTTGGTCAAGCATTTGCCACCCGAAGTATGCGGAGTAATCCATTCGATACAGAGATCGTTGTCTGACAGGAGTACTCCACAAAGAAGATTTTATCTGGTGGTGATATGTTCAATTGTACCTACAGATCACACACGTGGCGATTTGGACCAGTCAAAGCAAACACACGCACACCGTAACCATGGTTCTAATCTCTAGATTCCTACGAAATATCTAGCTGCCAAAGTACAAAAGTCCCTGAGAAAGAAAGATTGCTGGTACGCCTTCAGCAGGCAATACAAGGGTATCTCCTTTAACAGTGAAGAATAGCAATATCGATCCTCCATGTGGAGCTGAAGGTACAGACTGTATGTATTTATCTACACAACTACAGCCTTTTACAGATTCATGTGAATAGTTGAAGACAAGTTATTCAAAAGATGTGATATATGCCACACAACTGAAAGCCAAGTCAACTCTGAGCTGCGGCCGTACACACACACACAATGGAACCCCACAGCGGAAATATTTACGGTGAAGTTCCTAGAGTATGAGAAAAGGAGACACTTCTTTCCCAGAATAGATGTCATCATTTATGCAGGCTTATTTCCGTCATCTATTCACCTAGAAGTTCCAATATCTCCGCTTCCTCGTCCTTCCATATGACTGGGTCTAAGGTCGATGCCAACTGCAAAGCAGTGTTGCCTTTGGAATCTTTAACCAAACGGTCAGCCCCCTTCTCAAGTAGCGCCCTGACAGCTAGTGGGGAAACGCGGAGGGTAGCTTGATGGAGCACAGTTCGACTCTGGAGATCGGTCTTCCCAGTTCTATGTCTGGTTGCCGCAGGAGAAGACATAAAGTGGTTTCTTGATCTGGATTCAAGGGCTCAGAACACTGTGCCCGCGGCTAGAAGTAAAGATGTAGCACCAGCTCAGTTCTTGGCATTAACGGCCGGCCTCCTGAAGAGCAGCATCCCGACTGCCATTGGGTTCTGGTGTCGAACAACAAGATGTAAAAGGCTGTTCTTCGTATGAGGTATGGATACATTGACATCTGTCTCTTTTCCTTGACCCGTCCTTAGAAGACACGCAAGCGCATTAAGCCGGTGCTTTCCGAGTGAAACGGTCTCTTCGTCGTCAAACACACTCAGGATCGGTCGTTTTCCACTTCGATCTGGTTTGTTGGGATCGGCTCCGCCTACTATCAAGTAGCAATCAGTAAGGGGGTATGTCCGGTTCTAAGTTCGGTAACGCTAAATCGATATTATGCTGAATCAGGTCTAAAAAGCATTTGTAATGCTTCACATATATGTTCTTGGACAACCTTTATGATAGGCCTTGGTCGAGGGTAGGAGGCAGTGCCAAGGTTGCACCCTTTGTTGAGTAGAGCCTTGACAGCTGATGGATTACCCTCGGTGCAAAACTTTTCCAAGAGGTGTTGATCGCGGCCCCAAAACGTCCACTTGGTTACCTTACATCGCCTTTTCCTTCCCTCGCATTGACTCTGCTGTGACTGCATCAAGTTGCTGTTTGGGAGGATACACGGAGATATTTTTAGAATTAATCGGCCTAGTGCCTACTGACTGGCTCTTCTGTGACGCCTGATCTTTCTGTTGTGTCAATCATTGTTCTAACTTTGGACTGGGCGGGTTACAAGAATCCCCAGTATCATCAGGCTTAGTTGTGAGTGAGGCCTCCTGTAGCTCCTCCATAAGCAAAGTGGCAACCTTCTGCATAATGTGAAGAGACCGTGTGGGTGGCATCCGATTGTCTGTATTTAGAGACTCCGAATCAGCTCTGCGCTTGAGCAGCAGCTCAACTACTGTCTCATGTCCGGACTGTGTAGCCCGTTCCAGTGGTGTCCGACCACGATACTTCGAACTCCGGATCAGTGTCGTACCCATGCAGCAGTTTTACAACCCCCTTATTACCACTTTGGGCAGCCAATGATAGCAGAGTCCATTCGTATCCGTCTTTCATATTAATGTTGGGTCGGAGCCTGTGTCTGCGTAAAAGCATCTTCACGATTGCATCATACCCTTGATCTACGGTATACGAGAGGGGTGTCTGGGCTTTTTTTTTATCTCCCTCCAATACAGCCACATGCTGAAGTCACCTTGCACCAGCACCGTCGATGTATGCTATTTCCACGAACTTTATAAGTTCCTCGTGATATTCCTGAGCTAGCCTTTCTTGGATACATACTTGTACACGCCTCCCATCACGAAGTGTAGACATAAATTAAGTTGATACACGCCGCTGTTTGGTCCTGGACAGCGGTGACCTGAGACAGTATAGTGTCTCCATCCTGGTAGAGCTCCATTGAAAGAAATCTCCCACTCTGCTTGAGTAGCAAATAGAAATAATTCCAGTCACTGCACATAACCAATTTCGGACCAAGGTAACTATTAGCGGGTAGAAACCTCTGGTAACGAACGAGCCGATTTTCCTGCAACTCCCAGTTAAGGTGGAGATACACTGTCCGCGCTACCCCTGAGAAGAGAGCCGTACATTTCCGTAGGTCTTCCCTTCTTTGGTCACTTCTTGAACGCCATTCTTGTACATATAGGTCTGCATGGGGTATTGCGGCGTGTTATTCTCCACATCCAACAGTTCAATGGATAAGCTTTTTTCTCCCTTGAAATGTTACCCAGGTACACCTTTCAGGTGAATTGCCAGCCGCCGGTTTTCCTTGCCCATCTCTGTACAGTCAATAATAACAAGGCCTAAACTGAGGTACCCCTTGTACATAAAGGAGAATTTTAGACGGATGCCTCTACTTCCGAGTGCTGGGGAACGGGTTCTCAAAGCGGAGGTGCTAGTTGAGATGAGATACCCCGAGTTGGTAAACCCCGTGGAGGAAGTTGCGAGAAAAGAAATTGTGAGCTTCAGTCGATGTCCAGGCGAAAGGGCCGTGGTCATCTGCGACACTCATGATCTCCATCTCAGGTCTGAGGAACACCCTTTCCCCTTTAACTTAATGTCATTTTTACGCCAAATATACCTAATATACAATAGGCTATATTCAATCCTTGTGCTCCTATGCGCAGCCCATGACATTCGTTGAGCAACATTGACATATTGCAGACGACCTCTGATATTTTGACAGGCAGCTGGGCGATGCTGGATATGTATGAACTGTTTTGTAGCTTAGTACCAATCATTTGCCATTTACTATTGGGAAAATGATATCTCTTGGAACTAGAAGCTCTTGCGATGTCCAACTTCTGATGAACCACCTGCTACCCTCGAATTTGTCAAATGTCGGCATATCAGCCAAGTACGCGTAACAAGCCTCTGCCTCTTTGTACCAACGTTACATTAAGTTAATTGCCTCGGCCAGCTCTACGCGGCTTGTCTTTTCAATACAGCACGTGTCTATCCAGATATAGTCCAGTCGGTAGTCCCTAGCTGTAGCACAGATGTATTTGACTTTCAAACCCCTGTAAGATTTAGGGCCTTCGATTGCCGAACCTACTAGTAAGCTTGGATTCCCTTGTCGCTGATGACAACGTAGCGAGGCCATATTATTAGAAGATCTCGGCATCGCCTCCACTTCTCCTGCCGAGCTGAGGTGTGTCAGTATCGTTTGAGACATATCTAACCATTATTGCTTTCTAAACTGCCTCTGCCACCATCGGTAAAGCCCGTAATATCGCTTGTCACTGGCACATACATGCACTGCATCCCAGTCGACCTCAGTATTAACATTGCTATATCCTTTTCTTTCGTCATTTCCCAATGGCAGAAGAGGCCCACTGAGTCAACCA